CGCACCTAACATAAGTTCAGAAATTCAAGAAAATAAACATCTCTATAGGACCCATATTAAGTTGTGCAGTTATACCTTCAAACAACTGAATACAAGACCAGCAGGTACAATTTTAAACTTGCAGAGTTCTCCAATAAATCTGATGTTTCGGATTTTTGTTTCAATATTCATTTGGTCCTGCAAAAAAATAAATTTGCAACTCCATCAGACAGTACATCATCGCATTTGAACACCTTTTATATGGGAATTCTGGGAGCGAAACTGAGAACAGAGGTATCACATCAGTAGAGTGAATTGACTTCAGTCATGCTCAAGGTTAAAAGTGCAGTCATAAATGTATTGAAAGTAAAATTCATTACTTCTTATGAAGACAATGCAACAGATATAGCTAACCTTTTTATGGACCAGAGAATTAAACTCGTCCTCCAACATCTGCACAAGCATAGACGGGATGTCCTTCATGCACGATGCTAGTGTTGCAACCATACGCGAATAGTAAGCTAGCAACTCCAGAGATGTCCTAGGGACATTAAATAACGCTTTGACAAGTTTTTTTCTGTTTGTCTTGGAATTTAAATAACAATATTCCACCTGGAAATACAACCATAGATATAAACAATGGAGAAAAGAGGTTCAACAGATACAACATCAAGTAGAAAACCATTTCAAGGACTCTTACCGTTAACTGGTCAATAAGATCACGGCTTACGCAACCAGGAAGTCGCTGTAACAATCTTTCAAAGTTTGCCACGTCAAGGCTCTTCCCTTTCTCCTTCTCATTTTCCATTTTTTTGTCACTATCCTTTTCTTTTCCTTTTTCCTTCTTAGCATCCTTTGCCTTTTCCTTTTCTACTTCTTCCTTCTCTTTTGGCTGCTCAGCATTTGATCCATCAGCCATACTACCAGAATCAGCAGAAACCTCTGTGGTATCTTCGGTTGTTTGTTGATTTTCGACAACTTCAGAGCTAGACTCCTTCGATCAATAACAACAAGGCATTAAATCAAAAGTGTAGGCTTTCTATATAACAATAAGTTAGTTTTTCACAATGCACATATATAGGCAGCACGAAATCTGTCAACAAGCAAATCATGTCATTCCAAGTTAGACAATTTAGTGATGATTGCCGACCAAGTGTCCTTCATTGTACATATCAAAAAGGAACACCATGCACGTTCTCACATAGCAACAACAATTAATGTCTTCCAATATCTTAAGAAAGCAAAGTTACGGAATATACTGTAGAATGTCATTCACTTACAGAGGATTTATCTTTTGCCTTAGCAGATTGCTCATTTGATTTGGGCTCTGCTTCTCCCAACAACACTGCTGGAACAAATGCCCTAGAGAAACAATGAATCTGAGATAAGCAGTTGAAAACTAAAAGAAAAAAGTAACACAATACAGAACTAGATAGTCAAGACTCTTCTAGGAAAAGTAAATGTTTTCTGAATGCTACTTGCAAACTACACATTTTCCCATATCTTTGTTTGTTAGGAACATAAATAGAAGCTGACCTCAGATCAGGCAAGCACTCGTAAAATGTCTTGGTGTCTTCGTCGTCCCAAATAGGTTCCGGGACAGATGTATCTTTTACAGCACCAGAAGGTGAGGCTTCGTCCCCTGCTGTGAGCCTAGTTGTACCATCCTCTGGCATAACAGGAGGTTGCATATCCAGTGATTCGGCCAAACTGCAACAGGACATAAAAATTCATAAATTAATTATGCGGGGTATATTGAATTAGATGAGAATGCTTAAGAACTGAATTTATCTCCGTAACTAATATTTATCCTAAACATAATCTATGAATATTGACACTGTAGATATTACTGTGCCAAATAAATATCCATTCCAGTCAAAGATGTGAGAGGAAAAGATAAACACCATATATCTAAAATCACTTCCAAACTTCAATTCATAAATGTTATAGGGTTCCAGTGAATCGGTAAACACGTCACAATCATCATAAAAATTTGGCAAATGAACTGATGCATGCCCAAGATCTAAGCAATGAAACTATATGTATAAACTACAATGACAGCAACAAAATGCTATTTACTTCAGGAATATATTATGAAAGAATTGAGAGCTCAATAATAGTATGTGTTATAGGTATTTTAGTTAATGGCCAGTGAGAAGAAAGCTACGAAGCTACCAATATCCTCATCGATTAAATGACTACAGTTATGATATATTTCCAAGCTTTTCTGAAATTAACCCCACAACAGCTAGAGCCAACAAGAACAGAAAACCTATGTTGAGTTATACGAATGGTCAACTTACGATGAGATATTTCGATAGAGATGGTCATATGATTTCCTCAGCTTTTCATAAGAAGATGCACTGTCTTCACTAAGCTCCCCTTTAGCATTTACCAGTTTTGCATTTTCTTTCTCCATTTGGAGAAGTAACTGTTAAAAAAAAAAATTATTACGAAGATACTACAGAAAAAAGGGAAAACTAGCAAAATGAAAAGAGAAAGGAAAGGGAGGATATGAAAAATATAAAAAATTCCTGCACAAAAGCACATGGGTAAACAATTAAGGATCTAACCTTGTGCTCAGACTGAAGGAGATCTGCAAGAGCATCATAATATGTGTTGAAAGCTTTCTTAAAACTCTTTTTCTGATCTGCAGTGACGTCGAGACCCTTGAAAAACTAGAGAAAATCTTAGTCACAATTAGCTAAGTACCGGAAAATATAGGGATGGCACAGACACAAGCTCATCAAATATGGAGGTAAAACTTCAGTTGATCTTGAAACCTACTTACATCTTCGTCATGTCCAGAAATAGGAAGCCCCAGAAAAACTCTTCCTTGCCGAGCAAAACTGGCAAGAAGTGTCAGATTTGTTTGGGTCATATCTCTGTCTTTCAGTTGTTCAACACTGGTAAGATCCTTAATAATATTGATAAAGATGTTACTATCTTCTATTACTCCAACATAGTAGAGCTCCAGAAGAAGTTTTAGGGTACTGCGCTTTTTCATAGCCTTTGAGTTTTTATCCGCTTCTAGATCTTCGGCAGATTTTCCAGGAAAGAAGACTTTCAAGAGCCCTTGTGTTAGACTGGGAGAAAATTCTTTATACCTCTGATGAAGTAGCGAGCAAATCTGCCAAAATACATGGATATCAGCATTGAAACAAATTCTGAACAGAGAGTATTGCCGTATGCTACTTTATATGCCCCATAAGAAATAACAAACTGGAAAGAGACCCAACTATCATCTAAACTAAGAGGACAAGATATCTTTCAACAGAAACCTAAACTGGGGTAGGGGATTTGATATACCAAGTGGTGGAAAGCATTAAGAAACTATAAAAAAAAAAAGCAAGGCAAACCTGAACAGCTGCTTGTATATCTGAGCTTTTGAGCTTAGCCTCACAAATGGCAGTAACAGCTTCACTAACGAATTTGCTAAGGTTAACACCTCGGAGATCATCCATCAACCCTTCTCGCTGCTCCTCATTGATCTGCTTTAACTTCTTGATAACTGCTGTATTCCGCTTGATACTAGAATCCAGAGTCCTAAGATATGCTGAATCTGTAACAAGGAGACCTCAGTCTCATTACAGATTCAAAACTATAATAGAATTATCCTAAAATCATGTGCTCTCAAGTCCTGATTGGCTATTACAAGCTTAGAAATTGAAGTAGTCGATGATTACTAACAGAAGCATTGTGGAAACCCTAAATAGTAAATTCCATGAAAACCCCAGAAAACAAAAAACTAACCAGGTCGTTCAGGATTGAGATTATTTTGACGAAGAGTCATTTTAGCTTCAACTGATTTCTTAATCTCTTCAAGACGTGCAAGAGCTTCCTGCAGATAACCAGAAAACAATTGTCGAATAAAAGCATGAGATGATAGTTTCAATTTCATCGAGTAAGACAAATCCGTAATCTCGAAATCAAACCTCGTCGTCTTGTTTCTCGCTGTGGGTTTCATCTTCTGGATGATCCATTAGGGTTCAGGACTTCAGGTAGATAAAGTCGTACGAAATTCGAGTCAAGTGATGGCTTTTTCGATCAGACTTAGGTTTAGTGTGTTGTTTACCGGAGAAAGAGATGATAGAAACCGGCAAAGGAGAGAATGAGAGAAAAGGCCCAAACGGGTCAAAAAGACCCAATACCAACGGGTTTTACCCGACAGGACTAAGCAGTTACCAAAATAATTTACGTTTTCTTTAAAAATAAACGCATTAATTAATCAAAAATGTTTTCTATATACCAAACCAGAACCAAAAAAACAAATCCTAATCCATCGTGTTTCGGTGACAATCTTTCATGTTTTCGAGAGTTTCAAAAACAAGAAACGGACCTCGGAAAGAGTTTCTATGCAACATAGGTTCAAACTTCAAACTCAAAATATTTCATAAAAAAGTAGATATACTAGAACTGCTTGGGTTTAATATGGGCTAATACAATGCTTGTTATGACATATGGATTTGGTTGGAATAAAATCGTGTCCAAGAGATTAACCAAATTTTGATCCAAAGTTACATGAATTCAAAAGCGAAGTTTAGAGTTTTAGAAAAAGAAGAAGTGTTTTTTTCATATAAGAGAGACGTTAGGGGTTTGCTTTGGTATGAATGTTAAGTATGCTTCGGTTTTCTTTTTTTGGTTTGACGTCGATTTAATTTGGTTTAACTTGACAGTTAGTGGCTCTAAGTGGCAACCATTTAAACAAGGTTGATAATTAAGAGATTTTTTTACTGCATAGTGAAAGTGATTATAAATTGAATAACATAATAAATAAATAAATTATATTTACCAATACATTTTCTTGTATTTTTTTTTATAAAATTATGAAAAACAATCAAATAAAAAAATCTGTTAAATCAAATCAATTGGCTTGTGTATTTCTTTTTTTACCTTTCATTTTGTTTTATTAGAGGAAAAAATTAGAATTAGTAAAGCCATGGAGACAAAGAGAGGGACAGTGACATCATCACATAAAGACATGACACGTTTTCCTCACGAGCTTAAACCAATAATTTCTTCTTCTTCTTCTTCACCGTGTTCTTCTCTCCATGGCGGTTTCTCAGCGTCTCTTCAGGCCGGCGAAGACGACGGTGAAGAATACTTTTTCTTCTTTCTTAATTAGGTCTATTTCTTCTTCTTCCTCTTCTTCGTCTGGGACCTCGCTAGACCCCAAAATCGATCTGGAGGAGGCTGCGGCTCAGCTCGAGAAGTCTTCGTCTACGTCTCCGTCTCCGTCTCCATACAAAGGCAGAAATTTCCACTGGGTGTTTCTTGGATGTCCAGGTGTTGGTAAAGGAACCTATGCTTCTCGTCTCTCTTCTCTCCTCGGCGTTCCTCATATTGCCACTGGTGATCTCGTTCGTGAAGAGCTCTCCTCCTCTGGCCTCCTCTCCTCTCAGGTTAGAATTTCTCAATCGGCGATTGAATTTGTGTAGCTGTGTGTGGTTCTGTTGATTTGTTCTTTGTTTATTGTTCAAATCACTCTCTATAGAGATGCTCAGTGAAACCTCATTTTGATGTCTTTTGGATGTAAATGTTGAATTTTGGTTGTTAGTCTCATATGAGATCACAAATGTCATCAACATGATGTGCTAAGATCAGATTTTTCCTCTGAAATGAGAATTCTTTTGGTATAAGGAGGATCCAAGGATGGATAATCGAATTTGGGCTTGTATATATATATATATATATATATCTCTTGTCTAGAACTAGAACAGGGGTTGAATCATTGAGTTATGTGATCAGCCATCGCAGGTGTTTTTTAGATGCTTATCGTTTGTTGTGAAGTGGTTGGCCTATTTATATTTGTTAATCATTGCTGCATTGTGTGTAGCTGAAGGAGCTTGTTAACCATGGGAAATTGGTTCCTGATGAATTCATAATAAGTTTATTATCAAAGCGTCTCCAAGCTGGCAAAGAGAAGGGTGAATCTGGATACATTCTTGATGGTTTTCCACGAACCGTGACACAAGCTGTGAGCAATTTATTGGTTTTGAAGATTTCAGGCTAATGGAGGACTTTGGTTGAATAACCTTGACATTTTTTTTTTGTCTCGTAGGAAATACTGGAGGGAGTAACTAATATCGATCTGGTGATCAATTTGAAGCTTCGAGAAGAGGCGTTACTTGCGAAATGTTTAGGAAGAAGAATTTGCAGCGAGTGTGGTGCAAACTATAACGTTGCCTGCATTGATATCAAAGGTGATGATGATAGTCCCAGAATGTATATGCCTCCGCTTCTTCCTCCGCCAGACTGTGAATCGAAGCTTATAAGCCGAGCTGATGACACCGAAGAAGTTGTCAAGGAAAGACTCCGGATTTACAACAAAATGGTAAAAAAGTTCTTCTATCTTCTTCCATGATTCAAATTTTCATAGAGTTAACTATGTTTATGTATGTTTCCTCTTTCACAGACTCAACCAGTGGAGGAATTCTACAAGAAGCGCGGGAAGCTATTGGAATTTGAATTACCCGGTGGAATTCCAGAGTCATGGCCAAGGCTCCTTAGAGCATTACACCTTGAAAACGATAAACAGTCTGCAATAGCATAATCTCTCTCTGCATTGTATGATTGAATCAAACAACTTGTACTACATTCTTTGCTCGAGTAATCCTCCTCGTGCATATATGCTTAAGATAGTCAATAAAAGAGATACATGTCCCTTTGTGGTTATTTGATGCATATATTATATAGTGAAGGCTTTTTGTGGCTTCTGGTCCACTATAGATAGTTGAAAACTCTTTGTCATACAAACAGAGGTTTGACTTACAACAAATTGTTTCTATATGCTTACCAAAGAAATTATGTAATTCAATATCTACTAGTTATGTCGACAATCTAATCGGCAATTTGTATAATTATATACCTCACGGAGTGTCGCAGTGTCTTAGAGCTTTGTGTTCCTCTGCTATGAAGTTTGTGTTTTGTCCTTCTGTTGATGACTTCGCGTTATTAACTTGCTCCTTAGGTTTTTTATATGTAGTGTTCTGCAATCGCAGGTCAGAAAGGCCTTGTTAATGCCAGCACCAGATTCAGATGTAATATTCACAATTGGTTTTGAAGACCAAAGAAACTCCAATTGTTACATACACTGAACTCTTGACTATATATGAGAGTCAGAGAAAGAAGAAGACTGACTTGGATAAGATTCTAGGGACTGACCATGACCGGCAAATCTTGCTTCAGTTGCCTGAAAAGTTTCAGAAAACAAATGGTGACTTAATGCACCCAATGGAAAGTCTAGTTTTCTACACCAAGTTCACTTGATATATGCCAGAGAAACAGACCGTGGTGAAGGTTGTGCTTTAACTTGGCCAGATTGATACTGCAAAGTCGCCTCCAACATGGACTCTGCCATAACTGCCCTCTCCTCCATCTCAGCGAGCGCTGCAACAGCTTCTTCATACTTTTCCTACACCATAAGCATTATCGTACTGAGGATAACTTTTTTTTGTCGCCTCGAATACGTGTATTCTGAGACTAAGAAACTCTAGCAAGATTACATCCACATAAAGTAAACATGCCACAAGGTATCATGCTAAAGAAGAACCAGCAAGCTATAAATTTCTAGGAAGGAATCATTAGGCGTAACAATTTCTATAGCAAGTATATAATCCAGTGGATAAATCAGACACTTAGTTGACCACACACACACACACACACAAAATAGAGGTTAGCAGTTAATACTCTTTGAAACAGATAGGTAACACACTTTCATGAATAGTTGTAGTCAATGCAAACTTTCTAACCTGAAGCACTTCAGCAGCATATCTCTGTGCTGCTGCATCCTGCTCAGCAAGTCTCCGTGCATCTTCTGTTACTTTATGTTCTTGCTCCATTCGCATCAAGACCTTCATAAGTTTCAAGTGGTCTTAGAATTACCATACACTGAATTGCAATAGAAGAGAACAGATTAATCTGAGAAATAAACAAGTTGCAAATGCAAACCTGTATCATAGCACCTTCTTGCTCCCTCTTATCAGAAACAAGTCTTCGAAGCTCTGTCACCTCTTTCTCTAACTGCTCAATCTACCCAAAATTTATGTTCAGTAGCATGAAACAAGTCAGGCTATCTCAAATAGAAGGAGCAAGCATCATCCTTAGTCACGACAGCATAGATAAAGAAATAACTGAACGTACACCCACATGCTTAATTAGGAAACAGAGTTTCAATCACAAATGGGAATACCTTAGCCTTCAGTTGACGCCGATTGTCTTGTTTGACCATCTCCCCGAGAGCTACCTCCAACTCTTCAGCTCTATAACATAGGGAGTGATCGAGGGATAATAAGGAGATATATAAAAGTTCACGAGTGATTTCAATATTCAAAGTCATATACTAAGATAAGAGATTAACCTTAGTAAAGCGGATCTTTTCTCCTCAAGCAACTTGTGGAGTTCACCCTTCAACCAGAGAACCTGGAGTCGTTGTGGGCAAATGTTGTTATTATAAGTTGACATTGCAAGTACTGGCACTAATGCGTACTTATATTCACAGTAGTGGTATTAGTTGGTCCAGCCAAAGTTCATGTAAGAAACTTTCTTACTTGTTACTACCCATCATATTTATCTTTCAAGTTCCTAGGGGCAACATCTCCAACCCAACAGAAAGGATGAAACAAATTACCTGTCCTTGAAGATCTTGAAAACAATCTATCTCACCATCCCCAGTCAGGCAAATAAAGACGTCGTCTGCATAACTGGATCCCGATTCAGAACGAGATAAACTCCCATTTGACGATGAGGCTTTGCTAGCTAAAACAGAATTTGGGTCTTGCTTAGAATTATGTAATTTGGTCGCAGGGCCTGTTGAATCCCTCCAAGCTTGAAGCCCCTTTAATCTTTCCTCAAATGCAGCTATTACTGCTGGCCTGTGTTTGCTTCTTAGTTCCTGCAATCTACTTTCATGTACACTTTGGTACCCCATGCAAGCAGTGAAAACGAGCTGGCTGCTATCAAATGTTGAACCAGTCATTGATTGTAGCAAAGTAACAGCATCTCCAGTGTCCTTGGTTGTAACCAATGCAGGACCTGATATGGCAAGCATAGAAAATTTAGAGCAATTCCATTGATTATTACTTAAATCATATGGACACTTAGGTTCAACCGAGTACCATAAAATTCCATCAATGCAAGTGCTGTTCTGAAAAGCATAACACGATTTCCTTCGAATAGAAGCACATCCCACACTCTGAGAACTGTTATACCAAAGAAGAAATTTTAGACTGACATTCAGAAAAACGTAAGAATATATAAACAATTTGCGTCTAAAATAAAATTTTAAATTCCAATTTATAAAAACCTGACCACTTTCCCATGGAAGCATATTAATGAAGATGGAAAGAAACCATGGCACTGTAACACAAGCCACCTGCACTCCAAGATAATCTAGATGATGAACTGCAGATGGACAAAAATCACAAAGAGTGTTAGCACCAACTCCAAATTTTTGGTAAGATGAAACAAGACTATGAAAAAACTAACCGAGTTTAGGAAATCTCTCTCGAAGCAACTCCTCCAGAACTCGTTGGTCAACCTGGGGAAAGTAAAATCTTTTATGATGAGATCACTAGTCGGCGCTAAAGGATAGGAAAATACTGTACAACAAAAAGATTACTGTTTTACCTGGGACTCGATCATCTCTTCTGAATAATAATCATGGAAGTAGTCATCAATGATTCCTATAAGCGACCTTAAAATCCAAAGTAATATTTAGTTAACTCTTACATGTTTGTTAAGAAGAAGATTTCAGGAATGGGGTAACAGTAGTTAATATTCAACCAGAAGAAAAGGAAGTCATAGCTACACGAACTTCACACAGAACCAAAGAATTGAATTTTCATTGACAGACAATGTTAGGAGTTAGAGAGTAGTTTCCGAACATACCAAAAAGCATTCTCTTCGGGCATCAGAAGTAATAAAAGTGCAGCGAAGAAATTCATTGCCTGCACATGATTTATTGATACAAGATAACAAATCACTGAGATGTTCATTTTTGTGAGCATGTCACCATACTAGAATACACAAGTGACAGTATTTAATAACCGAATACCTGACAGTATCCAACAGAGGGATTATGCCTAGCATAGGCAGTTAGCAATCGCCGCAGAGCATTTCTGAAATCATCATCTAGGGCAGGATGACCTGGAAATGTCCGGGGTAAATCCTGTAATGAAATAAGCAACAACTTGAGAAAAATGACCAAGATCAACAGGAGTCCAGTACTGCATCATTAGTTAAAAAATGCTGGATGCCAAGTAATGGAGGATAATACAGTTGCTAACCTTTTCTATCTGTCCTTTCCATTTTTCCACAACAGCGAGGGGGTCTGTACTTGAACCTTTCTCATCTGCATGCTGCATGTGCTCCTGCTCTATGTCGTTTCCTAGACTATCAGCAGCTAGCAGATTTTGGTAATAATTCTTGACCCGACGTTTCTTGACTCCCGCAAATGCTTGCCAGAGCTGAATATTTGTATATATACTTTCAGATTATTGAGTAGAAAATAAGGATAATAAGAACTAACTTTCAATAACAGGAGAATGCTAGACAAGAGAAGGAGATAATACAGACTGATAGGATTTCTTACCTCACCCCTCAGAGCCATAGGTGCCCCGCCATGAACAAGAACTTCAAGTTCGTCTTTCCAGGGGCATGCAGATACTAGGGAAGTTGCATCAGCAGCAGCAGACATGCTGGAGACACTTGCACCATCTGAAGAACCATCCTGAATTGGATCTGATCTCTCCACATCATAGAACTCGTCTTCAGAATCATTCTCAGACACTCCCTTTGAAGATTTGGTCTCATCAGTTGAGGGTAAGGAATTCAATTTCTGAGCTTCTTGGTCACCATTTGTGGAATCCCCCTTCATTTTGACACGGACACTCATCAAGTCCTCAATTGCTTGAAGAGATGGTCTGATCTCAGCCCATAACTGAAATTTGTGCACATTCTTCTCTGCACTGAGAACTTCATTTTCCTCTCTCGCATTCCCAGGAGTTAAATCAGAACTTGGCTTGTCAGTATTCAGATCTTTTCTTTTAGCACCCTTGTTTGATTCCTCTTCTTTTTTCTTGTCACTCTCACTTGGATGTACATGATTATTTGCAGACGATCCATTCACAGGTGACACGCCAGATTCTGCATGAACTTCCAGGAAATTGCTCCACCTGGCCGACCTCTCCTCTTCTTCCTCCTGCAGTTTATCAACAAAAAACAGCATCAGAATGTTAAGGTGAAACATCGAGTGAGAGTGACTGCGACAACCATTAAAGAACCAAAAATGACTTATGACACAGCTAGCCTTTCGATATTTCAAGCACTAGACCAAGACCACTAAGCGAAGTTCTAAGTTTAGTCTACTTCTGAAATCTTTCACACAGGGGTTTTCCCTGTAACATAGCTTTTTATGGGATCACCAAATTTTAGAAAAACCAATCCTTTTTTCCTAAGAATGCGAATGTGCACTAAATCATGTAAAAGAAATTTCCGAGTAGAAAATAAAAGTTATGGAGATAGAAAGAACCTTGTAGATATTAACATATTCTCGGTATCTTTGCACATGCTGAGGCCTCACAGAAAATCCATATGCATCCCTGTTCATAAAACCAACCACATTAACTTCCTCAGTACTAAGAATATTTCAATTCCATCCATAATTCAAACAAAATCTCAGTAATTTTTTTTTGGTAGCTTATTGCAATTTAACAAAATCTCACTATAGATGAAATCAAGATCAATGATCATTAGATTCCCAACTAGTGATCTAAAAAGACGGCATTTTGCTCAGCAAATCGAGAGCAGAGAGACTAACAGAGAAACCGCAATTTCAAAAAAAAATCCCTCAAATGTAGTAAATTAGAAACAGAAACACAAAGAGTTAAGCAATGTAGCAATAGTGAAGCTCGAAAGGCGAAACCTTTTGTGGTCAGACTTAGAAACGGCGTCGGCGATCATAATTTCTTAGTCGGAGAACGAGATCTCTCCGAGTAGAGGCGATGATAGTTGATAAAAAGATGGCTGACCGAAGAAGAAGAAGATCCGGTGGAGCAAGTAACACTAGTTGATCATCATTACACGCGACTGAAGTTGAAAAAAAGATGAAGTTACTACAGTGTCCGAGACAGAGACGAAGAAAAAGGTCCGAGATTGTAGAGGACGTTATTACATACTTTAATTATTTTCTTTACTTATCATCATTTGCCCGAAACTTTTGTCCTTCTTTGGAAATAAACTTTTACATAGATTAATAAAGTTTGGGCCTAAATCAACTAAAGCCCAACTTGTTTCGTGTTTATTTTAAAGTCATTTATACCCTTTTGAGTCCACGTCACCACCGTCGTCTTTCCCAATTTCTTTGAATTTTTTCAGGTACCCTGAAACTTCGTCTTCTTCGATTTCTACCATTTTTTCAATTTGCAATCAAAAATCGAAGCTGATCCAAATTAGTAACTCCCCCATGCTCAGATCCGGTCTCGCTTCGTTAATCGTCGATGTCAATTTGCGGCGCACGTTACGTCCATCTCCAACCTTTTCTTTTCCGGCGCATCTTAGCCGCTGCATTATCACTTCCCGTTACTCCTCCCGTACAGCTCTAAGGTTTCCAATTCGAATATCTCGCCACCACCACCGCCTTTCCTGCTTTTCTTCATCCTCTTCGTCGGAGCAAGGCAGACCAACTTCCTCTTCCCGAAACAGTTTCAGTGGTCACGGTCAGCTTGATGGTGATGACAATTCTTCACCGCCTCCGTCGCAATCATCTTCCAAAGTTCTCACATTGCCCACCGTATTAACACTTGGTCGTGTCGCCGCCGTCCCGCTTCTCGTCGCAAGTACGTTACTTTGTTACCTCCAATTGTTTTGGATTCGAATGTGTCATAAGATTTGAACAAATGGGTTTAACAAGTTATCATGATCCCACAAGTTTCTTGGTTTGTAGAATCATTTCGTGAGCTCAATTTTTTGGTTTGCTTGAAAACAACATTAAACACAGTTACACTTAATCTTTGGCTAATGTGGATTCTAAGCTTTCCTGTTTGTTTTATCGAACGTCTAGTTTCCATTACTTCTAAGTTCTAATCTTGTGGGAGAGGTCTCAGTTTTTTTTTGGATTGTATCTAATGTAAAATTGTTCATTCTTTTGTTTTTGCTTGTAGCCTTTTACGTTGATGGTTGGTGGGGAGCAACTGCTACAACAAGCATTTTCATTGCAGCAGCCATTACAGACTGGCTTGACGGCTATCTTGCCCGCAAGGTTCTTTCTTTATATACCATTCTCGTTCTTCTATATGTTTTCCTGCATTTCACATTGTGATCTTAACGGTCTGATCATGTACATTTTAGATGAGGTTAGGTTCTGCGTTTGGTGCCTTTTTGGATCCAGTTGCAGATAAGGTGTGCAGACTTGTCTTCCTCTAACCCTCCTCCTTTGATTTTTTTTTTAAGAATAAGCTTCATTTATTATAGTGGAAAAAGAGATCTATGTTGACTAGATACACATATCTCTGATTTATGTATGTCTTGTGTTTTCAGCTTATGGTCGCAGCTACATTGATCTTACTGTGTACAAAACCTATCGACGTTGCTGTATTAGGACCAGTTCCTTGGTTATTGACGGTACCTTCTATTGCAATCATTGGTAGGGAGGTAAGATTTATAGCAGAAGTGATTGTAATTCCTTAATATCATTCACTTGCAGAGTAAGTAAACATGTCCTTAACTATATAAAATACATTTGTAGATCACTATGTCCGCAGTAAGAGAATGGGCTGCATCTCAAAATGGGAAGCTTTTAGAGGTAAGTTAAATCACCAACATCTATCTCTGATAGTGTATTGCGTAAGAGCTTTCTTTTTTTGTTTCTGTTCTTACTGAATCATGAAATGGGATTGATTGATGCTTGCAGGCAGTTGCAGTAAATAACTTGGGTAAGTGGAAAACCGCCACGCAGATGACAGCACTAACCATACTTCTTGCTAGCCGGGATAGCAATGTTGGATGGCTTGTAGCTTCAGGTGCTGGCTTGCTTTATGCATCAGCTGGACTATCGGTTTTGTCTTTAGTCGTTTATATGAGAAAGATATGGAAAGTACTACTGAAGTAGTTGTAATTCGTCTATTCTCTTCTCGCACTTACTCGTGGAAGTTGCTGTTATGATAGTTCTTTAGGTGATTAACAAGTGTTCATATATAACTCTAATATTCGATACATGTTGTAGTGGGTAAGAAGATGTTGACATGAAGTTTCTCAGGTCTCCTTACAAAACATTCAGCAATGAGAGTGTACCTTTTCAAAATGGATGCGAAAAGAGTCAAAAACAGTGCTCATAGAATAGAAGATAGATTTCAAATGTAGAAAAAATTATCCCACGACATCTCTTTGCAAGATAGATTCATCTTACGCTGAAATAAAATTTAACATGAGAAACATTCAACAGAAGACGAGATCTCAGACTATTCATCTTACGCTGAAATAAAATTTAACATAAGAAACATTCAACAGAAGACGAGATCTCAGACTTCTATCCGAACCTTCCATAATTCTAAATTTAACACTTGATAAGGTATTTGTCCAAAAAAAAAAAGTATTTGCAAACAATTTATGGAGAAAAGTACAAATACTGCCTAAAGAGTTTTACATTAATCAGTAATACAATATTATATCTCCACAGCGACAACTGAACTATTCATCTATTAAATTTTTGTCCCTTGTTCCAAAACGAAAGCAACCATCTAAAAAAGAAACAACTAAAAAAACAATTTCAAACATGAAAGCCTATTACAGCCAAAAAGATCAACAGTTGGAGTACATATGATGATTGATATAAACCGAAAAATGTAACTGATATTGCTCAAAAGTAGAGTGGTAGTACTAAATATATCATATGTAGTACGAAATATGAAATCAGAATAGCTTTGAGTTGTAAGATCTTCTCCACCAATAAGGCAATCTTTTGCTTTGTTCTTGAATGTCTCGACAGCAAAGTTGTAAATGTCGTCTTTCGACATCTTAACAAGTGTGATCATTTTTTCACATCCAGCACAGCTTTAGTATGTTGTTAGGCTGTAGGACATCTTTGTCATCATCATCTATCAAACAAAAAGAATAAAAGTGAAAAACATAAGCCAAAACAAGAAGAATGTAAAAACAAACAAAAGACCAAACCTACATAGACCCTTGGAGTTTGTTAGAAAACTAGATGGACATGGGTGCAAAATTTGTTCGAGAAAATATTTGACCTTTTGTGACGAGACAATAAATAAATGACTTTACTATATAATAATGGGGAATTTGCCAAAATTACCACTTTGACAACAGGACTTTGTTTTAATTTTGTGTTTTGAGCAATTAATGTTCTTGAGAAAATGCTACATTTTTCAAATGGCCGCTTTATTTTTATTTTATTTTAATCTCATCTTTGGAATGGTGAATTTAACTAATTAAGGTCATCGTGTAATTTATATTTATATAGAGTGCACATATAAAAAATAAAATTGGTTATCGAAATTGGTCAGTCTTACACATAATTAAGATGCTCTATACCAACATTTGGCAAACTCATCGCACTGAGGGCATAGAGGCATGGTTTCCCCTTGTGCCAAACATTTGGTGAACATATCGATTAAGGCACGACTGGCATACTTGGTGGTTACAATCAGTGGTCAACAGAGGGCTAACGATGCTGCAATGGTTGCAAAAAGCCATAGGCTAAAAGGAGAGAAATCAGCTTTGATTCTGATTCTACCACAATCACAACCACAAAATTAGCTAGCCAGAGATCTACATAAACAAAGACACTTACCACAAGACCGCCATTGAGCTCCAATGAAGGAAGCAAAGGACGCGTGGTACCAAGGAATCTCTCAAAGTCTTTTCTATCAGCAACAAGACACTCCTCATTCCACAGGAACTGAATGAGGAGTAGTGTTGAAGTGTTGACGTCCGTTTCTAGAGCTGCGGCCGTTCTTTATATGGTAGCAAAGAGATCGACTACTTGTTCCTGATCCATAACTAGCCCCGACAAGCACAAATCACCAATTATTAGTCCGTACGAAAACCCTAGACATCTTCTCCGAATTCGTTATCCTTTTTCTCAGATTCGGATAAGATTCATACCTGACGACGCTCTCTTCCTTCGCCGGTGGTGAAGATTCCGATGATCTCCGATCTGAGAAGAAAATTGCAAATCGAGAGGACTCTTCTGGTGGAAGAAGAAAGAAACAACGAAGTGATCTTTTGGCGCTTCGTTTTAAATGTAAAAGCCAAAAATATCTCATTGTCGAATAGAGGATTAACAGATGCGAGAGAAGCGAGAAAAGCGAAAGAGAGAAACAACGAAAAAAAACAGAGACGAGGAAAAAAAAATGGAGTGTTCTGTTGTTGTAACAAAAACTATGATATGACCCGCGGTATACCGCAGATTAATTATTTGATTTTTTATCTTTTTATAAACTAATGAATTTGTTGTGTATAATATTTTTTGTTGTACACCGCTGATCACATACGTTGAAACAAAAAAATAAAAAATTTAAGCTGTATTTTTTTATTTAGTGTTTGATTGTATAATTTTATTTTGATTTGTTAATTTTAGGATTTCACCTGTGATATATTGTCCCGTATTAATATCCACTCAAACCCGTCCACCATATAACTCCGTCCTGTGAAATTAAACATCATTTTGTTATTTTTTAATAACAACTTTTAATTAAAAGACATATAATTTGAGTCAGTTAAAAGTTTGCTTTCAAATGGTTTACATAATATATATAAATTAGTGTGTCTTTTTGGACCAACCCGTAAAAACAATTTACAATTGTATCTTAAAATACTAAATACTTGTATTTTGATTTGTTATTGGGATTTCACCCGTGGTATATTGTCCCGTTTTAGATAATTATAGAAATTAAGAAAAGATCCGAATGACTCAATTTTGGGTCAGAATAAAAAAAACGACCTAATTACTGTAAATGCATAATTTGTTCTTCAAAAATATTAATATAGATTACACACATTTTTTTTTCATCGATTGAGTAATATATATCCGTTATAAAAAATTTGAATCATAACAGAAAAAAACTAAAATTTATTACTGAAACAAACATTATAATCAAATTATAGGGAATTATACGTCTTTCTTGCGTAATTAGCTACACACATAAATTATTCTATTCGATACAGTAGGCACACACATACTGACATACATATACATAAATTAATGTGCTTCAAATCACGTAAGTTTCTTTATATCTCTTCAAAGATCAGATCCCCACTACTAGCTTAAAAAGCAAATTAAAACACCTCTTTTCACCTCCAAATAGAAAATTCATGCACACTAAACTTTGTATACCCATGAACACGAGTTTTTACGAATCCACCTCAGTTTCACACACTTGTTCTGTTTTGTTTTTTTCATTGTCTTGCTTGGCTCCCGATCGGTATACGTTCCTTGAGATCCAAGAAACCAAAAAAGGTCAGCTTCCTCCAAGCCCATGGGGATGGCCAATCATTGGAAACTTTGTTTGATATGATGATCATGCATGAACCGGCCGACTCACCTGTGGATTCACCGCAACCTCGTCATGCTAAACATGCAAACGTACGGAAATAGATTGCTTCCGCTTTCCACGTCATCACCGCTACCTCATGCGATGGACTGCCCGAGAAGTGCTTAGGGAAGAAAAAGACGTGGCTCTCGCAGATAGAGCCGAGCCATACTCATGAATCAATCTCATAAGCCATGGCTACATTGTCGTTTAGTTTTATCTTCTCACGGTGACGGACGTGGAAGCCGTCAAAGAAAGTGATAGCTGGTCACAAAACTATATATTGTCTCCTACAACGTTGAAAAAGACCCTCCGTTATAGAACTCTAGAAGCAGATAATATCGCCACGCATGTCTACAATCTGTGCCGATCAGAGTCAATGACGAAGCCGGTTCAAGTGAAGGATGTCGTCGCCTTATAAGATAGGTTGAGTTCATATGTTCATTCATCCGGGAAATGAAAGCACCAAACCGCAACAAAGATAGAAACAAGAACGAGAAACAGACACCTATATATACATTTGTTTATTGTGTTGTCTTATTGGACTAAGAAATCATTATATGAGAACTCAGGACTTGAGAGAAGAAGATCCAAATGTCTGCTTCCAAGTGTGTCTTTTAGTATCGTGATCTGACCTTCCTTAAAGAGTGTGTCTTCTTCCAGTTTCTCTACCTTTTTCTTCAACATCTCCTTCTCTGACTCCAAATCCATGTTTCTCTTTCTGCATTCCTTCACTTCCTTCCACATCTCTTCTCTTTCCTCCAACACTTTTGGTAATGTAACCAATTCTTTAGCAGCTTCTTGAAGATTGATTTCCAGCCGGTTTACGTTCTCGTCCTTCTTCACCATCTGATGTTAAATCAATCATTAGAACACACTCGAGGAGCTTTAATTCGTTATGAGTAACAAAAATGTAGTCTGAAATACCTGCAGCTTGAGGTCTTTTAGTTGATGGTTGTTTACTGATAGATTGTCTAAGACGTTTTGAATTTCACATTGAAGAATTTCGTTACCCCGTACCCCTGCTGCTACTTCTGCTTGCAGCTGTTCGATTTCTTGTTCCTTGGAATACAGTTTCTCTCTTAATAAACTCGTGACTAGAGTTTCTGCTCTCAGTTCAGCTCTCAGGGATTTCTAAATTAGATAAAAAGGTAAATCATTCAGCACACAGAACAGATAAACATGTAATGAACAGATTTTGAAAAAAAAAACTTACTTCCACTGAGTGGCTGCTAGGCCTAGCAGCACTTGAGCAAGATGATTCTGAATTTGATGCCATCTCATTGGATTTTTCAAGCAATAAACTTGTTACTGTCTGTAAACTCCTCTCCAGGCTTTCAGTTCCACGTCTTATTCCATGAACTCTCATCTCAGATTCAATCAGAAACTGCTCACTCAATCCATTATTCACTGATTTCTCTTTGATGATTTTCAAAAACTTGTAACATAGCTGAGTACTCTCATTTAACATTGATAGACCTTGGTCTTGCAAGTGGCATACACGCATCTTCATCTCATTATCTAGCTTGAAGGTCGTAATGTCAGCTTCTTCTCCATTTCCCTTTACTCGATTCAGCAGACAGTTATTCTCACGACGAAGAGCATCAGCTTCGCGCTTCATAGATTCTACCTCCTTTCTAAGTGACAATTCAACTCCTACCAACCTTATTTGTTCCATCTGAAGCTTCTTGTCCACATGCTCTGACGGTTGCTTCTTAATTTCCTCGGAGAAACCACCTCTAAGTCCCTGGATTGTCTTCTCTTGTTCTTTGCAGGTTCTTAGAAATCTTGTAACAGATTTGTGTAACTCCTTGCATTCCATATCTTTCTCTTCAAAGTTTCTTCTTACGCAATCAAGATCATCGGTACTACCAGTGTAACTCTCTTGTAATTTGGTGAGGTTTTGCATAAGATACAAATTTTCTTCACGCATTTCCTCTGCTGTTGCACTTAACTCCGCAACTGTTTCATCCAAATGTCTTATCATGTCGATACGCTCAGTTTCCGTTTCATGAAACGTCAATATTTCTCTCTGGAGTGAGACATTATGCTCAGCAAGCTCTCTGACACGTTCCCTCAGCCGCTTCTCCTCCACCTTGAAACTCTCGATCTTTAAAGTCCACTCACTTGACCTTCTATCAAGCTCTTTCTCCAACTCAGCTTGTAACTCACTCTTCTCTCTTTCTAGTCGCTTTATATGCAAGTCCCAATCATTCTTTACCCGTCTGATATCTTCCCTAGTAGAAGCCCTCTCATCCATTTGTGACCGCAAAAGACTTAAAACTTCAAAAGCCAAGCCTACCCTCTCTTCTTCCATTTGTCTTATATCTCCAACCAAAGATGAAATATCGAAATCACAGTCTGAAAGAAACTTCTTCTCCTCCAGTTCTTCTGAAAGCAACTTCACTCTCTTCTCAGCTTCTTTATATCTCGTTTCTAGCTCCGAACTAACATCGCCTTCCTTACACGTGTCCTTACCATGTAAGAAAAACTGTTGGTGCTGCTGTTCTGCTTGGTAATCCGCATAATATTCATTCACCGGTTCATATTCTTCAATCAGTGGAACAACAACATTAGCCAAAACATCAGATTTTGAGTCAAGAGTTTTACCATTATATCCACCACAAACATCTTGTATTCTGATGGGCTCATAACTCAACGCCTTGGACTTGCCCTGAGTATTATGAGAGAGTCTCTCAATGACACTTCTTGCAAGTGAACGAGCCGATTCATCCCTCAAACCTTTAGATTTCCGTTTATCTTTGCCACTATCTGATAACGGTGAAGGGGTTTGAGCTCGCGGTGGAAGCCTCCTTCTACTCCCGGAGAGACTACTATTCGAAGAACCGCTCTTTTGCTTACTCCGTTCTAAATGCTCTTCTCCATCAATGTAACGATCCAAGACTTGACTCGAGACATTACTAGAACAATTTGACATACTTCCAGATTCTTTAAGTTGTCTTTCTGGAGTAAAACATCTGATGAAACATACAAAATTAACAACTTAATATAACAACAACAACAACAAGAAGAAGAATGTCATAGAAAGAAGAGTTTATTTATTACCGAGACGAATGATTTCGCAGTCGATGTTGTTGGCTGCTTCTAGTAGCATCATTTGAAGAAGTTCCATCAACGACAAAAGCTGCAGAGGACAAAGAACGGCTTCGTCTAAGAGCAGCACCAGATACTTCACTCTGAGACTTGTTAAAACCCTTTGGACTATTCAAATTTCGTTGAAACTGATCATCTTTTTGCTTGGGAAACTGTTTATGATCAGTTCCATTACCAGATGATGATTTGAAAAAGAAAAGCTTCTTCATTGGTAACAAAGCTGGAAAAGGTTCACTACAATTCTGCAGCTGGAATCAAACCTATAAAGAAGCAAAATAAGAAAAAGGTTTCTTCTTTGTTCAAAAAACAAAAGGCAAAACAGCGCATAGAAAGGGACACTGGTTAGAGACAGTAATCATGAAACAAAAAAAAAGTTTTAACACTTTGCAACAAAAATGAGTCTAAAGTGAGTCTTACTTAAACACTTGCTCGATGAGAACAATTCAAGATCATCTTTATTTTTAGCTTTGACGATTTAGATATATTGGTTTTAAAATAGAAAACAAGATCAAGATCGCCACAAGTTTCTATCAAATGAAGAAAATGTCTTAATAAAATAAAAAATGAAGAAATTGTCAGAGATTTTCAGACAGATCCGTAAACATCGAAGTGTGTCGTAACTTAAACTACCCTTAAAACCTTTCAACTAAAAATCCTTATAAAAAAAAAAACAGGATCGAAATTTTCAGTGAACATGTGTCTCAGTGGCGACGAAAACAAAGAAGACAATTTTAAGCGACACTACAAACAATCAAAATACAAAAACGAATCAGTATGAATAAAAAAAATTAGAAATTCAAAAGAGAGAAAAAAAAAAAATCGATGGAGTTATGAAGTTTTACCATAAACAGAGAGATTGATTCTTCAAAATCGGAAATCGAGGAGATATGGAGGGAAACTCAATCAAAATCTGAAACCGATGTCATAAGTCTTTTGACGGCGTTTAGTTAAACGTTAACGGAGAGACTTTTTACAAGAAGGAAGAAGCGTTACGGCGGCAGTGTAACAGAGAGAAGTCGAGAGGACAAAAGAAATCTCCGTAAATTCGGGTAGCAATGAAGGGTATTTTGGGAAATTGAGTCCCGTTTCACTTTTTAAATCTTTTTGAAGGAGCGGGCCTTTTGATTAATCTTATTGTGGGCCTACAATTGTTTTTCTTTTAGCTGTGTTTGGTAAGTAATTGTTTTTGCCTTTTTTTCTGGATTTAAGGATAATCATCAATCTGTGGGATTTTTACTCATTTGTTTTAGGTTTTAATACCATGCTTTGATATCAGTAAAATATACTCCCTCTGTCCCAATATATAAGATGTTTTAGGCCTTTTTATTTGTTCCATTATATAAGATTTTCTCTACTTTCAATGCATGATTTATATTAGTTTAATAGTTTTTAATTATTTTAATTATGCAGTATCTTCTTCTATTGGTTGAATTTTCATAAATGAGAAAACATTTATTGTTTCTTAATCTATGTGCTTTTAGTCTAAACATCTAATAAAATGGGACAGAGGGAGTATTGATTAATTGATAATGTAATAATGTGGACTAATAAATATTAGTGATTTTTATTAATAGTGGTAGTATTTTTTCCCTATTTATTAGTTAGTATATGCTAACTAATAAATATTATTGATCAGAGGATTTATTGAAATTAATAGGCATGTGTAGAATTTTAGAATCAGGTTACTTTAAAAAAATGATTGGAGAAATAAGATAACTAGATACTGTGTTAATTAATGATTTAATGTAAAAAAGAGAGACAGAGATAAAGAAATATTATTCCAATTGTTGTATAAACAAAGAAGAGATTATTATACCAAATGTTCTAAATATGAGAATTTACAATTGGATAATTATTAACTAGTCAACTTTTTTTAGTCATTAGGTGAACGCAAGCATAATCAAATGCTGTAAGACACTTTATTCGTTCAATCTTTTTTTTTGCCAGTAAATAACAAGAAAACACACGCCAATCTTATTGGAATTATTATTAGCACAAACTAGTAAGTTATTTGAGCTTATACAACCACATATTAAAAACATAGTAAAGAGAACACACACCAATCTTATTGGAAGTTTCATTTTGTATATATATGACTGACTGGTTTTATTAATAAGATAGAAAGTTTTCACTCGGTGGTGGTGATGGGCACAATAGTGACTCCGATGCTGTGAACAACATCGCTAGCTTGTCCATGGAATCCAACAATCTTGTGGCCTTCCTCTCCAAGCGAGAACTTCTTACCAGAATCCATTCCAAACGGCATTGACTCCCTTTTGTTGGTCTTAAACTGAAGACAGACAATTATTGGTTCCTCGACTCCGAAGATCTTATCATAGTAGCCATCTATGGTTATGAGATATTCACCATCTTCAAGCACAAACTGAAAAGGTTCAAAACTGACAGTGATAAGTGAAAATAATCTAGAGAATGAATTGAGACAAAACAATCTTGAGTTGTTTTTAAAGAAGACCTCTTCAGCTCCGAGTAGTGTCTTCTTCCCATGGTCATCTCCAGATACAAGTTCTTTGCCCTTACTGTACTCAAACTTGACAAAGGATACACCATCGTTACCTTGTCCTACAAGTATCTTCCTTACACCGTCGTAGACACCATCATCCCATGTAACTCCTTCGTTGCCGCCTATCGCTGGTAGTTTCTTGGATGGAATCAAGGGAGTAGGAGTAGGAACAGGTCCAAAATATGCTCCAAGAGCATCAATAGCTGCATCTTCCTTTCCATGGAACCCGACAAGCCTATGACCCTTTTGCTCCAACACAAACTTCTTACCCACATTATACCCAAAGAATGATGTTCTCCCCTTTGATGTTTCGAACTTAAGTGACGTAATGACGGTATTGCTAAAAATGTTTGGCTTCTGATAGGTTGCTTCCACCGATTTGATGTATTCGTCTGGGTAACCAAGCACAAACTTCAACAAGAAGCAAAATATAAGAACACTTTTGTCTTAAGAAATCTAAATACATGTATAGATCTACAAAAATGGAACCGGAGTGTGCGAGAAATACTTCATACTACTGCAAAGAACCTACAACACAATAATTAATTTATATCTGGAACCTAAATTTATGTCGTTGTACTATTTCGCATATAAATAGAGTAACAATTTATAACATTTTTGAGAAATCTTGAACTAGTCGTGTATAAGAACTAGACTAGTAGTAAAATTACCTCGGATGGTGTATCTCCTTTGACCCCATGGTTACATGTCTTTGATTCCCCACCTTTCTCGTACTCGAACTCTAAATAAGTGATACGAGAATTATCTTTACCAATGCGCAGCGTTTTAACGCCGTCATAAGAACCATCATCCCAAACACGCCCGTCTGTGCCACCTTGGGCATCCAGCTTGTAAAGAGGGAACGGCGTGGTATCCAATACAAAGTAAACTCCAAGAGCGTCGAGAGCATCACCTGCCCGTCCATGAAACCCTACGATCTTCTTTCCCTCATTCTCAAAAACAAACTTTGTACCGCTCGTAATTCCGAATAAGTTTGGACCAAACGTTGGAGAGCATCTACCCTTTGAGGTCTTGAAGACGAGGGACGTAATTACCTCCGTGGCAATGAGAGCCACTGGGTGGTAGCTTCCCTCCACTGCTATAATGTGCTCGTCCGGATATTGAAGTACAAACTGTAAGTAAAAGTACACATATTCAGTCAAAATTATAGTACAATACTGTTAGGTTTAGAATAATTCTCAAGATTTCTTAGTCCTAATAATATCGAATTTTGGATTTTAGAAAGGTGTCTTAGAGTTTGTATCTTATTACACCTAAACAAAATACTTGTAGGATTTATCCAACGTTTATCTGAATTCACAACAGTTAATTTTACTAGTATCGCAAAAAAATAATAAGGATGAGAATAAATGCAAATGAGAACCTCTTTAGGGTGTTGATTTATTGTCCCATATTCAGTTGTTACTACATCGCCGTCTTCCTTCACGTACTCAAATTTGATGTAAGTGATACGGTTGAGATCTTGCCCTACATACACTTTTTTTACACCCTCATATACATCGTCGTCCCATTCCTTTCCTCCTTCACCACCGCAGAGTGCCAACTTCCGGTACATCCTTGCCATTTCAAATCTACAAATATTGTAAGATTTAAAAATTACTTCTTACATATATATTCCAACAAAAATATATATATATATATATGTATATTCAAGCTTTATAGTGTTTTCCTAACTGGTCTATGATTCATAAAACACAAATACCATGGTAACATTGTAGCATATGCAAATACATAGCAAGAACACCAAAATGGTCCAAGAGACACAAATAGAACAATCAACTGATGGGTAAATATTTACTGTGTGAGGTTGATAGCTCTATTATTGGTGATTTGGTGTAATATAAATCATTTGTTAAATCTAATATAATATATTCAAGAATACACATTTACATATAAATAGATACTTCAAAAACAATTTAAAAACAAAACATTTTGTGAAGCAAACATACATAGTAGAGGAAACTAAGAGCTACTTCAAAAAAAAAAAAAAAAAAAAAAAAAAAAAAAAAAAAAAAAATTGAGAGAGGGAGAGAGATAACCAAGAAATTATATATTGAGCTCTGATTGATGGAAGAAATGAACCTTATGGGTGTTGAAATGTGTGTATTTATTGACAATCTTTGGCATACAAGGTCCTGAATGTCTTTAATCATTTTAATAATCAACTCGTGTGACACGAGGGACTTCCTCACAAATGCAACAAATAATTACGAGCCCAATAATAATTGCATACAACTTGTCAGATGCAGATGTATTTTAAAGTACAACAGATGAACAAAACAATTAATCAAAATAGCACAAAACGAATTCAATATATTATTAACTAAAAGAAATTTGATGTTAATGTTGTGACTCCCACCAAAATCTCCTATATAGTTATTAAGAATCTCTGTGACTGCCACATTATGAAAACGGATTTAGAATTAATATCTTCAAACTGAAACGGTATATAAGCTTTTTTTAAATGAATTAATATATGTAGATTTTTTATATTTATTTAAATTTTTTATAAACTGTGTTCATGCAAAATTTTGGCTTATCATCATCATATGCTTGGATGCATGATTATATTAAACGTGTACCATAGAAATGATGGTCAAATTATTTTGGGACACTGATGTTGTATCTTGATGACTCTTTCACATTCATGTTGTGTTTATGATGATCAGTCTCTAATGCACAAATTTGAATAAGCTCGAAAAGAACTTATAAGAGTAAAAACAACCGCAAGTCCACAATGAGCCCAATAATAACATACAACTTGTCAAAGGCAGATACTCTTAATTTAGCAAAACAAATCATCCTCTTGTTCAAGTATTGACATGACATCAGAAAAGTGAAAATGGTGATTTCTGTTCTTCTTCTCATTCTTCTCCTTCTTCACCTTCGCCTTCTTCTTATCCTCCTTCTCTTTTTTCTTCTCCTCCTTCTCCTCCTCCTCCCTTTTCTTCTCCTCCTTCTCCTTCTTCCTCTGTAGCTTCATCGAAGCAGAACCTAAAGATGAAGATAAACCTGAACCTGAAGTAGCCAACAAGACGAAGAATAAGAATGATACAATAATGCTCTAAAGAGTAAAAGATGAGGTATATACTATGGAGAAGGAAGAGAAAGTTAACCTCCTTTTTTGTGGATGGAGTTGAAATGGATCCCTGCGAGATAGCTCAAATGAATGACTCTGTCGGGTTCTTTTTGAGACTTGGGCAAAAACTCCATGAATGGAGTAAGTTTGATTGATGTAATGAGTACTATTTTTACTCCATACACATCAGCAGCGACTCTCAATGTGACTTCATCGCCCCATTCGGAGTTAGTGGACATATTCTTTACATACTGGGAGAAGTCCATATTATTCACAAACCCTTTGTAAATCTTTGGATGAGATTTAAGCTGATCATGAGAAAACAGAGTCATCAATCAATCATTATCCAAAACTCATAATCATCATCATATGACATTAATACACGAAAAAAAAAGAATCGGCAAAGTTAGGAAAAGTTTCAAGATAGATTTACCTGTTTTACGATTTCTTGTCTAACACGTTTATGAGAATCCGAGGTTTGATAAAGTTGATCAGCTAAAGCACGGAACTGAAATAGAATTGACAAAAACAAGAAAAAGGGTTATTCATAATACGATTCAATATATATGTCAAGCTGATTGAGTATAATTTGATTTAGAAACATTAATTACCTGACAATTTCCATCACTTTTCATCTTGATTTCGGTGTAACGTTCCCATTCCAATCTGAAAATCCAGGAGAAAAAAAAACATATAGTCGAGATTATCGGGCAAAAATAATTTGAACAAATTTACAAAAAGAATCGATCAATACCTATACTCAAGTATTTCGCGATCACTAAGACCGTCCAAACACAACGACTTAGTCGTCTGAGTGTTAGGCATCTTTTAGAGTTGGGATTGATCGATGATTGATACAAAACAGAGTCTCTCCTCTCTTAGAAAAGATTAGGGCTAGATTTAACGTTAATCGGTGGTTCTTTTATATACTAAAAAAAAGTAAAGTTAATAGATGTTCAAAAAAGGAAAGTTGCCGGAAAATAAAACAACCAAAGGAAAGTTTATAGGACGACTCCTCTTCGTTTACTTTTTTTTTTTTTTTTTGGTTAAGATTACTTTAATTCTACGTCTACCTTTAATTTGTTGCTTTCACAATCTTCTTAAATCCAAATCGTCTTTATAAGAATCTGTCATCTGTGAAATTATATCTTTGGTGAATAACTTTTAGTCAATTGGTTAACATATGCATAATCAAATCTTGGGCGGAAACAAAAAAAAAAAAATGCATAATCAAATCTTGACCATTTTAGAGATATGGGGTTTGAGGAAGACAATGAGAAAGCTTTTTATTTTTTTTACATTTATGTCTATGTCTTGGAGATGTTACAAAGGAGCAAAAAGAGAGGGGAAAAGCTTCATCACATCAGTGGGGCTGTCAGCTGTGTGTTCGATGTTAGCTATTTGACACGGCTCATGGTAGATTTATTGAATGGTTGAAGAGAGCACACACCAATCTTATTGGACACATTTGACAGAAACAGTAACTTACAAACACATAAAAGTAGCAGAGTAAAGAGAACACACACCAATCCTTATTGGAAGTTTATTTTGTCGACATGACAGTGGCTGGTTTTACTAATATAATAGAAGGTTTTTCACTTGGTTGTGGTGATTGGCACGACAGTGACTCCGATGCTATGAACAACATCACTAGCTTGTCCGTGGCATCCGACGATCTTGTGGCCTATCTCTCCGAGTGAGAACTTCTCACCGGAATCCATTCCAAACGGAGTTGACTCCCTTTTGTTCGTCTTAAACTGAAGACAAATTATCATCGGTGTCTCGACTCCGAAAATCTTATCGTAGTAGCCATCTATGGCAGTTAGATATTCACCATCTTCAAGCACAAACTGCAAAGACTCAAAAGTAACAAGTATAAGTGTATAATTTAAGTTATTAATTATTTGAAACAAAAACTCTTGTTGTTTATGGATATGACCTCTTCAGTTCCAAGTAATGTCATCTTCCCATGGTCATCTCCGGATACAACATCTTTTCCTTTATTGTACTCAAACTTGACAAAGGCTACACCATCGTTTCCTTGTCCTACAAGTATCCTCCTCACACCATCGTAGACACCATCATCCCATGCAACTCCTCCGTTGCCGCCTATTGCTGGTAGTTTCTTGGCTGGAATTATAGGAGTAGGAGTAGGAACAGGTGCAAAATATGCTCCAAGAGCATCAATAGCTGAACCTTCCTTTCCATGGAACCCGACAAGCTTGCGACCCTTCTGCTCTAGCTTAAACTTCTTACCACCCTTATATCCAGAGAATGATGTTCTCCCCTTCGATGTTTCGAATGTAAGCGATGTAATGACGACATTGCGGAAGAAGTCCGGTTTATCATAGGTTGCTTCCACTGATTTGATGTATTCATCCGGGTTAAGCTCAAACTGCAACAAAATCAAAATTTAAGAATACTTCTGTCGCAAGAAATTACAGTTTCTAGAAAATTTACCTTCAGTGATCTTTCTTGTTTCACCCCATGGTGACGTGTCTCTAACTTACCGCCTTTCTCGTACTCGAACTCTAAATAAGTTATACGAGAATTATCTTGACCAATACGCAGCGATTTAACGCCGTCATAAGAACCATCATCCCAAACACGTCCCCCTGGACCACCTTGCGCATCCAGCTTGTAAACTGGCGGAGACGTGGTTAAAGAGCCATGTACAAAGTAAACTCCAAGTGCGTCGAGAGCATTACCCGACCGTCCATGAAACCCTACGATCTTCTTTCCCCCATCCTCAATAACAAACTTTGTACCGGTTGTAATTCCAAGCAAGTTTGGACCAAACAATGGAGACTTTCTACCCTTTGAGGTCTTGAAGACGAGGTTTGTGATCACATCCGTGGCACATAGAGCCACTCCGCGGTAGTTTCCCTCCACCGCTATGATATGTTCGTCCGGATATTGAAGTACAAACTGTATATGAATCAAAATATCATTTATTCAATCAAGAAATTAAAATTTTTAAACAAAAAAAAATCAAGAAACTAAAATATACGAAGTAAAACTTATAATTGATCGGAGCTTGTAGTATAATGGTTTTTCATTGTGAATTGTTGTGTGAGTTTTTAGATAATTGATGTAGAAAATTTGGAATGTGAAATAATGAAGGGTAAATGCAGTAAAGAACCTCTTTGGGTTGTTGATTTATTGTCCCATATTCACTTGTTACTACTTTGCCGTCTTCCTTCACATACTCGAATTTGACGTAAGTGATACGATTGATATCTTGTCCTACATACACTTTTCTTACACCCTCATATACATCATCGTCCCATTCACGCCCTCCTTCACCACCGTAGCGTGTCAACTTCCGGTAGATTTTCGCCATTTTGAAGTTTCAAATACTGTAAAATGAAAAATTTACTAAAATATCCAAATCCAATAAAGTATTTATATTCAAGCTTTATAATGTATCCTAAAGCCGGATCTGTGATCGGTGATACACTAGCCTATTCGAATGCATAGCAAGACACAGCAAAATATAATGGTCCAAGAATCAAATTAGAGAGCAACCAACTAATGGGTATGATTTATTTACAAAACTAAAGTTAGTTTGTATAAACAAATCAAAACTTGATCGAGAGAGTGAGAAGATAGAACCTGTAAATTCTTGATCTCTAATTTAGAATGGAAGGATGAGTAAGAAGTGTTGTATTTATTGACACTATTTGGAACACGTTTTTGTTGATTCCAATAATTTTAGTTATACTTGTAAGTTGTAACTAATTCATGATGATTGACGAGAGACTTCCATTTTAGTTAGAATGGAAGGATGAGTAAGAAGTGTTGAACTGTGTGTGTATTTATTGACACTATTTGGAACACGTTTTTGTTGATTCCAATAATTTTAGTTATACTTGATGAAAAAAAATAATAATAATAATTTTAGTTATACTTGTAAGTTGTAACTAAATCATGATATGATTGACGAGAGACTTTCCCTTTACTTTTTCCTTTAAGAAAAAAAAATATGAGAGAAAACATTTACAAGGCCAAACCAAGCCCCATACTAGTTTGTAATTAAGCCCTTAATTATTTGAAGAGAAATAGCCAAACTAACCCAAAAGAAATTAGAGATTCCAAGATCCTGGCTGCATGTTACAATGCAATAAATGATTTTGATAAGTCCAATGATAATAAGTTGTCAATTATGGAGACATTCATGATTTTAATGAACAGAGGAACAACAATTTTCTCAAAGAAATTACGTTTTTATAGTTTTTTTTTATAAAAAAAATATTTACATCGTCGTCTCATTCACGTCCTCCTTCACCACCGCAAAGTGCCAACTTCCGCTACATCCTCTTAAAACTTATAATACCAAATCCTTTAACATGAGAAAATTACTTAAATATTTATTAAGTCCAAGTATGAATGAATAGCTTTATAAATTTTTCCTAAGCTGGATCTGTGATTTGTAATACACTAATACCATGACAACAGTGTACACTATTCAAATACATATAGCAAGAACATCAAAATGGTCCAATAATCGCAGATAGAGGAAGCAACTGATGGTAGGGTAAATATTTATTGTGTGATATTGATAGCTCTATTATTGGTGTACTATATAAATCAATGACGATAAAAGTATATTGTATAATACTAAAAGAGCCCCACACAGCAAACTGAAATTGCATCCACATATTCATTTCTCACTGTTTGTTTCATATACATATCCTACACTAGTTCCTCACACAGTCACTCTCTGAAACATTCCTCTCTTGTCTTAATTTTTTGTGTGTGAAACGATCTCTTAAAATAGTCAATGATATTATCCGTGTCTTGTATAGTTTACAAAAGTAAGCTTTTATATATTGTAAGATAGATTAATAGTATAGTTAAATTTTAGAAAGTTAATCCGTTCATCACCAATGTCCAATAGCTTGTTTCTATGGTAAGCTTCTTTCACTTTTAATTAACGATATTAAATTCGACTAAGCTAAATTTCACGTAACGATAGAAGATTTGTCTAAACTAAACATTGATTCACGAAAACTTATATACACGATATTTAACCCAAATACTTATCATAAATCTTAACTATATGTAAATGTTTTTTTTTTATTTGACGTCTATAAACTAATCGTAAACATTCGAAATCTTATACATTCACTATGCTTGTTATTTTTTGAAATTGTTTTTTTTTTTTTTTTGCATTCTTACGGATCCACTAAGAAAAGGCAAGTCCGAAAGAAAATGGGCCCAATTAGAGGCTATACAAAAACCCGACCCGGAAACTGGTCCGAAACCGACCCGACCCGACGACGCTAGTATACCGTAAAAATTTGAGAATCTTCGTCTCCGGCACAACAAATTCTTCGTCTTCGGCCAGATTCCTCGATTTTCTCCGTGTTCTGTAATTTCCGATAGATTTTGACAACTCTCTTTGTTGTTTCCCTTTAGATTTATATTTTTATTTGCCTTTTGTTTTTTTTTCTATTCGTTTCCTTTTGTTACCTTGTTTTTGGTTTTGATCTCAAATCCTGCTCTGCTATACTAATTTCAAGTCGATTCTTCATCCGAACGAAGACGACACAAATTGGAGCTTCACTGGTATAAATTCTTGCTGCTTTATCTCTGTTTTGCTATTTAGGGCTTTTCTATGAGTTTTTTTTTTGTTTGTTTGCATATGAGTTCAATCGTATGTGTGATACTTTTGCAGGACGTTGATGATAAAGCATGAATCAAGGAGGGAATACTCAGGCCGTAGCACCAATGGACCCTAATTCCATTGAGGTAATACCAATCTCTTGCGTCTCTTTTAAGCTCAAAGCTTTCCACTTTTCTGAATCAGTCTTTATATGCAAGTGATAGTTTGTGCATTGGGTCAATTTTTGCGTTCGTGTTGTTGCGTCAATTGAATTTGGTGATTTTAGTTTGCTCCAGATTATTGTTACTCTTGTTTTCTTTGGTAAGTTATGTTTGTTAGTTCACCATTGTAATGGTTAGAGGAATCTTGCATGTCAATATGTTTATGTAGCAGAAATAAAGTAATTTTGATTCTAGGCTAGGTATGTGAACTCTCGGAATATTTCAGAAATTCATTCTCTACTTTAAAAATAGACCTTTCATCAATTTTCTGTTGAGCCGTATGATTTTCACTGGTAATTTACCATTCAAGTGTTAAGTTTGGTTAAGGCACTTAGCTATTGATGAATGATGACTCTATGTTTGAGGTCCTTTTAGAAAGACGTGAGAGTTGAGACTGTGTGGGAGGCCTTTAGCATCTTAAGTTGTAAATATAGTCTTGATCTGAGATGATATTTCTGTTTGTTGTTTGTTTATGTTTCTTTTCACTCTTTGACCATTTTCCACTACTAATGCTTTCTCTGTTATGCAGAATCGATATGGTGTTGATGGAAGCCAAGCACATAAATATTCTTATCAATACTCAACTGGGTCTGACAGTGCTCCATGGACAGCGCATTCTGTTGAAAATCAGGCTGTGGAGAATGGGAACTATTCAAATTCAAACTATTACCATCCGCAGCCCACGGGGCCAGCCACAGGAAATGTGCAAGAAATACCGAATACTGCATCCTTCACTAGCTCATCGACGTCTGGAACTGCAAATGTGGCACAAGATTATAGTGGATATACGCCATACCAGACCTCTTCTGACCCACACAATTATTCAAACACGGGATATTCCAATTACTACAGTGGTTATCAACAGCAACCTAGCCAGTCATATCCTCAGCCTGTAGGGGCTTATCAAAACACAGGTGCTCCTCAGCCTCTTTCCTCATTTCAGAATCCAGGATCTTATGCTGGGACTGCAAGTTATTCAGGAACTTACTACAATCCTGCTGATTATCAGACTGCTGGAGGTTACCAAAGTGCAAATTATAACAACCAAACGGCTGGAAGTTACCCAAGTACAAATTACAGCAATCAGACTCCTGCTTCGAACCAGGGAAATTATACGGATTACACCTCAAACCCTTATCAAAATTATACTCCTGACGCTGCTAACACTCATAGCTCTACTATTACGACCACACCACCTGTACATTATCAACAGAACTACCAACAATGGTCAGAATATTACAGCCAAACAGAAGTCCCCTGTGCCCCAGGCACAGAAAAGCTGTCTACCACAACCACAAGTGCATATAGTCAGAGCTTTCCAGTTCCTGGTGTTACTAGTGAAATGCCTGCATCAAATAGTCAGCCTGCCCCGTCTTATGTCCAACCTTGGAGGCCGGAAACTGACTCATCCCATCCACCTTCTCAGCAGGTTCAGATATTACTTTCATGAGGAGTAGAGTAAATTTGCGCCCTTAAGCTTGTTTGAGTTTAGAATGCTTTTCTGCTTACAGCTACTTGATAAAATGTGTGTTATTGTCCTTATAAATCAACTAAGTTGGGAAAAGAGTGATAGAAACTGCCCTGTTAGCTACCAAGCAATACTGCATAGAGTCAATTCTTAATTTTTTTATGTGAAGATAGTTTAGACATGATCTCTGATTGCTTTTTTTCGTGGGAGTCCTTTTTATTGAATACTAACTTAGTAATCATTTTATCATCATTCTCTCAGCCTGGTGCAGCTGTTAGTACATCTAATGATGCTTACTGGATGCATCAAGCACCAAGTCTGCAAGCTCATCATCCTGTTCCACCTCAAAATCATTACCAGAGTCCTCTGGAGACAAAACCTTTATACGAGCCCCCCTTTCAGGGTCATCAGAGAGCTACATATCCTCAAGAGATGAACTCCCAGTCTTCCTTTCTCCAGGCACCGTTAGGCTATCGCCAGCCTACTCAGACAGCACCGTCAGTGGATTCGCAAAGGGTAAGCAAAGTACAGATTCCAACTAACCCTAGAATTGCTTCAAACTTGCCATCAGGTTTTACCAAAATGGATAAAGATAGTACAGCAGCCAGTGCAGCCCAAGCACCTGCATATGTTAGTGTTTCAATGCCAAAGCCTAAAGACCATACCACTGCTATGCCTGACGTAAGATTCCTTTTTTCAAATCTTGATGACCTAGCAAGTGAAGTATATATTAAATGTTGGCCACCGTAAATTTGTGTGTTGAGTAATTGTTTCATTTTCACAATTGAGTAATTGACATTGGAAACAAATAATGCCAATGCTTGTAGCCTGGATCCTTCCCAAAATCGCTTCGTGGGTTTGTTGAGAGGGCTTTTGCACGCTGCAAAGATGATAAAGAAAAGGCATCTTGCGAGGTTGCCCTGAGGAAGGTAAATGTTAGTAGGAATTGTAGACGCTTTGGTTGTTGGACTATTGTAGCATGATAGTTAATTTTAGTTACACACTCTGCTCATGTTAATATTGCTGCAATATTTGGATGAACTTCGTCAACTTGATCTTTCGAGTAGATGTGTAGTAGGTTTAAGATATTTTCATGCCTTTTATGGAAGAAATCATATAGCAGTTATTTGGATACTATATTAATTTATGGTTGCTTTGCATTGCTGATGCTTATTTTTATATCTCTAGATCGTCAAAAAAGCTAAGGAGGATAATACTCTTTATACTCGAGATTGGGATACTGAGCCTCTCTCAACTGTCACGACCACAAATGTTACTAACTCTGAGTACGGGTTTCTTTTCCTCCATCCACTGCTGCCTGCATGATCTATAACTTTCGTTCTCTATTATATGTCTGGAACAATTACTTCATATGTTTTGCTACTAAGTTTTACACTGTGCCATAGGTCGAGCTCCACTCAGCTTTCTTCGTTACAAAATAAGAGCCCAACAAGACGACCTAAAAGTAGATGGGAGCCGTTAGTGGAAGGAAAACCTTTTGTGAAGCCAGCTTCAACTTTCAGCAGTGCTGTTAAATTTGGAGCTTGGAATCACCAAAATGAAAACAACAAAAAGGTTAACCAATCTCTTTCCTTATTATTTACTAATGCCTGGTCGAAGGAAATGAAAAGAAGGCATTTAGCTGTTGGTTTAATGTGTATTTAGCTGTTAGAACTCGGTTCTTGCAGTCGTTCTGATCATCGGAAATTTTGCAGAGCTTTGAGAGTTTTCAAAAGGTGGATGCTGCCACTGGCTTCAAGCCCACTTATTCTGGGCAAAATTCTGCAAAAAAAAGTTTTCAGCGGCCTGTCAAGCGACAGCGTTTTTCTGGTGGTGCAGCTACTGCCATTGATGATGAGGCATCTAGTGATAGTGACAAGGATTTGACACCTTACTATTCCAGTGCAATGGCACTTGCTAGTTCTGCCGAGGAAAAGAAGCGACGTGATAGTCGTTCCAAGCGATTTGAAAAAGTTCAAGGCCACAACCGAGGGAATGATCTTACAAAACCTAAGAATGCAAATGTTGGAAATTTGCATTCTAGAAGAGCCACTGCCTTGAGGCTTAGCAAAGTTTTTGATGAAAGTGGCAGCAGAGCTGTAGAAGACATTGACTGGGATGCACTAACTGTTAAAGGCACTTGTCAGGAAATTGAGAAACGTTATCTCCGTCTGACTTCTGCGCCAGATCCTGCCACCGTAAATATCACTATCTTATATTCTTATACCTAGTATTCTTTTTTACACCATGACTGATATTTTTGATTGACTTATTTTCAGGTAAGACCAGAAGATGTGTTGGAAAAAGCTCTGATAATGGTTCAGGATTCTCAAAAGAATTATCTTTTTAAATGTGATCAACTAAAGTCTATTCGCCAAGACCTCACAGTACAAAGGATACACAATCATTTAACAGCTAAGGTACATAACTGAGTTCCAAATAATGTCGAGTGTTATTGCATGTAGGATCCATTTCCTGTTGGAAGGTTTATCCTATTTACATGACCTATCACCCAGTTAGCAGGTTTATGATGGTTCCATGTGCAATCTCTATTTCAGGTTTATGAAACACATGCTAGATTGGCTTTGGAGGCAGGGGATTTACCTGAGTATAATCAGGTTGGTACGCTAGCACACACTGATCAAATTTTAGAATAGTAATCATTCGAGATTTCTAGATCAAATTCGGTATTAAACAATTGTCTTTTTCGTAATTTAAATCAACCACTGCTAGCATTTCAATGGTCTCTCATTTTTAAAAAATAAAAAAGCAGCATGTCATGTTAGACCTCAGTGTGAAGTGAGTTTGGAAACAGCTGGCAACTATTCTCTCACTATGAAATTCCCTGTTTAACAAGTGGAAAATTAGGGGTCGAGTTGTGCCTCTAGGTTTTAAATCAATTTAGTAAAACTTGGATACGGATTGTGATTAATAGCTGGGAAGATGCTACAGTTATAATGGTAAGTGTTAAAACAGAGAGAAACTTGCAAAAGGGAGCATAGTTCTGATGACTTGTTACTATGGATTGTGGCTTTTGTTTGCATTGATTCTGCAATATAATGATACCGTTCCATAAAGTCTTGGAGTATACATCTGTTGTCTATTCCTGAGGAGACTATAACTCTTAGGGTATTTATAGCCTTGCTAAATTGATTTATATACTTTTTTTGTTACAGTGCCTGTCACAGTTAAAAACTCTTTATGCGGAAGGTATAGAAGGATGCTCTCTGGAGTTTGCTGCGTACAGTCTACTCTATATTACTCTACACTCTAACAACAACCGAGAACTGCTATCATCCATGTCCAGGTTAGTACTTTTAAATTCCCATCTCTGGGCTCCGTTTAAGCATGATACATTGATGCTCCATGAGAAACTTTTATAAATTAAGGTTTTGTAGAAATATCAGAATATGGTTTGCTACACAATTTCTTTGAGTTAATATTGGAATTAAAAATGTTCGCTCCACCTACCTGATAGTTGAGTTTTTGTAACATCTCTTCCTACCAGTGCAAAGAGGTTACTACCACTATGAATTGGGTTTGTATGCATGAGATTGAGTGATTTTGTGACCTCTGTTTTGTAGATTATCCGAAGAAGATAAGAAGGATGAAGCAGTCAGACATGCTCTTTCAGTTCGTGCAGCTGTCACATCAGGAAATTATGTTATGTTCTTCAGACTCTACAAGACTGCACCAAACATGAATAGTTGCCTCATGGGTAAGGGTCATATGATACATGAAAACTCTTTTGATATGTTTAAACTAGATATGTAAAGATACTTGTGAAATTGTTATGTTTGCAGATCTCTATGTGGAGAAGATGCGTTACAAGGCTGTGAATTTTATGTCGCGTAGTTGTCGTCCTACAATCCCGGTCTCATACATAGTCCAAGTGTTGGGCTTTACTGGTGCTGCAAGCGAAGGTAATGATGAAAAGGAGACCGATGGTATGGAGGAGTGTTTGGAATGGCTAAAAACTCATGGTGCTAACATCATTACTGACAGCAACGGAGATATGCTTCTTGATACCAAGGTAGGTCTTCTTTTGCATTTGCCATATGTTTACTATGAGACTTGTAGTTCCTTATTTTCAAGATATGGATTGAGGACTGGTTTTGTGTTATTCCTTCTGCAGGCGTCATCAACGAGTCTCTTCATGCCAGAACCTGAAGACGCAGTTGCTCATGGAGATCGAAATCTAGACGTCAATGATTTTTTTACACGTACATGATGAAAAAATTTAGTGTTTGTTAGTCTGGAAACAAAAGAAAGCAAAAACGCTAAAATGAAGTTCATCATATCTTTTGATCTTAAGGAGACCAATGAAGATAATTCCAAGGCTCTCTGGCTTCATCATCTTCTGCCATACACACAATTTCAGGTATGACATTTTAGGTTTATAATACTTCATAGTCTGTTAGTAGGAAACGTTTGGAAGATAAATCAAATTTGTTTGTAAAGATATTTTTGTGAATATGGAAAGCCTTATTTTTTCTAAAGATTTTAAGATAAGGGAATCCAGGAAACTTACCTTTTTCTATATATATATATATGAAAAAACCATTTTTGCATTAAACAATTCAAGGAATTACAAACAGAAAATACAAGTATGTTTTTGATTTGGGTCTTTTAGCAATTTTGTTTTCACCTCCGCTTGTTCTTGCTTCCAAGTAACAAAGTGAAGTAGAACAAAATCCTGAAAAGGAACCCAAAAGCAACTGTGATGAACAAGCAATTCCATTTACTCAGCTGAACCACTCCTTGCTTCGTCAGAATATCCGAACCAGTAGTTAAACACGTTGAGCTAGATATCGTCACACCGAGTGACTTGCTCACTGTATCAAGCAGCCTCAGCTTCATCACTTCCGGTAATTCCCCTAACGGCGTGTTGTCGAAAATCTGAACTCCTCTCACGAAACACTTGGTCGCATCAGAGAACTCGTTCTGTAAAACCGCTTCGTACGGGTACTTCACCAATGACATGTAATGAAACCAAATCCAGTAATCCGGGATTCGGTTTCTGTTGATGAAGAATCCACTGAACAACAAGAAGTAAGCTAAAATAGCAACGACGATTGTGTAACCCAACATCACACTTGGAACCACACCTGATAGAAACGTGACAAAGGAGCTTCCTGACCAGAACGAGGCTAAAATGATCAAACAGTAGAACAAAAGGCCCATTGGGCCTCCATCTAAGCCCACTGCCCAATACGTCGTCGCTGCGAAAGCTACGGAGAGGAAGACGAGCGACGGGAAAGAGACGATGGCGTGAGAAAGAACGTAGGAGGATCTCCGGTAAGCGTTGTAAGCAGTTTCTCTCATGAAGATGTAACGTTCCTGGAGAAAAACTGGTAATGCATCGGCGCAAGTGTAGAACATTGTTGACATCGCGAAGGCGAAGAACCCTAATCGCTCTTGAACTCCTTTTGGTGAATTATCTAATCGCCAGAACACGGTGGCTAAGATGAATCCGGTGATAACAACGGAGGCGATTCTGATTCCGAATATCTCTGGTTGTCTACGAGAATTGAGCATTGAGCGTTTCGAGAGAGTTTTGATTTCGATCCACATTGGATTCGCGAATGCAGGTACGGCTAGAGTTGTGGTGTTGGTAGTTGTTCCGCCGTGAGCGACGGATTCACCGCCGGAAACTAGCTTTCCTCTGCTAATACTTGCGGCGATGGCTTCTTTTAGTGTTAGATTTGGGTACGGTGATGAAGGAGGAGTCAATGGTGGTTGACGATTGTTCTGTTTCTTCATCTCTTGCCATTTTTTGTTGAATTCGACTAAACCTCTTGTTCCTCCGGCAGATCCTTCAAGCTCACGGATGAGATCAAGCGCGAACTCCGTGCGATTCTCGTTCTCCGGTATCGGACTTCCGAATTCGGTGAAAAAACGTGGAAGACTCGCCGGAGATCCACTGTACACGGTGTGGCCACGAGACAAGAAGATTAACCGGTCAAGCAAACCGAGAACTCGATGACTCGGTTGATGAATCGACATAATTACGATACTGCCACTCTGAGCAATCCTCTTCAATACTTTAACCACCATGAAAGCACTCGTTGAGTCCAAACCAGAGGTTGGTTCATCGAGGAAGAGAAGAATCGGATCGTGAATTATATCAATTCCGATTGAAACTCGTCTTCTTTCACCACCGGAGATTCCACGGTGACCTTCGTCTCCTATAATCGTTTTAGCAGCGTTTCTGATACCTAATTGATCAATCAAAGCTTGCACACGAAGCTTCTTCTTAGATTTAGGTAAACTTCTCGGAAGACGAAACTCAGCAGCGAACATTAGTGTTTCTTCAACGGTAAGCATAGGGAAGAGAAGATCATCTTGCATTACATAGGCTGAAATGACTTTAAGCATTCGAGAGTGAAGTGTTTCTCCGTTTAGCTTCACTGTTCCTTTTAAGCTTCCTTTAGCAATCCGATTCGCTAATGCATCGATCAGTGTTGATTTCCCCGAACCGCTAGCTCCGAGAACCGCCATGATCTCTCCATCTCGTGTCTCACCGGAGATGTTATTGAGAAGGGTTTTAGTTTTTGGCCTCGCGGTTTGAGCTATCTCAGGATCCTCTGTTCGTCGCCGTGGAAAGAGGTTGCGGAACTCTAGCTTTCGACGAACAGAGACGTTGTAAGTGAGATTGTCGAATGAGAGAACGAATGGAACAGTACGCATGTAACCATCGTTGTAGTCTTGGTTTAAAGACTCGTGAACTGGAGTCTCGTCTCCAATAGCCATTTTCCTAACGTCACTGACGTTCTTCAGAAGTTGCCCTAAAGTTGAATCGTGCATAGAGGAGATGGCGTTGAGCTCCATGGAATCATCATCATTAGCTGCTACAATACGAGCCATAGTAACAAAAAGAAAAACTTTTTAAGAGTGATTTAACAAATTAACGGTCTTAATTAAAACACTCTCATAACTGTTCTAGAAGAAGAAGAAGAGACAGAAGTGTTTGGTCTTTAGTTTATGGGACTTTTTGTTGGATATGTCTGTTATGTTACTATAAACTTATATAGAAGCGAGAGAGTGCATGAAGAGACGTGTTTGGATGTGTGAAGACACGAAGGCTATGTTAAATAAGAAAGTGTGGGTGAGTTGCATGGGAAAAGTATGTTAGGTTTATATTTTGACTGTTTGGATGTAAATGCGTTTTTGATTTATTGTTTATTTATTTGGGGAAGGTGAAGAGTCCACCTATCATATCTAAAGTTCCTTAAAGTAGAAATTACCAAATACGTTTTTCTTCTTTCTTTTTCTTGGGGTAACGAGAAACTAAAAATATCGGTGGGCACATGACACGTGGCGAAATGGGTTTTATTGACTTGGGAATTAGCCAATTAGGTAAAGGGTGTTTGTTCATCTAACATAGGCATGGGTCGAGGACTTTCGTGTGTGTTTCCCATATATAGTTGCCTCCATTAATGCTTATTTCATTCATATTTTGAGTGAATGTTCAACTTCTGTGAATATACTGTATGTAGAATTAATCACACAAAAATATCTATATATATATATATATATATATATATATATATATATATATATATATATAGTTTAAGAAGAGTTTTCTATGTAAGGGTAATAAACACCGTGTGGTCTATACCTAGTTAGAAGTATCTAAAATCTGCCTTTTTTGTGTAAAATAGTTCTTGATTGCGTTTTAGCCTTTTATGTAGTTGACAAAAAATTTGCATTAGGTAACTAAAAGCAATTTTCAAAAGTGGAAACGACAAATTTTCTACTACGGTAGTCAAAGCTTGAATTACATGATGGATGAAGTAGTTAAAAAGCGAAAATATTATCTAAATCAAAAAAGTCATGCAAAATTGATGCCAACTTGTAAATGGTTTGTACATGTGAAATAGTATTAGTATATAGTTATATACTCAAGGATCTAGGCATGTAGATTGATGTTTTATATTGGTCTATTTCATAGTCGGTCCAATTAAAATAAAAACATAAATCTATAATAAATTGCTACCTACAAGGCTAGCTAGCTTAGCTACTTCACTTGCCAAACTTATTTAAAAGCCTAGAACTTAATTGAAAGCCTAACACTATGCCGGGAAACTCTTCAACACGCACATGCAAGGTTCAAGTCAAGTTATCTAAAATAAAATCTAAGGTTCTAGTCAAACCTTTTATAACAAGAATCTTTTGGACTTTAAACCCTTAATTCAAAATGCTAGTTGTAATTTTTTTTGCTTAGCCGAGTCGGTTTATGAGTCTTATATGACAAGAGATTAGGCATCCAAAACCTTATAGAGTAAGTCATAGTTTTTTAATGTGGACACGCCCTGACGCATGTCTACATTACGTATGTGTGCACACAAATGGTGATAGGCAACTGCAAGCATAACAATATTATAGCAATCATTTATTGCAACCTCCTGACGAACTAGTTAGTTATAGCCTAGCTATTCGAATGAAAATTTTTGTCTCCGCTTTAAACATTATTGAGTGGTGTGCCATGTTCGAGGTTCTTTTTTTCTTTCTTCTATATGGGACTATATCAGTTTAATTGGTGGATCTTTGGTATATTAAATTTAAATGCTATTTTGAAGATCATTTTTCAATTGATAATCTATTTTGAAAATCATGTTGTATAACTTGTTGGATAAGCTTGAATTTAGACTTGAGAAATAAGTCTTTGTTTAAGAGATAATTATGTATATTTTAGGAGTTATCTAAAATATACTCCTAATCAAAGTAGGATTAGGTCTATGAGTTTTATGTATAAATATGAGTTACCAAAGTGTGGTAGACTATAAGAGATTAAGAGAGTTTTATGAGTTTGAGAAAAGAGAGTTTGAGAGAAGAGAGTTTGTGAGCTTTAGTTTTGAGTTATTTTCTAAAGCATATTAATAAGAGAGTAATTCTTAAAGCTTTGTGTTCTTAATCTCTACTTTTCTTAAAGCTTTGTGTTCTTAATCTCTAGTTCTCTACTTTGAATTCTAGATTTGGTATCAGAGCACGATCACGAGAAGGTGACCCGTGAAGAAACATGGGAGAATTAATTCCGGTAGCTAACAACAAAGAAGGAGGTGGCTCCTCGTCCATCAAATGTCCGATGCTAAGCTCTACCAACTATACGTTCTGGACCATACGTATGACGATGGCGCTCAAGGTTCACAAAGTCTGGGATGCTATTGAACCCGGATCAGCGAATGTCGACAAGAACAACATGGCAAGCGCCCTTCTTCTTCAATCTATTCCCGAAGCTTTAACACTACAAGTCGGGAAACTAGATACTGCCAAGAAGATATGGGATGCGATTAAGGCGAGACATCTAGGAGCTGATAGGGTGAAAGACGCAAGATTACAAACGTTGATGGGAGAATTTGAGAGGATGAAGATGAGAGAAACAGAGAAAATTGATGACTTTGCGGGAAGGCTCTCCGAATTGTCTACAAAGTCAGCAGCTCTTGGATGTGATATCGAAAATCCAAAGCTTGTAAAGAAGTTCCTCAACGGTTTACCACGAAAGAGATACATACACATAATTGCTGCACTTGAACAAGTTCTCGACCTAAACACAACTAGCTTTGAGGATATTGTTGGTAGATTAAAAACTTATGAGGAGAGAATTTGTGATGAAGAAGACAACCAAGAAGATCAAGGGAAGCTCATGTATGCTAATTCAGAAACACAAACGTTTCAAAACAATTGGTATGAAAATAGAGGTAGAGGTGGCAGAAGAGGAAGAGGTAGAGGTCGCTTTGGTTACTCGCAAGGTAATGATTACCAACAGAACAATGGAGGATACAGAGACGCGAGCAAGATAACTTGCTATAGGTGTGACAAATTGGGACATTACGCATCGGACTGCCCTGACAGATTGCTTAAACTCCAAGAAACGCAAGAGAACAAGAACGACGACACACAAGAGGTCGACGCACTAATGGTACACGAAGTTGTATACTTGAATGAAAGGAATGTAGTTCCAAATAAATTTGAAACAAGTTCTGATATTGAGAATGTGTGGTATTTGGATAATGGAGCTAGCAACCATATGACGGGAATCTTAGCTTATTTCTCTAAGCTTGATGAGTCAGTCACAGGAAAGGTGAGGTTTGGTGATGATTCTCTGATTGACATCAAAGGAAAAGGCTCGATTGTGTTTGTAGCAAAAAATGGCGAGAGAAGAGCTTTACACGATGTATATTACATACCGAACTTGAGAAACAATATTGTGAGTCTCGGTCAAGCTACTGAGTCGGGCTGCGATGTGAGGATGCGAGAAGATTACTTGACTCTTTATGACCGAGACGGAAAGCTATTTGTTAAAGCAAAAAGGTCCAAAAATAGGCTCTACAAAGTTATGATGAGAGTTATGATTAATGGTTTGGTTCTTGAGAATGGTGGTGTTGAGGATTTGGAAGAAGATTTTGTGTTGAAAGGAGTGACTCACGGTGCAGTTGATTACCTCATGAAACCGGTGCAGAAGAAGCAAAAGGAAGAGGAAGTAGATGAGCAAGGGGATAATAAGGAGGACACTTCGAGTTTAAAGAAACCACGCGTGGTTTGGTCGGTTGAATTGCATCAGAGGTTTATCGCTGCTGTGAATCAGCTCGGCGTTGACATAACTAAATGTAACAGACCAGAGATCGCATTGTCTCTGCTTCGGAAGAACAAGAAACTGATTTGGATAAGAAAGCGAGAGGAAATCAACAAAGAAGAGTACGCTGCTTTCTACAAGAATTTGAGCAATGACGTAGAGAAGCATTTGGATGTGAAGCATTTCTCGGTTGAAGAACAGCTTGAGTTCAAAGCTATCCTCTCTGTTCCCAAGAGAGCTCCTTTCGATCTCTTCAACAATGAGCTGAAGTCCGTTCTCTTCCTAGAGAAGCTGAAGAAAAGAGGCTACGAGGTACTTTACATTGTGGATGCGATTGACGAATACGTTGTTAGAAAATTGAAAGAGCATGATGGTAAGAAACTTGTCTCTGTGACTAAAGAAGGACTGAAACTTGAAGATGAGACTGAAGAAGAGAAAAAAAAGAGGGAAGAGAAGGAAGAATCTTTCGAGAATCTCTGCAAGACGATTAAGGAAATTCTTGGAGACAGAGTTGAGAAGGTTGTGGTCTTAGACAGGATTGTGGACTCTCCTTGCTGTCTAGTAACTGGTGAATGCGGATGGACTGCGAACATGGAGAGGATAACGAAGACAGAGGCGTTGAGAGATAGCAGCATGAGTGGTTACATGTCAAGCAAGAAAACAATGGAGATCAACCCCGACAATGGTATCATGGAGGAGCTTAGGAAGAGAGCTGAAGCTGACAAGAATGACAAGTCTGTTAAAGATCTTGTCATGTTGTTGTTCGTGACAGCTTTGTTGATTTCTGGATTCAGTCTTGATGAACCAAACACGTTTGCTGCTAGGATTCACACGATATTGAAGTTGGGTCTGACATTGATGACTGATAAGAAGATTTCAAGCTTAAGGGGGAGATTGTTGGATAAGCTTGAATTTAGACTTGAGAAATAAGTCTTTGTTTAAGAGATAATTATGTATATTTTAGGAGTTATCTAAAATATACTCCTAATCAAAGTAGGATTAGGTCTATGAGTTTTATGTATAAATATGAGTTACCAAAGTGTGGTAGACTATAAGAGATTAAGAGAGTTTTATGAGTTTGAGAAAAGAGAGTTTGAGAGAAGAGAGTTTGTGAGCTTTAGTTTTGAGTTATTTTCTAAAGCATATTAATAAGAGAGTAATTCTTAAAGCTTTGTGTTCTTAATCTCTACTTTTCTTAAAGCTTTGTGTTCTTAATCTCTAGTTCTCTACTTTGAATTCTAGTTCTCTACATGGTATCAGAGCCCAAGATTCAAATTCTGGTAGACCTAGAAAAGTGGATACGGACATACCTCAAACCCGAGTAATGGGGGCCCGAGAAAGGGGCTTATTATCGGTCCGAGTGAGGGATCGAGGAGGTGTGTTAAGATCCATGTGGTCCTTGGATTGAAGGGGAGATTGTTGGAGATACAATCCAAGTCCCACATCGGAAGTTTGATGGGACAATCAATAATATATAAAGGGTTAGGGTCAATCCACTAATTGCCAATTGGTTTTTAGTTGGAAGCCCAGAATTAGCCCAAATTTAACATAACTTAGTCAGATATGTACCATATGGTAATTTTGCTATCATGGGCGAAGTTGTAATGATTTTCACTAAAGAGATATGTAATCATTGAGAAACTATCTGATAGTCCTTCAAATGAATCGAAATTTTGATAGTTTAAAACAGTTAGTAAAATTGTTTACGGTTGTACTATAATTTGTACGCAGTATAAAATATTTTGCGGGTTGTCAGTAGTCAATTCATTACGCAATGATTTTTGTTAGCATTTTCTTTTGAAAGGCTTTTTTGGTAGCTAATGTTAGATATCTTAAGTGACATAATAATCCAGTTTCTACAGATTTTGAGATTACTCTGGATTTTAACCCCAAATTTATTGATTATATAGAAAAACATGTAGCATAAAGTATATTGAGATGGGTCAATATAAGATGACTTCATTTCTTGTATTTTTTAAAAAGATGACTTCATATTTATTGCGATGCATGTGGGGATTAAAGTCAAATATGTCACCACTTAGGTAATTTATATGTGAAGATGTTATCGGGAAGGGTCTTGTTGAGTTAATGCTCAAGTACTTGTTCATGCACGACGGAACTTGGAGAAGATCCTATGAATTCGATTTAGGATGTGTGACTCTTTGTCTTTGATATCAATGCCACCTTTTCTCTTGTCACCCATATGATCATCCTTTCTACGGTGTACACATAAGAAATTGGTTAAAACATCAAATATCTAGCCAAAAATTCGAAAGATTAATTTCACGCGACTTTGAACAAAGCATGATTAATTAATGTAATTATAGAAAATATAGCGAAGCTTTTATGAATGAAAATAACGTGCGAATAGATTGGTAATGACTCATGTTACTCGATATTATCATTACTTTAGTTAGGCATAACAAATCAACGTTATCCGACAAAGCTTTTGGGAAAAGAATGGACATTTTTCAAAACTCGCTACCAAATTGATATTGTTGGACAATCAATTGATACACATACTAATCACAAAATCCGCATCATCACGAAAATAACATATTGGTTCCTTATACCAAATATTCTCCAATCACATTGATTTCAAAACCAATTTTGAACGTAACTCACTATCATATTCCCACCTTCTAGAAATCTAATCCTAGGCGGTGTTAGTGGTTAACATGTGTAAGCATTAAATGTGATAGGGCATGCTTTACATTTCCAATTTCATTTTGACTTTTAGCCGTAATTAATTTTTTGTTGACTTTGCCTTACTAACTTCTAACTGCATTTCCCTTCTTGTCGCCACGATCAAAGGACGGGAAAGTTCATTCTATTATTCAACAAAACTTGGAAGAGCGTAGCCAACTTTTATATTGATTTGGACCACTACCTTTTAAAATATTTATTGAAAAATTTACTACGACAGTTTTACATGTAATAGTTCCAATAGCTAATGACGTATCAGTAGAATATAATTAAACTGTAGACAGTTTACATAATGGGCCCTATTGATTAGAATTTGGGCCACGTTTACAAAATGGGCCCTATTGATTAGAATTACTCACGTCCCTCTAGTTAACCGGGAAAGCAATATCACAGTGAATTGAAATCTTTCCATTTTGTCTCATTTTTGTTAATTTTCTATTTGTTATTGCAATTTTTAAAGAAAATCCAAGTTAAGTATTGAAACGGCAAACCTAAAACAAAACAAAAACCCTATTATTTTACCTGCACTCGAACAATGGCGATGTTAGATCTTCCACGTGATTTGTTAGAGGATATAGTCTCTAGGGTTCCGGACGAGTCTCTAAGAGAGTTGCGATGTACTTGCAAACAATGGAACGCTTTATTCAAAGATCGAGGATTCACCAAAAAACGATTCGACAAAACAGCAAGAGAAGTTATCGTAATGAAGAATGCAAAGCTTTATTTCTTCGATGTTGATAACCGATCACGTCGAGTCTACAAGGCCCGCATTGAATCCGGCAGCTTATTTGCTAATGATTATATTGCCAATGCAAAAATCCAGATATCTGATATCTTTCACTGCGATGGTTTATTGTTGTTCCGTACCATGAGCGGCAACATGCTTATCGTTTGGAACCCGTGTTCGGATAAAACCATGTATGTCTATCCGAATGAATACACGGGTTCCATCTTTGCCCTTGGATACCACAAGGAACTGTGCGATAGCTACAAAGTCTTGTGTATTCATCCGAAAAGGGAATCCTCAGAGTTAACTATCTTTGATATTTACAATGATCCATGTTTATGGAGGAATCTTGATGAAGTCACTCTCGGCTGTGACATACAATCTCGTGGGGTATCTTTAAAAGGGAATACTTATTGGATTGCTTCACAAGTCATCAAAGGTATTTTACTACTACTAAGTTTCGATTTCACAACCGAGAGTTTTGGACGCATGAATCTTCCCTTTCAGCGTCTTGGTTATGAGATTTTGGCCTTATCACTTGTTAAAGAAGAGAAACTTTCGGTTTTGCAACAGAGTTTGGATACATCAAGGGTAGAGATTTGGGTGACAACCAGTGATAAGATTGATCAGACCAAGGTCAGCTTGTTATGGAGCAAGTTTTTGGCAGTGGATTTGAACCCTTATTGTGACCACAGGTTTACGTGTGATGTAAGTTTCTTTATCGAGCAAGAGAATGAAGTCGCCGTTTGTTGGGACAAAGCAAAAGCATACATTTTTGGAGAGGATCATCACTACATAGATATGGATTTCGAAGAAAATATTGGATGGATACCTACTTTTCCAGCAGTTATGTGCCAAGGTTGGTTCAAATTTAAACTGAAGCGTACGAGAAGATATACAAGGGAAATTTGCTTTAGTGAACCCTTATTGTGACCACAGGTTTTACGTAATTTCTTGCATCTCATCTCGTTTCTTTTTTTCATGTCCTTTGAACCATTAGTGAATTTGAATTGATCTCATTTATGTTTTATATTGGTGTGTATATAATCCAACTTTCTGGTTCGTTTAGTTGCTAACAAACATATGCAAATATTTGCAGCAATTAAAGGTTTTCAAACAAGACACCAGAGAGCTGAAATATATATATACATGCAAAGAGATTAAAAGGATGATATATCAATTGATAAACAATAACAATGTATAAAACAGTATTGTGATCTCTCCTGTACAAACAACACAATAGTGATGAAGATACTCTTCTTTTGATCAAATCTTTTATCGCGTTTCTTCTCTAACCATTTGCGCGAAAACTTTGCTCATTGAGACCCCTGCAATATCTCCCACTCCATTCACACTAAACTGCACGGTCGAGCCCACGATGCTCGCCTCTGGCTGATCATCCACCATTGCTGCTTTCTCATCTTTTGCTTGCACCTGAAGCATGAACTCTAGGTTCCACAACAAATCTCCCATTGTTGGCCTCTCAATTCCGTTTTGGGACAAACACTTCTCTGTTATCTCACAGTACTTTTTCACCTCTTCAAGCTTTACTTTCCCTTCAAGAAAAGGGTCTATGATATCTTCCAATTTCCCTTTCTTCACCAACTTCATCGCCCATTCGATCAAATTCACTTTCTCTCTCGGTAGCGAAGGATCAATGACTGGTCTACCGCATACTACTTCAAGCATCACCACACCAAAAGAGTAAACATCGGATTTCTCTGTCAATTGTTGTCTTGTTAGATACTCTGGATCAAGATATCCAAAGCTTCCTTTAACCGCGGTACTCACATGTGTTTGATCAAGATCCGGACCTGTCTTAGACAATCCAAAGTCTGCAACTTTGGCCATGAAATTCTCATCCAAAAGAATGTTAGCAGATTTCACATCGCGGTGTATGATTGCTCTTGTGGAACCTGTGTGGAGATAGTGAAGCCCTCTAGCTGCACCAACGCATATCTCAAGCCTCTGTCTCCAACTTAACCTCGGGTTATCATCCGAGTCATACAAATGGTCCTTAAGCGTTCCCTTCTCCATATACTCATAAACAATGATCATTTCGCTGTTTTCATCGCAATATCCGATTAAAGAAACCAAATGCCTGTGTCTGAACTGAGTAAGCATTTCAACCTCTGTCTTGAATTCCGCAAGACCTTGACGAGATTGAGGAGCACCGCGTTTCACAGCTATCTCGGTTTTGTCCCTCAAGACTCCTTTGTAAACTTTACCAAACCCACCAACCCCAATCACTAAGCTGTCATCAAAATCATCAGTTGCTTCCTTGATTAGAGCCAAAGGGTATCGATAACCGATCTTGGAGCTCGAAAAGATTAAGCTCTCACCGGGTTTTTCATTGTTCTTAATCTGATGATCATCTCCTCTAGAATGAACAGTTTGCATTTGTCTATTTCTTCTTCTTCTTTTCCTGACACACCACCAAAATACAACCACACCAAACACTAAAGCAACACACAAAGTTGCAGATAAACCAGCTATCAATCCGATTCTCGTATTCGAACTCTTGTTACGCGAAGAACCATCATGGAAACCAGCATCAAAAGCATCAAGACTCTGCTTATCGTTGCTTAGCTTCAAAATCTCAAATCCGTTGATAAAAGAAACAGGGTACGAAGAAACATCCATAACTAAACCAATGGATAGATTCAAGAATCCTTCTCGACTTCTCGCTTTCCGCATCACTGCATCAACGAAAAAAGGAGCTCCAAAAGTTCCATTTAAAACCTCTGTCATATCAACGGACCTAACTTTCTCTGAGTTCACAAAAATGTCAAAGCGTATCTGACGCTTGAATCCAAAAGGATCCACTATTATATTACAAAAGTGAAATCGGACAAAGTAATCGAAACCAGGCTCGATTTTGAATGTCCAAGTAAGATTGGCATTAGTATTAGGATCAAGATCAGAGTTCAACCTCGTGGCGGTTCCATAGACGTAAAGAGGAGCAATGTCATCTGTTATTCCACCAGCACTGAAGTTAACCGCTTCGAGGTTCATAACCGGCGTACCGAATTGAGCTTTATACGCAGAATCAGAATCCCATTGCCTCCATAGCTTATCTTGATCACGACTCACACTCAGATTCCCCATGTTTACACGAGAAACAGTCTCCATAGCGTGACTCCTGAGCTTGAGATCCTTTTGTGTACCAATGAGTTTTGCATCTTCAGGTATCAAATCCTCTGGAAGTCTAAAAACTTCCAAGGCATTGATGAAAGCTATAGAACCGGCTTGACGACGAAATTCGAGAGATAGATTATCATTGGCGATGTTTAAACTGTATTCTTTAACAACAGAAGTCGTTGAGGGTTTGTATTCTCTGATCAGAGTGAAATTCTGAGCCGAGACTGAGAATCTAGCTGTGGTTAGATCTTGAGAAGCAGAGACTAAGGGTAAAAAGTAAAGACGAATCAAGAACCAACCGTGTTTCTCGATCGGGAATCGGTAAGTTGATGATTCATCGGAGAATACTCTTGCGGTCTGAAACAGAGCCGATTCGTCACCTGAATTCGAATCGGTGGTTCCGACAGAGATTCCTTGAACAAGATTGTTGTCGGACACGAAGGTTCTATTGTTGACTGTTACATTCGTCGGAGATCCACAGTTGATGAAGAAAGTATCAGAAACAGAGGAGGTGATGTGTGAAGAACAGAGAACAGTTATTAAAAAACATAACTTTAGCTCTAAGAAGAGCTTGAGGTTTATCATAGCCAACGAAGAACAGAGAAATCGTTGGCAATAAGTGGAAATGCAAGAACAGAGTGGAGGAAAAAATCGTAATTTGGAGAAAAGGGTATATTATTGTGGACAATTTTGAAGGAAACAGAGTCTATTTGGGAGAAGATAATGATAATAAGATGGAGAAAAAAAGTGAGAGATGGTTGCAAAAAGAACCGTGAACAGAGAAACATTCACATCATCTCAATAACTACGCGTTTACACTTATGAATTGACCAAAACGAAAATTAAAAGTCTTGAATTTATTGCAATTCAGGGTTTTTGAAAAGGGTTTTAAAGCAAAAAGACGAGAGAAGAAGAGGCAAGTTGATTAACAAATCTGTTGACAAATAAACCAAAGTTGATTAACCAATCTGAAGAATTATCAACAAGACCACGAGTTAGTGTTTTTTTTTTTTTTTTTTGGTAGATTTCGTTTTCAACGTTTTGTTTCATCAAGCTGGAAATTCGTAAGTTTTTGTTATGAGAAATAATATATTAAATTGATATATGAAAAAGAGGATAAGCCCAAAAAAGGAAGAAGATAAAAGAGGCTGGAGCATATATAAGTGATTGGAGACATAATAAAATGACAATTAAAGACAACTATTTCCCACCGGCTTCAAACGTGCCGTTAGGTTTGTAGTGTTCAAGATAGAGACAGAATAATTGTTTTTTTTTTTTTTTTTTTGAAGTCTTTTCTTGAAACAGTCAATACTTATTTTTATTTGTAGCAGAGCAATTTTGAATTTTATAACAATTTTTTAAGTATTTTATAGTAGTCTATTTTTTGATAAATAAATAAATTTAAATAAATTTATACATTTTTCATATAGTAATCTTTGTGGTTTTGTTATATGCCAATGGATCCTATAAAAATCTAATGCAACACTAAAGTATCATATTTCAATTTGGATACAATGAACATGAACTTAAAACAATTTGCTTTATTTTCTTTAGTTCTATTTTTTAATCTTTAGTTTGTTAATTGAATTATAGTAGACACTTTTATTAACCTTAACCGCCGACAAAACATATATCTTTCTTTTTAAAATTTCATATGCGCCAAACAAGATCAGAACTGATAATATAAAATAGTAGCATATCTACATACAAAAACTCATTTGATCACTTAATTACATGTTTGATTGGATTTGTTTAGTATCATTGAGGTGTATTAATCACTGCATCACTATATTATAATTGGAGAAGTTTTAGACTATTTCTTGAGGTGTTGCGTGTATAAAACAAAAAGAATAAATAAACTTTTATTCAACATTTTATTTTTGTCCGGCTATAATTTGAGAATATCAAATATCAATTTGTGGTCGATGAATTGACCTTTAGCCTTGTACAAAATCGTTCGTGTAATGAACTAATCTCAAAGACACGCATAATTTACAACACTTACACGTTTAATTAGACAATCATTCTAAAAACTAACAATCGTTAAACATGTCAGGACAGTGTGGGCTATCGCATTCGCATACTATACGTCCAAACACATAGAAAACGTAGCCAAGAGATACAATCCAAATTTATGCATAATAGATATATAATACGTACAAATTAAAGAGTTTAGACAGTAAGAGCTCGTACATTAATCCATCGAGATGACGCCATGTGCTTTTGCTATTCTCCACACATCTATGTAAGTCGGTAAACAGAATGATTATCAAACGTAGTTTTTCTTTGTGTTGTGGAATTTTGTTATCCGAGCTCGATTAGAGGGATAATGTTTGAATGTTGCCAATCCGAATGCAAGGTCATGTGCCAAGTTGGGAAGCAATCATATATGCTTTATCAATCATATAAAGTTATAAACACTCAGGGGTTGGTTTTAGGCCTAATAGAAACTATAGGCTAACTTGTTGGTTTGCCAAAATACAATTCAAGAAAAAACAGATGGGCCTAAGAGAGTATTGAAATAAGTTATATATGGACGTAAGAAACTTGGGCAATCTTCCGCAGCCGAATGGAGGAGATCACTAATCCAACCATCAGAATGAGGATGTCATTAATATGGGCCGCATGGAAATGACAATGAAAGTAGTTTTCTTTTTCAGTTTTAAAATTTTGGGTTTTGAATTTTTGATTTGTTGGTTTTTACTATAGATTTTGAGTTTTGTTTTTTTGGTTTTAGGTAATTAATTATGTATTTGGTCTTTGATTTTTAGTTACTATAATACGTACACTTGGTATCTACATTTATAATTACAATAATCGAGATTATAGATCGATTTTCATAACAAAATACAAATATTATAGTATCCACAATTTTACATGACTACAATATATCTCAAAATTTAACCCATCAATAGATAATAACAAGGTACAACGAACTTTGATGACATTGTTATCAAACAAGATAAAAGAAAAATAAAAAGAGAAAGAAAAGTTTCGACAAGTTAATCCTATTTTAAGGCTTTGATTTGAAAGCTTAAATTGATGCACACGTACGCACTGATCAAACACAAAAGATATATGCTAAAGCAGCCCACAGCTTTGGGTTCTCTTGTCCCTTCCCTCCCTCCTAAATCGCCTTTTAGGTTTGATTATTAATTAATAACACTATGTTTTAGGATTAATGATTAATGATGCGATATTATTCTCGTCATTTGGTCTTTGCTTTGATATTTAATTCTCAGAAGTGTCCTTTAGTTCTTGGAAGAGACATGTACTGGAGAACTATTTTTTTCTTCTCATCTATATTATCTATTTAACAATTCCATTCCCCCTAATTTGTTCGAACAATGAAAAGCAATATATAGTTAAGAAAAATAAGTACTTCTATAATTAATCATAATCATATATTAAATTAAGAGAGATGTTGGTACTTAATCGTAAGCCTGTAAGGCTGTAACCATACAAAAATAAAGAGAGATGTTAATTATGGTTAATATATAGGTTCCGATCGTATGAATCAATTGAAATAATTTAGTTAACGTTCCTTAATCCTTATATATTACTTTAGACACATCTTATTTCAGATGTGAGTTTTTTAACACGCTCCTTCAAAATGCTGGTTTTTGTTTTAGAATCGGCAACATTTTTTTTTTTTTTTTTTTTTAGGATCGGCAACATATCCGACTTAGGCCATCATACTTGGATCAGTAATTTAAAAATTCTTACAACATGTTAAGATTCAGGGATTTTGAATTCAAAACCAGTTAACACATATTCTTATGTTACTAGAAAAATTTAATTTATTAAATATGGAATTCCTAACAAACAAGACACCTAAGTTCTTATAATATATGCATTAAAGCATACAGTATATATGGTTTTCGTGAAAAAGGGACTTGAACTTATATGTATGGTTTGAGTATGTATGTATGTATAAAAGTTAATAGGACTTCACATGAAAAGAGGACTTTAGAAAGAAACTTAACATCAAAAAAGGGAGCTAATTAGACTTCGGAACTCGACCTAACCTCTAACGTTGCTGTGTAAGTCATTCATGTCTTGTAATGATGCTTTATATTCTTTGAATATCTCCATTAGTATACTACAAATTATTTGTTTACACAAATTAATTTATGGAGCGAAGTAGCAATCAGCTTTCTGAAAGCATGGATCCATGTTTCCCGATATATATCCTCCTTTTCAGCTTTAAGAAGTGAACCTTTCTATGGTGATAGTGACGGTCTGACTCTTAACATTCGTGTTTAGGGAATCATCATTTCAGTCTCTCAATCAGTCTCCATTAAGTTATATATTTTCTCTCTCTTTTTTTTTTCATTTAAAGATTCTTTTCTGCTAATATCACTACTTCAGGTGATTTTAACATGGAACATTTAGTTTAAAGATATGTTTAAAACTAGGTATTCCACCATTTTCGCAGACATTAAACGTATAAGTAAATTGTTTATGTTGTAAACTTTTAAAAACAAAGAGTGTAAAGTTTTCATTACATATCCTATTAACTTAAAAATTGGCATGTGGTGTAATGTGCTTGGATTAGTATATCAAGAATTTAGTCAAAACATTTATCTAGATTGTTGATAAATTATAACAACAACATGAACAAGAAAAGTTGGACAAACATCATAAATATTTATTATTAATTTATTACAAATGAATTATATTGAATGTCGAAAATATCACATATAGTTACCATTTTAGTGAAGATAAATTTTTTTCCTTAGTAACTCTCACTTTGGTATAAAAAAAGTACACCACATCAGAATTTTACATTAGACGACATTGATTTACAAATCCGAGCATATTTGAGTCGGATCTAAAAAAAACCTCAAGTCGGATCTAAAAAAACCCTCAAATCACAAGTAACATGAGTTGAATCTAAAGAAGCATTGGGAATTTATGGAATCTCATAGAAAAACAAAGAAGAAGCAAAATAAGAGGAAAAATACAAAAGAAAACAAAGAATTTATTCTCTAGTTCTCTCACTCTCTCACTCTCTCACTCAACTCTTATTTCCTTCTTATATTTCTTCATGTCCGATATCTTTAGTTAGCCCCTAAACATCTGAGCCCGTTCTTGATCATCCCTAGCTGCGATTCTTGAAGCTGACAACGAACAGAATCCGACCTCATTAACACTATACTGTTTCTGCTTCTGCTGCTGTGATTGCTTGCAATGCAAGATAGCTCCCTGGATAGAATTCTCAATTTCAGAACTCGAACTCGTACTTCTCTTCAAAAATTGCAGCGGACGAAACCCTAAACTATTCGATGTTTTGTTGTTTGAACTCTTTGCAGCTTGTCTCCTCATAGAAACTGAAAACGATCTCCTATTGCTCCCGGAAACAGAACTATTACTCTGTTTTTTAGGTCTCTCTGTTTTGATTTGTCCAAAAGGCTTCACTCGCGAATACCTCAAAACCGAATCTTCGTCTGCAACTCTCGCAGCGGAAGACGCGCATGATGACTCATCAGAACAACTTGTTTTACCAAAGAAAGATCTAAGATACGCTCTCGAAGCTTTAATCTTCGTTCCAAGACTTGATTGCTTCATCAATCTCAGTTTCGTGGTCCAAGGTTTCTTCTTCTCATCCTCCTCCCCCAATGAGTCTGGATATTCAAGGAAATAGTCTTCAGGGTTAAGCTCTTTACTCACTTGGCAAGACTCTGCCGGAGAGACGGTGCAGGACTCGAACGGAGTGTTGCTCGTCACCGGAGTTGTAACCGTTCCGGTGGCTAAAGGAGTGCTGTAGAATTCATCGTCGAAGGTGTAATCTTCTAGAATCTTTTGGACCATTTGGAGACGTGGAGGTAAGTGAAGAGGGAGAAGCTTGCCTTTGTAGAAGAGTTCGTCTGCGGGAGAAGTGGTTTTGTCTATCTCGAGAGGACAAAGATGAGACATTTGGAACTCGAACTCTCGAGGGTAGTTGTTGTTCAGAGTTTGGCGTACGAGGTTTGTGAAAGAAGTTACTTCCATGTCAATGTAATCTTCTTCTACACTGTCGCATCGCTCTAGATAAGCCGCCATTTGTTTATGTTTGTTCTTTGTGGTATGTTTTAGTGATTAGAGATATGAGTTGAGTTCAGAGTTGGAGAGGTTTGGTTTTATATATGTAAGAGAGAGAGACAGAGAGAGTTAGTGTTAGGTTTCTGATTGGTAAAGAGGGTACAACTTTGGACCGTATTGTTTTCTTTTAAAAATTTTACTTACATATACGTTAATAAATTACAAATTATATGAACAGGGTATATTAATAGTTCAAATGAGTTTCTTGGATGGACCACCACTTAAAACTTGTACTCAAGATTTTCTTAAAAGTTTAGCAAAGATGGGTCAAGTAAAAACAAGTTATTTTTATGTCATTTTCTTTTGTACAACTATTTGATTGGCTCTAGAAAGTTAATGGGTTCATATAAGAAAAAGATAATGGGTTTATCATCGTCATCAGTGGTGATTACAACATGAATTTATGAAAGAAGGGCAATATAGCGAGACAAAGTGTAGAATAAAACAAAAGTATCCAATACAGAAAGTATTGGTTTAGTAATCTATCTGATAATTATTGTACTTATTGTGTTTCTAAAGATATGTGTATTGGATTTGTTTTAATCTGGACAAGGACGATGATGAGAGACATTAATCTTGGTAGATGCCCACGTGTGAGATAATTTTCTGTCTTATTGGTTACTCGAGCAATAAAGAAACGCATAAACAATAACCAAATATGATTAACAATACCTTTAACAAAAAAAAAGAAAATGAAGATCAACAATATGATTGTGTCGTGATCAACAATACATTGATAATACAAAGAAATTCATAAATTTAGACACAGTAAATAAAACGATGTTTGTTGCTTCTTCTACTTTTAACTTCATCATGTAAATTGTTTATTGCGTTTTGGAAATCTTTTTGGTTTCTGGCAGGAGTCATATCCCATTGTACTTTACGATGTTCCAAACTCCAAACATTTTACCAGATTCCCGGGTTTAATTTTCTCCACCTTTTAAGTACTCCTCCATGATAATAAACTAATAAGACATTTGTTTTCCATTGTTTTATTAGTTTACTAATTATTTGAAAAAAAAAAAAAAAAAGTTAATTTGAAAGGTTTTTTTAGACAACAATTTAGGAGAAAAAAAAGACAAAATTTCTTTTGTGCCACTGTTTATCTTGTTATTGAAAAACTGTTGACTTTCAGTTTATTATCGGAATCTACAAATGAGTTTTTAGCCCATTGCCTTTGATCAAATAAACCAAATACCGGTCTGATCGGTTTACACGACATTTGGAAAGCTACCGATCTCTTAGAAGGCGAGAGAGTCACAAAAGACGAAGATGGAGATGGAAAAATCCATGCCGATCACTTACGTTTCAGGTACTCGATCACTTAATTCTTTATCTTTTATTTGTGTTTTCGCATATCTGTTGTGGATCGAAATTTAAAAAATTAGCTGAGAAATTAAACGAAATCAGTAGATGATTGCAGCTTTGATTGTGACTTTTTATATTTTAAGCTAAATATTGTTTATGTGAATTTATAGATTTAGTTTCTTTCTTGTTTATTTAGATAGTTAAAGGTTCCATTTTTGTAATAGATATTGCAGGTTTTATCCAATTTTTAGATTTTACTTTCTTGAGTTTTTATTTATTTATTGGAGATCAATAGATCATGTAGTTCATTCTAATAATATCATACTCCTCTTTTAGTTTATTTTTTTCTTAGTTGTTTCATAATTGTTTGATTCAGTTGATCACTAGCTTAATGCAAAAATGTGCAACATATATAAGTGTGCTTACATATTTAATATTTCACATAATCACATCCATTTAATTTAAGTGATGAAGATACTAAGCAAATGCTCTAACTCTGAACTTTAGTTTCTTACACATCCAAGTGAGATACAAGATGATGAAGAAGAAGAAGAAGAAGAACCACTAAGTATTGGTGTTCCATGGAACAGATCCGAGAGATAGTTCTCCAAGTTATCAGGTTTAAACCTCACCAGCATCTCTATGTTTCTCTCCTTACTCAGCATTGGCAAGTACTTGCCGTAAAACTCTCTGTATTCCGGTACTATTTTCTTTGCTATGGAAACCTTAAGCTCGTTCCTAAGTTTTGTATCTGTTATGACACATGATGATTGTTTCATATAAGCTTCTTCGAATGCTGCGTGAAATCTCTTGAAATGTGCTTTGGCCTCCTCTGCTGATAGTGTGCTACTTGTTTTCTCTGGTAAAGATATGTAAACATTGGCCCACGCTGCGATCTCGTAGTTTGCAGCGTAGCTTCTGAGTTTCGCTTCGTGCTTTATGAGCCAGTCGTCTCCGAGGATGTTCCTGAGGTGAGTTGAACGAACGGTATCAACCACAAACTGAATGTTGTTCACTAGGAAGAGGTAAGAGAGAGAAACATCCTTGTAGCTCTCTGCTTTGATATCTAGTTTGCATAGGAAAACCAGGATGAGCCAAGCTAGATGGACCGAGACTGCGTGGTTGTTGTGTTCATCTTCTAAGATTGGAGCTGTGAAATAAGATTCTAGCATACGTGTGTTTCTCTTAAGAGGATGCTCTGCAAGGATCTCGGATAACACACGGCTGTATTCAGAAAGAGATGATATGAAACTCATGGTTGATCGCGTCAGCTTGTGAATCCCTCCTCCTGCAGTTACTGCTTTCGAAGAATCCTTTTGTATTGTCGACTCATATTCCGTGAGACTTGTGTGGATTGAGTGCTTGAGTTTCTTCAGCGATGAGAGCACCAGAGTTTTAACAGCAGCTACTGAATCAAAGTGGAATATCAGCTCTATGTCTGGCCTAAGGTCAGAGATTGCTGCATAGAGATCCATCAGCCTGAAGATCCTCTCGGGCGATGATTTTTTCTCCTTATTGGCAACGAGTTCTGGGAACCTGAAAAGATTGATTCCTGCTTCGTTCACTATCTCGTAAAAGCAAGACTCTCTTATGGTACTTGAAGCAGAGAAGACATGATCACAGAGAAGTTTTTCTCCGCGGAGGAGTGTTATGACTCCAATCTTTGCAGCTTTGATCCAGTTCTTGATCATATGCTCGAGCACGCCCCAGTCCATTCTGTTGAACCGGGAGATCTTGTACTTTTCGATCCCAAGTAAGTGTAGCCCTTCATCTACAATTGACTTTCTGATCAACTTATAGCTCTTTATGCACTCTTTACCATATCCACAGCTGATCATAGTCTCTGCTATGACCTTGAGGTCTGACATCACAAGTGCTGCAGCTTTTTCGACCTTAGTGATCGTTTCACCAGCCTTCTTCAGCTCATCTTCTTCATCATCATCAGATTGCATAACATCTTCAAATTCTGAATTGCTTGAAATTGAGGAGTGACCAGAGACAGATTCAGGATCAAGTTGGTCTCGGTTTGAAGACAGAATCTGGAAGAACTCTTTTTCGAGCCTGGCCATACCGATCTGCATCAGATGCTGTGCAAGAACTAGCTTGGCAGATTGTGAGTGCTGAGAGATAAGAAAGTGCATGGCTCTGCGTAAGTCACGGATGCATCTGATGAATTCTTTGGCCTCTTTTCTGCTGTGACTAAACAGAGAGATGATCCTTGTGTAGGACGGTGAGTTCAGATCCCATTTCTTGATGATTGATTCCGCGGCCTCCACGGTTTCCTCCATTACCGACTGAGAAAAAGTCTGATTAAGAGGAGAAGCCGGGAGGGAAGTGAATGAAGAAAAAGAAGAAAGGAGTGATTTAGGAGAAGAGGTAGAGAAATGAACAGACTTTGGTTTTTTCTCCATTGATGAGGTTTTACTAGTTACTACTCTTCTTCCTGAATATGTTATGTAGAAGAGAATATGTTTAATAGAGTCTCTTGATTGTCTATGTAAGGTACACTTAACATTATATAGAGAGATAGTTTCTCAATGTATGAAACCAATGGCCAATACAAATTTTTGACTGACTTTCTCTATTCGTGCAAGTTTTAAATATTCAATATAAGTAATGTTTCATGTAGTTTCATACTGGTGTAATAGTTGACCCAATACATTTATTTTCTTTTATGTCTTAATCGTTCGATTCTTAATACTTGAAACTTCTCATCAAGTCATTAGATAGAAGAATATATTATAGTGGCTATGAGTCTATTGACTTGGTAAGAATTTCGAAATTCCGGTGATTTATGGTTATCTTAAGGATGATGTAGATGATCGATGGTTAGTGTCTTATTAAAATGTAGGAGTTGAACAATTCAAATGTTTTCTTTTTCTTTAACCAGAGCTATATACATTTATCTTTTTTAGGTAATATATACCTTCACTATATAAAACTATATTAAGCTATATTGTTTGACCAACAAGATCAAAGATACGCACTACCTCAGATATTATGTAATTTACACTTATTGTTATATATATGTGACATGGAGATAAGATTTGAAAAATGATATATACACATGCATGAATAACTAATTAACTATACAATACAAATATATTGCAGCCACGAGTTTGATTGAAAGAAAAGGATTGCTTACCAAAGTCAATTGTGTAAAGATGTAAGCAAGTTCTGCATCAACGCTGACTTTGCACATCAAGACCAGCAATAAGCTATTCTACGTATAGCAACGACCACACTTCATAAGTCATAACCGTCTAACCTTACCAAACCAAGTGCAGGAAAAAGTTGTTATGTATGAAAATGCAAAGGGTTGATCACTTGGATCTCTGCATACTACTTGGTTTGGTTTGATTTGACTTGAATTGATTCATTTGTTTTCAACAGTTACGGAACCAAAAGAACTCAAAGGAACACTCAAATGAATAGAGAAATTGTGAAAACAATTTGGCAGCCAAAGTCAACTCTTGCCTATAAGACAAGTAATCACAAAGTCAAATTTCTCAAATTTGTCTTTTTATCCCAAATAAATTATAAACAACTGATTTTTTTGACTACATTCAAACACAATTACTTAACAAAATCACGATAGTCTCTCATATATTGCGCATATACACCAGCCCCCGCCTCTTCATCTTGGTCTAACAAAGTTTAGTGACAACAAATGATTCACACTAGAGGACCATTTGGTGTATCAAATATTCTTCTTTCTTTTCTTGGTCAAAATGGCGTATCAATTCTTCAAAAACTCCGATTTTCTACCAATTGATTCTATCTAGAGGTGTAGGTTTCATATCAGTCAACTTATCTTGCAAATCACCACATCAGCTTTGCTTCTTTGTATAACTCGGACATGTATTGATAATAAATTTTCGTTGCGTTCTAGTTTTCTCGGGTCAAACATAAATACATATTTCAAAGTTTTCAAAAAAAGAATCACATTGGCTAAAGTTTTCCACTGGTTGAGTTATATGCTAGAGAGAGTCATGTGCACGATAAAGAATTCACTAATCTTGATTCATCAAGCTTTGTTCTGTCAGTTTAATCAGAGTTCACCGCAATAATTTGATAAATTCGAAAACAGAAACTGCTTTATTTCTTTCTCAAGTGAGGTGTACGACGAGAATCAAAGACAAACACTTAGGTTTAGTTGATAGACGTTATGAACTGCTCATGATAAGATCGAGTTGGCTAATTGAGTGAAGAAGAGTGATGATAGAGATTTACAATCCTAAAAAGCTAATCCTCAACCGAGTATAATAAATCATGATGTGATCCAATCATACAATACTACTTTTTCTGAAACAATCTTTCATTAAGATGAGCTTTCAATATCTTTAACAAGTAAGAATAACAAGCAAAAACTCACAAAAGAGCTAAAATTCAAAACACAAAAATTTGATGTGATTAAGATAAAAGCTTACACCTTAATAGCATACTTTCTTATCGGAAAGTACATTTCTTTCTTCTTCTCCCTCTCTGTCTTCAATGATGCCTGTTCAAATCAGCCAGCAATGATTCATTCAGAACAAAACAACACAGCATTCATTCATTTCTCAATATCACTCTGAATCACCTAAACACATTACAATACCTGATGCTTGGTGAGTCTCCTCCTGATAGCTCTAGTCTTCTTGGGACGAAGATCGAGAGGTAAAAGCTTCTTGTTCTTGTATGCCTCTCTCAAAGCAGACTTTTGTTTCTGTGAGATCACTGTCAACACCTGAGCAATCGACTTCCTCACCACCTTGCTGATTAAACACAAAACATAACCCATTTGAGATCATTGCGATTAAAAACCAGTTATCGAACAATCCAACAGTGAAAAAACTAAGCCAAGTAAGCTACTCTTTCTTTACCTAGAAGCTTTATATATCTATAGAGGACAATGACAAGAACTAAGTACATACTAATATGTAAAATCAGAAAAATTGACAACAAAACTAAACAATTTGCAAAACATAAGCAGAAACAAGTGTTACATGTCTAAACTTATCAAAAAGGCAATGATACTCATAAACCTGATTAAACCTAGCTAAATCTGATTACCACAAATGCTTAACTAATCACTAACAACAGCAAAATCATAAACAAGGCTATAGAATTAAGATTCCAAACATATAAAAATTCACTAAAATCAGAAAAATGCAACATTTGATCTCACACAAAGTGTATATAGTGGAAACACATACATCTTAGAGAGCTTGTTGGGAGCACCTCCAGTGACCTTGGCGACACGAAGAAGAGCAAGCTCCGCCTTAAATTCCTTCAACTGAGTCGAAAGATCAGCTTTTGATTTCTCCCTCAGCTCATGAACCTTGATTCTCGCTGTTCAGATTCCATTTCACATCACAAAATCAAATCTCATAACCAAAACGTACGAAATTATATGTTAACAGAGGAAAATGTTTGAGAATTTAGGCTTACCCATTGCGTCTTCGAGTTCTCTTTAGCTTCCCTTTACTCTTTTGGGGTGGTGTTATAAGAGATTAGAAACCCTAGAGAAAAATGAAGAAGATGACGGCTAAGACTTAAATTCAGATTTTAGGTTATATTTGGGCTTTGACTGTGAGTATAAAACCCAACACACATCTAATGGGCTGAGTTTTATATCTTATGGGCCGAGGCTCATAAACCCTACTAATGAAATCTTGTACCAAAATCATTTATTTATGAAAAATACTAAAAGTGGAAAAGAGAGTTGTATTAGGCCTGGGCGTTTGGGTATTCGGTTCGGTTCTAGAACCGAACCATTCGGTTTCAAGTATTTTGGTTCTGAGATTTAGGAACCATATTGGAACCAAATCAATATCGGTTCGGTTCCTATTCGGTTCGGTTCGGTTCGGGTAATAAATTTTGGAACCGAGTAGGAACCAAACTGTTTCGGATATATTTAGAACCGAAAAAATAATAGAATTATAATGCAATTTTGCAAGTATGCAATGCAACATCACATATTAGTCATCATACCATTACAAATTCAACAAATAGTTGAAACTTGGAAAGTATTAAATCAAAAGACACCCAAAAGTTTCAAAAATACCACAAAACACAAGTTTTAAAGACACCAAAAGAATCTTTGTCATCGATTTGCAATGATTCGAAAGAGAGAGTTGTTGTCTGCGGCATCTCCTTCTTTGAGAAAGAGAGAACAAACTAGGATTTTTCTTTAGGTTTCAAAAAATATATAAGACTTTAAGAGAGATATATGGTAGGTTGTTAGGCTTGGATAGTTAGGTTTATGTCTAGATGGGTTTGAGAGTTTGAGTTATATAGATATAGGTTAATGGGTAATATTTTTTGGGTACCCGAATGGATATCGGTTCCTACCCGAACCGAACCGATATCCATGGTTCTTTGATTCAAGATCCAATCGATATTTTCACTAGAACCGGAACCGAACCATACCCATCAATTTCGGTTCGGTTCGGTTCGGTTCGGTTCTATGTGGATCCATATTTGTGCCCAGGCCTATTTGTATATATTGACTTTTTCATAAATGTGATACAGTAAGTGGAAAATTAGATTCGCGCCGATTAAACTGTTATTTTGTTTTTGAAGGAGAATTATTTGATTTCAGATATAATAATAACATAATTAAGCTTTTCAGATTAAATTTCTTCTCTCTTTTTTTTTTACATGTTTAATTTGATTGTGAATGAAAGGAGTAATCTTAAAAGAAGTTTTGATTAAAGACGTTATCGTAATCAATAATGTGATGGAAAAGTGTAATTATGAGTCGCGTGATGACAATTACCTCTAATTAATACGATACATACATTTGTCAACAAGTTGACACAAAGACATAAATGCATGTTTATCCATCCCCAAGCTCAATATTCAAAGACTAACTTATGAGCATTTCATAATGACTCGATCGGAGAATTCGCCATTTGGTCAAATGAAAAACCAAACCGGTCAAGCACACCAAGGGCTGAAGGCTGAAGCATTCATATATACAAATATGAAAAGTAAAATCTTGGGCTCGTTCAATGTTTCTGGCGACGTCATCTACTACAACGAAAATATCCCAGACTTTTAAAACCAACCAAAACGCAGCGTAAATGCATGGTCCCCTGTTTTTTTGGGGTCGCTTTATTCCTTTTGACTCTTCTCTTTTCATCTTCTATAAATCAGACAACAACTAACTCTTTCCCTCTCGCTATCTCTCTCAGCATAAGTCTCTTTGAAAACAAGAAATATCTTATTTTTGTATAAAAACAGAACAAAACAGAGGATCATGGTTATGTATGAAGAGGTTAGTGTCTTTATATGTATAAAAGTGATTAACATGTTATTCCTTTCTTTCTTTTTTTGATAAAGGGTTTACGTGCTTACGAGTTTGATCCTTTAGTCTCGATCTAGCAGAATCAATCTATTAAGTCTAATGTAAGTTTTTTTGCAGGATTTTGTGTTGAACTCACGAGGCATGAAGTTGTTCACTTGTGTATGGAAACCAGTGAAGAAAGAACCAAAGGCATTGCTCTTCCTCTGCCATGGCTACGCTATGGAGTCCAGCATCACCATGAACAGTTCAGTCAGATATTAAAATATTTACTAACGTTGATCAAATTGTTATTATATTTAGTTATGTACTAACGACATAACGAATTATGGGAATATTCAGGCGCAGCCACGAGGTTAGCCAATGCCGGTTTTGCGGTATATGGAATGGACTATGAAGGACATGGAAAATCTGAGGGTCTAAATGGTTACATCAGTAACTTTGATGATCTCGTTGAAGATGTCTCTAATCATTATTCTACAATTTGTGGTAATTCTCTTAGAAAACGCTTAATTTGATATGTGTTTAGATTTTCATTAATATACTAAAAGAAATGGTTAAAATATATTTTAGAGAGGGAAGAGAACAAGGGGAAGATGAGGTTCCTACTTGGAGAATCCATGGGAGGAGCAGTTGTGTTGCTCTTAGCCAGAAAGAAGCCTGATTTTTGGGACGGTGCCGTTTTGGTCGCACCCATGTGTAAGGTTAGTGGTTTCTTTTTTCAGTTAATTGTTTTTCAGTTATCTTTAGTCTTGCATTATTAATGGGAAAATTGGAAATAAAGGATATCTACTTAAAACTTTGTCCATATACACCTTTTTTTGTGAGATTGTCAGTTTGGACGATTTTACCCCTACACCCTAATTTACATGTTTTAAAAAAAAAGTAATCATAAGAATAGATAGATATACAAGAGTAGAGGTGATTTGAAGTGAAATTTTTTAAATTTGGTTTTAAAAAAGCTGATTTTTTTATAGATAAAGTTTCATCTAATTTTGGTAGAACACGTTTTCTAGACTTCTGCGAAACTCAGAGTGTGTATTCTGCATTTTTGTACATGTTCTACATATTTCAAACTAGATTTCTGTTCTGAAAATTTTAGAATCCGAAAATCATATATCTAAAACATTTAGAACATGTATTCTACAGTTTGCTCTATGTTCTAAATTTTTCTGAATAGCCGTTCTAATAATTTCTACATCTTCTGCAATCGTTAGAAATTGTAATCTTCGTTTAGAATGTAAATTCTACGGTATTGTAGATTTCGTTTTCTGTAATTTTTAGAATGATCTAAATATAGAAAGTAAATCTTCAGAAAAGGAAACAAAATATTTTTTTAGATTACGATTTAAATGAATATTAATTATTTAGAATACGATCTACATAATTTAGAAAGCATTGTCTACGTTTTTTTAGAAAAAGTTAAAACCAAAACGTTTCTAAACCCTAAGCTAAGCCACCACGAGTGTTTTTACAAATAAATATTACTTCAGACCTTATGAAAGAGTCTTGAAAAAAAGGAGAGAAAAAGTTATCCCTGTATTTGCCTTTCTTAATCAAATAAATAATCACAACATTGGTATAACTGAATAAATAGGTTATAAGACATTTATTTTTCAATTGACAAAAAAAAAGAGAGTTGAATTTGCGTTTAGTGTTGTGTTTCAAAAATCAAGAAAAGCATAATTGTTTACTTTTTAGTGTGTTAAACTGTTAATAATCAATCAAGGATGATCTAGCTATTGGTTTATTCTTGGCAATTATTTATTCCAATACCCTCTGTCCATGGCTAACTCTGTATTTTTTTTCCTCGAGAGATGGTCTACAAAGAAAAAAAAAAACCCAAGTCCTTTATTAAGTTTTCGTGAAAAACTCTTATTTATTTGGAGGTTTTGTGATTTTTTTATTTCTATTTTGATTTTGTAAAGTCAGATAGGAAGTTTTATTTTTTAATAAATATTAAGAGAAGTGAGGGTAAACTTGGGTTTTGAAATTTATAAAACCTATTTGACCAATCTACAAAAATATGGTATATTTAGACAAATTTTTAAGTAGATATCTTTTATATCCAATTTTCCCATTATTGTAATTGGTGTTTTAAGAACCCAAAATTATTTCATAGTTTTCATATAATTTCAATGATGGTTTAAGAATCAGATAAAAAGTCTCAATCAAAAACGAAAAATATATTCTTATAGTGGGACTAAACCATAATTTTTCAATAATGTTCTCTACTTGTTGGATTAGTAATAAATGCTTAGATAATACAGAAAAATGGTTCAATCACTCTTCATTAGTCATTTGTCTCATAGTTTCTATATATACACCACTACTTGTTACAACCAAATACCAGTATATATACCACTAATTAAACAAGTAATCAAAACTTAATTATCGAAATGATTATATCAACTACCGAAAGTCCCACAGAGCTAATCAAAATGTTTTGTTTTTCAACTAATACAATCAATGTTGTTAATGCACAGTTAGCAGACGAGATAAAGCCACATCCAGTAGTGATCTCAATCCTTATCAAGTTAGCCAAGTTTATTCCGACGTGGAAAATAGTTCCAGGAAATGATATTATTGACATTGCAATTAAAGAACCTCACATCAGAAATCAGGTGAGTGATTATGATCTAAGACGCCAAATTTTACTTGTAATATCAGCTTGTTATCAACCATAATTATACATATGATTTATGTGAATTTTACAGGTGAGGGAGAACAAGTATTGCTATAAAGGCCGGCCTCGCCTCAACACCGCCTACCAACTCTTGTTGGTTAGCTTAGATCTTGAGAAGAATCTTCACCAGGTTTTAATTTTTTTTTTAGATATAGTTATGGATATGTATATTAATTTGGTTATGATGAAGAAAAACATTTTACAAAACTTTATAATTAATTAGTTAGTTATGGCTTGACTAGGTATCAATTCCTTTCATTGTTCTTCACGGAGAAGATGATAAAGTGACGGACAAAAGCATAAGCAAAATGTTATACGAAGTGGCTTCAACCTCGGACAAGACATTCAAGTTGTACCCCAAAATGTGGCATGCTTTGTTATATGGGGAAACTTCTGAAAATTCAGAAATTGTGTTTGGTGATATCATAAACTGGCTGGAGGATAGAGCCACCGATTCGAACAAAGCGTTAGAGAGTCAGCTAAAACACAAGCATGATGGATTCTTGAAGCCAAAATAAGTGAACGATATAGTCTCTTTTTTTTGGGGCAGCGGTTTATGTACTTGTGTAGTCCCTTACATACTTTACCTACGGGTACGAAGTTACTTGTGAAATAAGTAGTGAAGTACATTATATTTACGGAAAAAGCTCTAAATCTATAGCATAACAACTCGTTAACAAACCTCTAAAGCCACACAAATTTGTAGATAGCACAGATTCAAAATGATATTTCATGTCTATGCATAATTAACCGAATTCAATTACTTTTGGGCCAATAAATCAATAAATGTGACGCCGTAGTTCTGAAACCATATACAAATTTAGAAAAAAAAATAACAATAAAAACTATATTTGACACCACATATTTTTTTAGATGAATATAATTTTGTGATAAATTGACTAAAGTCAGAAACATTTATTTCAATATCATGACTATTCTAAGTTGTAATTTCGAAATTTAAAAGAACCACTAACCATTTAACAATTTCGGCGGAAAGTTATCAAACTCGGCTAAAATAAAGTTAAAGTTTAATGCATGAATATGCTACGAAATCATGCCAGTTTACTATATTGTCATTTCTTAATGGATTCATGTAACTTGCCCATGTGCACTGAACCATACTTAAGTTTACCCCTGGGTGAACCTTTAAATTCACCCAACAGATTATAGCCAATCGTTTTGCCATGTCATTATTAATACTAGAGAATTAAAAAAAAAAACACACAATTAAAAAAAAAAGAAATCACAAAATAGATTTAGGGTTTAAGGTTTAGGGTTTAGGGTTTAGATTTTACAATTAAAACGAAATTAGATGTCGGTTTGGGTTACCAAATGAGTGGTTAGGGTTTAGATTTTATAATTAAAACTAAATTAGATATCGGTTAGGGTTTAGGGTTTAGGGTTTAGGGTTTAGATTTTACAATTAAAACGAAATTAGATGTCGGTTTGAGTTGCCAAATGAGTGGTTAGGGTTTAGATTTTATAATTAAAACGAAATTAGATATCGGTTAGGGTTTAGGGTTTAGGGTTTAGGGTTTAGATTTTACAATTAAAACGAAATTAGATGTCGGTTTACAATTTTAGTGTTTAAGGTTTAGGGTTTAGGGTTTAGGGTTTAGGGTTTAGGGTGTACACCCTAAACCCCAAATCTATTTTCTGATTTCCTTTTTTTTTAATTGTGTTTTTTATTTAATTCTCTAGTATTAGTAATGACATGGCAAAACGATTGGCTATAATCTGTTGGGTGAATTTAAAGGTTCACCCCAGGGGTAAACCTAAGTATGGTTCTACTTTTTTAACCATATTCCATAAGTGCACATGAACCATACTAACGACTTTTCGTCGAATAGAAATGATCATTATCCATATGAACTTAACTACTTTTCTAATTATAACTCAAAAGTCAAAACTATTTCACTGACTACACTTATCCTATATTAAATTCCATGTACACTTTTAGGAAACTACTTGTTTGATTAACTAATTAGTTTTTGAGAGTTTGGAATTAATTTAAGATTGTTCGTAAGATGGGGGTATATTTTGTATTATTTTGAAAGTTGAAGGGGTGAAAGGAAAAAACAAGAAAGGGGAAGTCATATACATTAAGTTGTCAGGGTCAGACGAACAAGCAGAACCTACAATTCTTCCATTTACTTTCTCAAGTCTCAACTCTTGTCTCCAAGAAAACAAGAGAGAAAAAAAGTGATTCAAATTAATCTCTTTTGACGTAATGGTTAGTTGATTAACAATCTCCTTTTGTTAGATATTGGTTTAAACCTAAAAGTGTATTTTTTTTTTTTTTTGGTAAAATGTTAAATTCCTAAAAGTGTATTTGTTCTTTCTTGTTTCTTTTAATGAATTGTTTTTGGTGTGCAGGCGAGTGAAACAGAGGACATCAAGTACGAAGAGGTGTGTATATTTATATGTATGCATTAAGATCAACGCATAGATAGAAAAAGCTGGTGATTGATTGATGATTATACATTTATGTGCAGAGTTTCATAAAGAACACTCGAGGATTTAAGTTGTTCACGTGCAGATGGATACCAGCGAACCAAGAGCCAAGGGCTTTAGTTTTCCTTTGCCATGGATATGGCATGGAATGCAGCATCACCATGAATAGTTGAGATCAACCCACTCCACAAATTCTATTTATTAGAATTTTATTTTAAACATTTTTTGCATCTAAGATTGAAGGTTTTATCAACGACATGGAGATAACTAATATACCCTAATCTGGTCTAAGATCCAAATGTTCTTAGTACCGTAAAAATAGAAAATTTATTAACGTTTGAGATGAATATGATTGGATTAGGTACTGCAAGGAGGATCGTGAAGGCAGGATTTGCAGTATATGGAATGGATTATGAGGGACATGGCAAATCTGATGGGCTTAGCGCTTATATCCCAAACTTTGACCACCTCGTTGATGATGTCTCCACTCACTACACAACTATTTGCGGTAACGTTGACTTTGTGATTATAAAAGTTAACTTATTGCCTGATGTTTTTGTGTGGAAAAAAAACTTGAAATGAAAAAACTAACTCATTGGTGAATCAATATGAATTTTCTTGGTCGAACGTGCGATGATGGAAGCGATTGATAAATGAGTATCTTGAATGTTTTTTCTATTTTTACATTATCAAATAAACTTAAGAATTAATTTGATATATTGAATGCAAAATATAAATAGAGAGAGAAGAGAACAAATGGAAGATGAGGTTTATGTTAGGAGAGTCAATGGGAGGAGCAGTGGTTTTGTTGCTACGCAGGAAGAACCCTGACTTTTGGGATGGAGCTATCTTGGTCGCTCCAATGTGTAAGGTATTTCACTATTTCTCATCTTTATAAGAGTTTTTAGTTGCCTAATATTATTGTTAGGCACTTTAATTTTTTATATGTAATTGAAATTAAACAAATGTTTAACCGAACATCTAGAAACATTTTATACTACGAGTAAAATAAGTCGTGCAGAAATAAATCGTGTGGTTGCTAAAAAACTAATGGCAAGATGTAGCTTTACCCACTATTCTAGAAGAAACAATCAAATGAAAAAGTCGTAGTTGTCACATGGATATATGATCATTGCAAATTATGATCATGTTGTAGCTGGCCTTTATTCATACAAAAGGAAGAAACATATATCTAGTTTTTAAAAATCAAGTGATTGGAATTCGTTGTAGGTGGCTTAGAATAATGAGAGATCATGTTGTAGTTGATTTGAAACTCAGTCAACTTTTTTTTTTAATCATTATATACCGTTTCAATTAAAGTATGTTAAATAATCAATCATACGATATCAATCCAAATTACTAGATTTTTGAAATGATAGTCTATCTATCATTGATATCTATGTTTATAGTATCCAGATATGTAGTCAGCTATGCAACTAGTAAAAATGCGTATTTTCTTATACAATAGGTAATTTTATAGAGTGACATGTAAATTAAAGGCATATAAATGAAACATTTGTTTTGTTAGTTAAAGAAGTAGTATAAATGTGGAATATATATTCATTTGTCACAGATCGCAGAAGAAATGAAGCCAAGTCCTTTTGTTATTTCGATATTAACAAAGCTTATCTCGATTATACCCAAATGGAAAATCATTCCTAGTCAAGATATCATCGAGATTTCATATAAAGAGCCAGAGATAAGAAAACAGGTATGTTTCTATATAACATTAGTAATCAAAATGATTAGTTTATAAAAAAATCTGTGTAAACTGATCAATATGCTTGATTTAACTTTTGTACATTATGGTATATATGACTAATTAAGGTTAGAGAAAATCCTTTATGCTCCAAAGGACGACCACGCTTGAAAACTGCGTATGAGCTCTTAAGGATCAGCAACGACTTGGAAAAGACACTTAAAGAGGTATATGTATAAATGATTACATATATTCAAGATCCCCTTAATGCATTGATATTCAGATTGGACTCAAAGAGTAATATATTCGTGATTAGGTTTTCTGTGTCTAAAAATCATCCGAAAAATTGTAATAGTATAAATTATGATTATAATTTACAACTAATGCATATAATGATTATAGGTTTCATTGCCGTTTATGGTATTACACGGAGATGATGATAAAGTAACAGATAAAGCAGTGAGCCAAGAACTGTACAAGGTTGCGTTGAGCGCTGACAAGACCTTAAAGTTGTACCCTGGGATGTGGCACGGTTTGCTCACCGGCGAGACACCAGAGAACATCGAAATTGTCTTTGCCGACGTCATCGGATGGTTGGAATCAAGAAGTGATTATGGAAATGATAGGTTTGAGTCGGAGCTTAAACAGAATAATGATGGTTTTAATTTCAAGAAATAGTCGCTTGACTTACTACATTTTTTTATACAAGCGGTTTAATGAAATTCTGGTGTTTTGCATTTTGATTTTTAATGCTGCTATTGTGAATTATACTATATATTTAAAGAAAATTTATTTCATGTTTATGCTTCATCAGTATTAAGAATAAGATTGAGCTAGATATATATTTTTTAAAAAAATTGTTACATAAGATTATGTGTGTATTCATATAAAATAGATTGTAAGTATACTATATCCAACTATCAGATAAAAGTTAAATTTAGATATTATCCAATATATACACATATAGAGAACAAAATCAATAGATGTGATCATGATTATTTCCTAAATAATCCAACAAAATAAAGTAAAGTTTTCATCATCTTAGTACGCTTTTAAAATGAGATTTGATGTAACATATATAGCAAATAAGACTCCAGACCAAACTCTCTGATTCGGCTTGGTTTAGCTGAGCACAATGTTGATATTATTGTCGAGGGAGAGCAATGGAACTATCTGAAGCAACTCTTCAAAACCCCTTTCTTCAAGATAATCTTTCAATCTTACGACCATCTTCTCTAACGTCTTCGTGTTTTTCAAGATAATTTTCATGAACGAAGCAACATGCTTTGTCTTTAGCGATAAAGTCCTCTCAAATACCCAGCACCTGCAGCAACGTTGATCCGGATTCAAGCCACGTGGATCGAAGTTGTAGAGAAGATCATCCTTCTGTGTACAACAGAAAACATTAGATTGTCAATAACTCAGATTCTAAAACTCAAAGTGAAAGGAAATGATTTTAGGATTATTCAAACTCGGTAATATATAGTTGGGATGGTCGTCAAGAATAATAAAAGAGGTTTTGAGGTTAATATACTTGTATGAAGCCGCTGCGGCAATCCATTATGTGTACTAGGGTTAGCTTCTGTAGTTCAGGTGAGTTTTGTAGCACACTTACTACCCCAGGAGTTACACACAGATACATTGTTGTCTCAAGCGTCAAAGCTTTAGCCTTGATCATTGGAAAAGAAAGACCTTGGACCTTGGCAATAGATAAAAGCTACAAAAAGCACTGCCGAAAAGTGAATACCGAAACACAGAACTCTTGAGCAAGACAAATATATTAGTTTTTATCAATTTCTTAGAGAGTGCAAATAACACAAGACTTATTGAAAATCAAAGGCTAATGAAAACTAATCAATACTGTGAAATTAAATGATTCTACATGAGTAAAGTAAGTAGTTCCGCAACATCTAGGAATTGGAGAATACAAGAATATATCCATATGACACTTGAATACACCAAAAGATACCTTAACAAAGTTTGCCCCCAAAGTGAAGTAGCGGAAGCTTTAAGGATAGAAACTAGAGATCCGTTGATTCCTCGGAATACCGGAAAACTAGGGTTTCTCGGATCTGTTGATTCCTCAGAATACCAGAAACGAGAGAACGTGAGGAATTCGTTGATTCTCCGCGAATACCGAATCCTACGTCTTCTTATAATCGTTGAGATCTCTTGAGATCTACCGAAAACAAGGATTAGAGAATACTCTTCTCTGAAAAGCTAAAAGCTCTTTAATTTTATTAATCAATCAACTGTATACAACCCTAGGCCTAAAAGCCTTATTTATAATAAAACCCGAAAACCCTAAAACATAGAATATTCTAGAACAATAATTATTAATTAATTAAAATATGATAATAATAGATATATCTCGCTGCATCACAAAGTAAGCTTCTCTACATTCTGCAACTTCTCTAGCATCTTCAGCGTCATGACTTGAAGAGTTTTCGGCTGTTTAACCGTGCGAAAGTCAACGTCTGGTATTGCTTCTACTCCGTGTTCAAAAAATCGCTAGGCGCTAGTCGGGCGGTGAGGGTGCGCCTAGCGCCTAGCAAGAAAATCGGAGATTACACGGGGATTAATCGGGGATTAGTTTTAGGGCTATTTAATGTTTTAAAAATATATTAATCCATTATAAATAAGAAATTTATATAATCTTGTTTTTAAAATTGTATTAAACACATGAAAACAAGAATTTAAGGTCAAATTTATGATTTTTATAAAAAATTATGAATATAAGTGAGACGTTTTGAATTTTAGATCCAAAAAAAGAAAAAAAAAATGTAAAAAAAAAAAAAAAATTGGGCTAGGCGCCGTCTAGGCGGGCTAGGCGGACGCCTAGGCGGTCTAGGCGGACAAAAATCGGATCACCGATTTTTTTTACCGATTTGGACAAAATCGCCGCGGTCTCCACCCGATCAGCGCCTAGGCGGCCGATTTTTAGAACAAGGCTTCTACTGTAGCTTCGGTTAAAGACGAGACATCAACTAAAGTACATGAAAACTTAGATTTTGTCAATTTTAGGGAATGGATATGTGGTGCCACAATATGCATTGACCCCCGCTCGAACATGTAGCTATATATTTCTAATGTTTTTAGACGCAACGATTTAGTTAGATCAAGAACCATCAGATTGAGAACATAAAACAACTTTAAGCTTTCGAGAAACGGAAAACCACATAGAGTCTTAGCAAAGAATTCATCAGAGAGTGAGCAAGTATGCAATGAAAGGTTCTTCAGGGATGTCCAAGACAAGGCGCATGTTGGAATCAGATGACAATGGCGTAGGCTGAGTTGCTTGACAGAAGAACTGGTGTAGATGAATTCAGGAATACTATGGAAACCATGTCCATTACTCTCACCGCAATCCAGCGACAGATTCTCAACGTTTCTGGATATGGCGAACTCGATCCAACCGTCAATGTAAGGAACATTGTCCAACATGTTGGTATAGAGGTGAAAACTCATAATCTTGGGAAGCTTGTATCGAGCTAGGGTTTTGTTTAACGTATCAGCCTTCAGTCCCCTATACAAAGTTCCTGGTCCATCAAAGTAGAGGGAAGGTGTATCGTACCATACATGCCTCCATCGTGTGGACAAGACTGAAGTTCTGATGGCTAATTTGGTCGGAAGATAGGAGAGGATTTGTTGGAGGATCACATCAGGCAGAGAACTGATTGAGTCTAAATTTTCACTTGAGTCTCCTGCTAGTTTGATATCTCGGCGGTGATGATGAGTGTAGCAGTCACCGGCGGTGGCGCCGTCTCCGTTTCCACCGTCGTCTGCCATTACGTTATCAACCACCGATGATAATAAACCTACTTGTGTATAGTTTGCAATGACATAGCTTTTTGAGTTAAAAAATACATATCTCTCCAAAATATTACTGGGCTTTTAAAAAGCCCATTACGCACAACTTTTCTTGTCCAAGAACTCAAAATATCTAATAACAACTTAGCCATATTGCTGAAATCATCTTCTTCTTGGATTGATCTTACTAGTTGCACACAGAGACAATTTGATCTATTAGAAAATAAATGCTTACACTAGACATTTGTTTTCTTTTGTAACAGATTAGTGGGATCTTTAAGAAAAGAACGTCATGACTTTGAATTTAAGAATAAAAAAACATCTTTATATAATATGTGCTTACATATTCTGCTAAAAATTCGGCATGTTGAATGGTTTTAGAGTCTCTGAATCGAAAAACCGACCACAAATTCTATAATTTTTAATTTATCTTTACAGTCGTCGCTTGAATCTTGATCACCAATTTTTTTACATAATTGAGAAGAAAAATATATTTAAAAAGCCAACCGACTCATTCGTCAAAGGCTGCAGATTTTTTTGCCAACGAGCAATGATATGCCACACGCGGATATGGGGGATCCAAAAAATAAAATATTTCTTGCCGTATCTTTGAAGCATTGAGTTAATATAATAGTGGTCTATCATGAAATTAAACTTAAAAATTGTGAAAGTTGATGCGGAATCACAATTTAACAAAAAAAATATAGTGAAAGTGTATCTAATTTGTTTAAAAAAATTTGCAAGTAGTTAGTCAACGGAGTATACATAACTTAGTTTTACATCTAATGTTAGAGTTGACATTTTATAAGATGTAAATTAAGTAGTAGAAATTGTAGATTTGACTTTCTAGACGCTTCATTTGATGGTTCTTATGATCGTTCGTTTTTATATTTGTAATACAGAATGGATAAATCTAACATTATTTTGAGATAAAAATTTAAGATTTGACATTAATCTTCAAAAAATTGATTTTCACCTCATTAACATCTCCAACCGTATTAGATGTGAGTTTAATTTGCTAAATGAAAAACCTACGAAAACATAGTCAAAATTCTTTCACCAAATTTTACTCCCCCAAAAGTGAAAGACTTTGAGGGGTTTTTTCTGATAAATGTAAGACCTAAGGTACTATTTTCGTTATTTAAAAAGTTGAGGGGGTATTTTTAAACGTCGCCAAACTTGAATTGCCACTTGTCAAGGAATATTTTATCTTTTATTAAGAAGTAACAAAAAAAACGTGTTGCCGTGTAGGGGTGCGAAGAGAATCTGTTAAATCGTCGCTCTCAGACAAAAAACGGTGTCGCATTATAACGTATAGTCCTCTTCCTCAAAATCCTACCCAATATAAACAGAGCCGTACAACAAAAACTCGATATCTCTTATCATAAACTCGCGTCTCCATCCAACAAAACTAGAGAGATTCAGACGAAATCTCTTCGTAAGAATGGTTAGTGACGTTAAGATTTAATACTCTCTGGTTTCTATCTCTTTCATATAATATCTGAAAATGTTTTAAATTTGGTCTTCTTGTGTAATGAATTGGGTTTTTGGTATGCAGGCAAGTGAAACAGAGAACATCAAGTATGAAGAGGTTTGTCGTTTGTGTTCTGTTTTTTCATATAGATAGAGAAATCTGGTTTTTGATTGGTGGTTATTTATTTATTTATGTATATGCAGAGTTTCATCAAGAACACTCGAGGAATGAAACTGTTCACGTGTAAATGGGTACCAGCAAATCAAGAACCAAAGGCTTTAGTCTTCATTTGCCATGGATATGCAATGGAATGTAGCATCACCATGAACAGTTGAGATTGTTCAGCCCAATTGATGATTTCTTTGTATATGTTGTATTCATCAAAAGTTTTGTTAACAATATTTGAAATTAATATATGATTGGATTAGGTACTGCAAGGAGGCTTGTGAAAGCAGGATTTGCGGTATATGGAATTGATTACGAAGGCCATGGAAAATCTGATGGGCTTAGTGCTTATGTCCCAAACTTTGACCATCTCGTTGATGATGTCTCTACTCACTACACAAGCATTTGCGGTAATGTTGACTTTTTCGTTGGGGTAAAAGTGTAATATTGACTTTTGAAACCTAGTCTATCTTTTGAAGACTCTGTCAAAACCGCTTTTTTATTTACCACATCCACAAAATTTTGATTAAATAAAGAATTATTCAACAAATCCTACTGAGAAAAATATGTTTTGGAAATGATCTATCATCATGATGCTTTTTTTTTATGGAAGCAACCCATACATAATTGAGTTTCTTTTTGTCTGACTTTATCAAAAAGTTTTGCCTGATGTTTGTTTATTTTTGTGTGTGGTTGTAATAATTAGAGAAAGAAGAGAATAAAGGGAAGATGAGGTTCTTGTTAGGAGAATCAATGGGAGGAGCAGTGCTTTTGTTGTTACACAGAAAGAAGCCTCAGTTTTGGGATGGGGCTGTCTTGGTTGCACCAATGTGTAAGGTATATATTCATTCTCTCATGCATCTTTTCATATCCTAATAGTATGGGTCATTGCAATATTTTTTAGGTAATGTCTTTTTTCATACGCAAATTGGTTTTGTTTAAAAAAGATAAAGTTCAAACTTTTTAGTGGAAAAAAGTGAGAGTTACATATGCATATAATTTTTTTATAAAAATATAAAAAGTAGAACCAGTATGCATTAGCCAGCCTGGCTTGTATTTTATAATGGGGATTATTAGGGAAAGAATCCAAATTTTATACTTTTCTTTGTTTTTAAGAAAAATATATTCATATATAGAAGTAATTAGCCAGCCTGGTTCATATTTTATAAGAGGAAAGTTTGAATATGATTAAAACAGTATTATTTTGGTGTGATGCAACTTTTTGCCCACCCAATTCGAAAGGAACAAACATATATTATGTGCTAAAATGTTGGTTGTCAATTTTCAAACGGGTCATCATGATGTGAAAGATGCTGAATCATTAGTAGAGCAACTGGTTAGGTAATTATTGAGGGAATATTCAAACTTTATGGTGACATAGTATCAATTTATCTTATAACTAATCTTGTTTAATTATTAAAGCCATCCCGCTAAGTTTGTGAAGTAATCATGGTATGGATGATGCTCAAAGCATATATAATCATTAAAATAAAACTAATTATAGATGTGTATGGGAGAATCACATGTATAATTTTGAAGATGTGTAGATTAACTTTATCAACATGTGGCGTGATTAATAATTTTATTTTGATGTCACAGATTGCTGAAGAAATGAAACCAAGCCCTTTGGTAATTTCGATATTGTCCAAACTTAGCGGAGTGATACCTACGTGGAAAATCATCCCTGGCCAAGATATCATTGAGACTGCTTTTAAGCAGCCAGAAATCAGGAAACAGGTATTTTCACTTTTTTAGCAAGACATACTAATTCATATATATGTCTAATTTAAAACGTAAAAGTAGTGATAAAGTGAAATGATTATAGGTTAGGGAAAATCCCTACTGCTACAAGGGACGTCCACGTTTGAAGACTGCTTATGAGCTATTGAGGGTTAGCACCGATCTCGAGAAGAGACTGAATGAGGTATCCATTGATATACATTTCATTATTTAAGAAGAAGAGAAGAAGGTTATTATTTTAAAGAGGTTGGTTATGTGAACATTTTCACATGTAATGGTTTAGGTTTCATTACCGTTCATGGTTTTGCATGGAGAAGACGATAAAGTCACCGATAAAGCAGTGAGCCGACAGCTTTATGAGGTTGCGTCGAGTGCAGACAAGACTTTCAAGTTGTACCCTGGGATGTGGCATGGTTTACTCTACGGCGAAACACCAGAGAACATCGAGATTGTTTTTGCTGACATCATTGGTTGGTTGGACAAGAGAGTGGCTGATGGAAACGGAGGCTTTGAATCCGAGCTTAAACGTAAAAATGATGGCATCTCTTTGAAAGGGTAGTAGTTATCAATTTAACAAAACAAATTAAACCTAGATAAATTGTGTTTGTTAGTTTGTTTTTTTCTCTTTTCTTGAATTCTAGCTGTTTATGTTGATTAGTTTACAATGTTTGTCTCCCTTTGACTTAGTGTAAAACTATTTAATAATTTATGTGTATGTTTTCACATGAAAAGATTTGAAAGAAATTGTTGATTATGTTTGAACGTGTTCAAAATGTGGGTAAGAGGCGATCCATAAGTCAACAAGGTGCACGAGACATTCTTTGAAACGAATAGTATAGATATTGACTCTTCTAGCTAGTAAAGGTTCTATTATCAAACAAAAGTATAAGAAGTACCGAACAAATTCCATCTTTATATGTATTTGTAGAAGCAGAAATCAGAAACTGGTTCTTAAGTGGTACCATATAAAGAGAATAATTAATATAGTAAGTAGCAAATCATTAGCTAATCCAAATAAGAAAATAGAGTTTCAGTTGAATCTCTGTCTCAACTAAACCAAATCAACAACTTCACTCCATTCTCATCACCAAATTCTGCAATGCCTCTTTATAAAAACCCATTAGTCCTTCCATCAAAAACATCAAACACAAACCAAAGACAACTTGAGTAACCAAACCAAAGACTAAAAATGGCCAAAGCTCTTCACATAACAATCTTTCTCATCCTCATATCCTCCAATCTCCTTGCATTTATCAACTCCGCTAGACTTCTTGACGAGATCCAACCTCAGCCTCAGTTGGTCCCTATTGGCCAAATCCCCATTGTGGCTCCAACCGAAGCCGAGGAGGATGATGGGAGCGATGACAACACAGGACCCGCAACTACAACCACAACTGCATCAGCAATTACAGTCCCAGCCGGTCCAGCAGGGGCTACAGAGCCTTTACTAGAGTTCTTTATGCACGACGTGCTAGGCGGGTCTCACCCATCGGCTCGTGTGGTTACCGGTATAGTAGCTCAAACCGAGGTGAACGGAATACCATTCTCAAAGGCCAGCAACAGCATTTTCCCGGTTGACAATGGAGTCCCACTGGTCAACTCAAACAACATCAACAGTGTCATTAACCCAAACACAGCTCCACTTCTCACCGGACTTGGCGGTGCTCAAACCTCCACCGTAATCCAAAACACTAACGGTAATTCCAACAATGCCCTTAGCGCCAACAATCTCCCTTTTGTAACCGCCGGAAACCTCCCTCCCGGTGCTGCCCTCCAGCATCTCATGTTCGGAACCATAACCGTTGTAGATGATGAGCTAACCGAAAGCCACGAGCTTGGCTCAGCTGTTATAGGAAGAGCTCAAGGCTTTTACTTGGCTAGTTCCTTGGACGGAACAAGTCAGACTCTTTCTCTGACAGTATTGCTACACGGAGAGCATGACCATCAAGACACTTTAGACGATGCCATTAGTTTCTTTGGGGTTCACCGGACCGCCTCTCATGCCTCCCAGATCGCAGTTATAGGCGGGACCGGGAAGTTTGAGCACGCCAAAGGGTATGCCATAGTGGAAACTCTGCATAACCAGGACAACCAGCATATCACTGATGGTCAAGATACCATCCTCCATTTCAGTGTATACCTCACCTACAAAGCTTGAAGAGAAAATGAGACTTTAAACAAGAAATGATTGCTTTTGTATATGTTCTTGCTCACTAGCTTCCGCTTGGGGCCTTTTTCCTTTGTTGTGCAAATCTGATTTCTGAAGAAATTTATTTAAATGAGACTGTTTCAATCAAAATCTTGTTTCATTCACACAAAAAAACCTTGTTGAAACACTTTGACAAATGGGTAAAAGTCACAATAAGCTTTTGAAGCAACATGACTCACTTGCTTAGAGGCCAATCCTAGACCTGACAAAGAAACTATTTGTATACAACTTTCTCAAATGCTATACATCTCCCTTTGATGATGCAAGCCAAATGCAACTACTACTCTGTTTCTATTCTCAAACAAAATGCAGAGATTGCGATGTGAAACGGAAAAGAATTGAAAGAATCCCTCTATACCCTACCTGAAGCTGACAACCTCAGCCAACAGCTCATCTACTATCATGCTTTCTAATTCACAAACCACTGACTCATCATCAGCTTCGAGTTCTAACCACTTATCAATGTCTATGACTGGCACTTTGGCCAATGATTCTTTCTTGGCTCGCTTCTCTTGCCTAGAAAGTACTTTCCAGAGTTCTTGTTTCAGTCCACATGTGCTTAGCGCGGTGCCAAGCCTTCTAGAAACGGGTTTCTTCCATGTTGGTGTAGCTGAGAAGGATTCTAGAATCTCTACAAGACCTGAATTGACTCTGTCAAACAAAATCTTTCTTTCAGATCTTTTCCAAGAGGTCTCTGCGTAATACTTCTTCTCCAGTTTTTCAAAGATCTTGGGGATGGTGACTAAATCCAGTGAATCACGTTTGCCAGGAACCCAATTCTTGTCCCCAAGTACAACTTCAACCAATATATCATCAATGTAAGAAGAATCCCTGCTATCTTGGGTATCCAAGACCCCAATTGGTGCACTGTCCTTGCTCTCTTTGGTTTCAGAATCAAGTGCAGACTCCTCATCGCTTGATACTTCCATCCCACTCCCATCTGAATAACTCTCAGATTCAGATTTCAGGGTTTCCAGCTGTTTCTCTAGACCTAATGAGATTAACACAAAAGGTTTATTACAGTTTTTACATTGCAGCAACAAATATTTACAGCTACAAAACTTGTTCCTTACTTTGAAAATCGGGATAAGGAAGATCTTCACTGTCGTCTAAGATATCTTCGTAAAACATTGGCTCCAGAACAGAAACAGGACTAGGTTGATGAGCTTCTTCCGAGTTCGTCTGACATTCCAGAGATGCATTGGAGCAATCTAATGACTCATCATTTTTATCCTGCGGTTCAGTAGAACATCAACATTAGCTTCAAGAGTTCATGCATAACATCTTCTTTAAGCAAAAGTTGCTAGGAGTAATGTAACTCAGTGACTGTTCAGTTTGCATTAATTAACTTCTAAATAATGTTACATTATTTAACATTATTAACACAAAAATCAGTAGCAGCATATCACAAGTTTAACATTATTAACACGAAAAGGAATTTGACGGTGAAGGAACTTGGTCTCAAAATTGAAGGAACTCAAGGTAAAGGAAACTATTATAAATGGTCTGATTCCTCCATACAGTCAAACCTTGGACAATTTTGGAATAGTTATAACGAGATCAGTAAGGTTACCTTGCTAATGAAACCTGAAGAAGACAAATCCCTGAACTTCACATCTGCAGCAACTTTGTCCCTAGATGTACTAACCATCAAACTGGATTTAACTTCTCTCACAACTCTATCCTTCTTCTGACCGAATGTAGTAGTACCATCACAAAGTTTCTTCATTTCCTTGGATTTCTCCTCAAAGGAAAGGTCTTTCCCTGTCTTTCTATCTCCTAAATGAGAACCACTACTGAAACCAAGAGGAGTGAAATATCTCAGAGAATTCTCTTTCTTCCCAAATTTGTGTTTCAGAGTATCAACACTTGTTGTGTGATGATGTCTCAACTTTGACTTCAAGTTTTGCTGATCATATCTCCTACCATAATTCCTATGAGGAGGCTTAGCTAGTGCATCAATTATACCCTTGGAAGCCAACAAATTGGGTTTCCGGAGATAAACTCGACAAAGTTCCTTCGTTGGAATCACTGTGAAACCAGAAATGGACTCCTTTTGGATTTGTTGGTTCTGTTTCTTAACAACTCTCAGCTTATCTTGATGCAGAGGCTGAAATAGTCCATTAAAACGCATCGATCTCTCAATCACGGAGGATCTAATTTCCTTAGACTCCATTTCTTTTGAGACCTCACACCAACTCTTCAGGAATCAACATAAACCCAGAATAGAAAACGAAGTAATCTGCACAAAGATGATAGCTTTGGAAGTTGTAATCACAAAAAAATCTAACAAATCAAGAGCAACCCAGAAAATGGAAATCAAAATCGAGAAAAAGGGCAAAAGCAAATTCGAACCTTTATCACTGAAAGATCTTGAAAGATTCACCGATCCCAATCTGGGAAAAGAACCTTTTACGAGAAAATTTGAAGGATAATTAGATTGACTTCCAATTATGAAAACTGAAAAATGGAAACTTTGCTTAAAATTTAGGTAAACAAGATTTGATTGAAGAGAGAAAGAAGAAACAAACCTGGGTCACAATCACTTGTTCAAATTGGTGAAGAAGAAGAGAAACGAAATCGACGTCAAAGATGGTCAGTTACACGAAATCTTTGACAATTTAATAGTAAAATTATCTGTTTATTTAATTCAAAAGACTCCAATAATTTTGGCATGGGACCGTTAAAAAAATGATACATGCAAACTGCAAAGAATATGAAAACGACGTCCCTTCGTTGTTTATTTAATTTCCCTCGTCAAACTTCAAAGTTCAAACGATAACAATCTCTCTATATTCAATGCATTCACAATAAAGTTAAAAACATTCACAATGTGTTTTTATTTATAACTTTATCTAATGTTTATTACAAGTCATATATATTACACAATTAATGATTTTTTTTACAATCATATTTATAAGGTAATGATACTATTATATTCTTAAGCTATGCAGGCAATATCTTAATATTCAGATAAATGATCTATATATTAAAATTATTGACTTACATATTCAATAAAGATTTCTTATTCTTAGAATATATATTTTTATATATGGAAATGGAATTTTAAAATGGCAAAATATAATTTGACTTAAGAAGACATAATAGACAAAGTGACAAAAACCTACACAACCAATATATTGAAAATAATAACACTAAAAGGACAACTGTATATGCATTACTCATATATGCAGTTTTTAACTCAAATTTAGGGACCATTCTTAAGGATTACAATCATATCTTGTTTAATTACTTTAGCTAATTATAAATTATCTAATTATTTAGATCATTTACTGATGATTCATGAAAACTCAATGGATCGCATCGTCTTTTGCTAACAACAATTACAATCATAAAATTGAATAATATAAACCCTCAAGGTTAAAAAATTACAAGAAGAATATATATATGTATTGGAATTTGGAAACCAAAAACTAAGCTAGAATAGACAAATATTTTCTTCTAATTTTTGTTTTTTCAAAAATCATAAATTAAATAGATATATCAGAAAATATAGTAACTTATCATATCCTCAACAAATTTGGTCCGGTTTGGACTTTTCTGAAGATTTTTCAAATCATAAAACAGACCAAAAAAAACTGATGGAGGAGGAATCAGAAGAGTCTTGTTAGACTCGTTTTAGACCAGACATGATCCACGAATCAAATCCAATGCTTGTAATGACTTGTTTATTAAAGATTATGAAGTAAATTCTCTAAATCAAAACTACCATTTTTCATCTCTTAGAAAAAAAGTTTTACAGAAATACATGATCCATGCTCGAACAAGTCTTAACCCAGCAACAAGCCTTGAGAATTACATGTCTTAGATTACTTGCTAGTTTCACAAGATGTTTTGTTCAAAACCCAAAACGGTTAATGCGACTTCATATTTTATCCTTTCCACAATGTGATACTGCAACCAAATCTTCAACTTTCACTGGTTTATGCAGCTGCAGTCAAACAATTGTTCTCCATCAAGTTAGGAACAGAAAAAAAAAGACCGCAACTTATGAGCTAAGCCAACAAGAGATGGATTGAACCATACACTCACCGCTTCTGCAATGCTAAACCAATGAAAAGAACGTAAGAAAGTATCGTCCTTTGAAGGAAGACTATCGTGATTCCAATATGTCAGGTTGTCGAATTTGGCCTTCACTTCCCAACACTGGTTCTCTTCTGCGGGCATAGAAGCTTTTCTCTTTCCATTAGCATTCAGGTTACTCGCTTGTCCAAGCACAAAGCCTGAAGGGATAACATATGAACAGGCCAAACACAAATGACTTGTCAATAACCAAAACATAAATTCTCCAACATCAAAAATAGTAGCAGATTCATCAGGACATCTTAAAACTTTCTAACTAAGATCTCCATCAACAGGAATATGTACATTAATTCCATCACTCTTGAGAAATATCCACAAGAAATTCAAAAGTTTCCACCTTTCCATCAGTAAGAAAGAAGAGAAAAAGGTACCAGAATAGCCACTAGGAAGTGAGATAGTTGCTCCCTGCAACTTCCTTCCTCTGAAATGAGCTTCTTCAGTTCTTACTCCATCGATTTCAACATCTACAAATTCAACAGCTCTCCACATTAATCTCACTATACAATACACAAGTGAAAAACAGAATTACATATACAAAGAAGTGTTCTCTGTTACCACTGGATTGAGGCTTGAAAAAGTGGGAAACATCAGCAGGACCATCAAATCTAATGCAGCAAGGGAGCTGGTGAACTTGACTGCTGAGATCCGCAATCGAGTTTTCATCTGTAGCAGCTCTAAGGTCTATGGTTCCCATCAAAGCCCACTTGTATCAATTCCTCAGATTTCTGTACCAAAGAAGATGAAGAAGAATTGATCCAATTTTGCCACAATTTGGAGAATGGGTTAAATCCCAAACCCATAAATCACTAGTCAAATTGGTATTAATCAACCTATATGAGCAATCGTCTTATAACAAAATCACAGTAGAAAACAACCTAATCTATCAAAATTTGTTCTCTGTTTTTTTATATATCAATCCATAAAGTATCAATTTTGATACCTCAAAGATGATAACCAAATGAACCCAGGAGCTAAATACATGAGAAATATCCCTCCAGTCCCAGATTTTGAGTTCTCGTTCGAACAAAACTCGAAAAAAGGAAGATTTTTTATGTAAGTGACATCAATTTGGTGACGAGATTTAAACTCTATCAATACAGAACAGCAGAGAAGAAGAAGCAAATAAAACGGAAATCACAAAATGCCAAACACAAGTCTTACATTACAAAATCAAGCAAAAGCGCACGACGGAGAAGCTAAAAATGATTGAGAGAATTGGTCTCTCAGAGAAAAATGCTAATTAGGGCTTTTGTGGTTTTTCCAAGGTGGGTTCTAAAATGGCCTGAATGTTTTGTTTACTAGTTCTTGGTTTTTGTTTCTTTGAGAATCTTTTTTTTAAAACACACCAATTTTAAAAAAATTCTTTCATCTTTTAACAAAGTCAAAAACAAACTTTTCACAAATAGCCACTACTTCAACTTTCTTAGCTTTGATATGTAAATATTTTATATGTCTCTTTATAAGTTGCTAGGAAACTTCATAACAAAAGATGGTTATAGGCTTGTTCTGTTAGTTTAAATGGCGGTACAAGTTTGTTCAAGGCTGAAGTGGTTAAACAAATGATTGTAAGTACAATACAATCTAAGTTAATTAATGCATTGTTTACTAACCGGATGATTCTGTTTTCTGCATATGATTCAAGAAAAGTTTGATTCCAAGTTCAGTGCACAAGAGGAGAATCAAAAGTCAACAAGAGTATCAAGTTTGCCGATGTTGATATGGACAGTTACAATACTGAATCACGTTCATGGTGTGCGGCATATATAGGTAGAAGACTCTGTGTGATTGGTTCCAGGATTCAAAGAGAACAAGATAGGTTGATGCATATAAGGCTAATACAAGTCTGTGCTTAGTGCTGGTTTCATCACCAAAGACTCACGGCTGCTAAGCAGGGATTCAAGTTATGAAAGAGGTTCAGTACAGAGTTGAGTTCAGGGATAAATCTCGGAGTAGACTTCAAGTTTTGAACCAGGATTGCTGTTATGAAGCATTTAATCCAAGGATCCAACAGATGAGAAGTGGAGTTCTCAGAGAAGTCACAAGAAGAAGTGGTTGTTTTGAGAAAAAATATGATTGCAGAGTGGTAATATAAGTTGCAGAAAGAAGAAGGCCCGAGGAAATGGATCATCATCTGTTTTGTGTCATTACCTAAATAATCACTTTAGGATGCTTGTTCTTTTGGCATGATCCCAATTAGTTAGTTGTTCCCGGCATGAACAGGTCACTATAACTCTTAGATTAGGAACAGGTCACATGACCCCACAATTGGTGATTTCTACTGGTAATGGTTGACATATAAGAAGAATGATAGTGCAACACTAAAAGGATCCATCACTGGAGCTGATCATTAATCACGATTTCCTTTTACACTTGAATCACTCTAGTCACTAAAAGCTGAATCCATTTACTAATGAGAGTAATGGCTTAGTCAATATGGTTATTACCTCTAGAGAATTTGAAAATTTTATCACTTGGCATCAGTTGAATTGAACATAAGATCATTGATTCTTGTAATATCAATGTCAGAGATTGGATCTATAGGCCTGTCTTCACCTTCCTCCATCCCAGCATCAAATTCCCCAGGTTCTCTACTGTACTCATCTGCCATAACAAACAAACAAAAAATTAGAGTCATCATCATCTTAAGCAAACTCCCAAAACCATGCCCTGCAGATACAACATTTTAAAAACATTCTAGCTTGAAGAACATTTTTTGGAAACAATTTCTCATATCTCAAACAACATCAGATGAGAGGAAATTAAAGAGCGGTGCGGGCACTCACCAAACAAGGTATTGAGAGAGGTTGGGGGTGGAGTGGCGATGAAGTTGAGACCAATGTAAAAAGCCAAAGCTAACATCAAGGTCACCATCAAATACGTCGGCATAGCTAACACCCAATACCTGCTTGGGTAGTAATGGATTCCTATAGACTCCAACAACTTATCTGGTACATATGCCCAAATCAAGAAGATCACTGTGGCAACAACAGTCGATATCGACCCTACAAAACCGTAAACCTCTGAGGGTTTGGGTCCATGCACTTCTGATGCTCTAAATGGAGATGACCTTCTACTGTCTGTATCCTGGAAACCAGGTTTTTGCTTCTTTCTCTTCGAGAAGCTTAAAACTCGTCTTGGACTACTCACTGAATGGGCTTCTTCCATGTTTTTGACAAAGGAGAGGCAACTGAGTAATCACTAAGAAATGAAAGAAAGATAATCAGTTGTTGGTTTTTCTCTCCTTTTCTGCTATAGCTAGATATCAATTTGGAAGCTTGTAAACAGATTCTAATGTTGTACATGACACAGATATCAAAGCACAGAGTTGCTTCTCTTGCCAAGAAAATGAGACTATCAAAGTATAAACTAAAATTCCCAGACTATAATGAAATCATCATCTATCCAGAACTTTTATCTCTAACTCCATCAATATTGCTCAAACCAAAGCCAATGTTACAAAAGATGATTCCAGAAACTATAAGCAAAGAATATATCTCAAACCAAATCAATCAAGTCCAATAAAAAAAATCAACACCCCAAGCGACCATGACCTCTTCGAATTTGACTCAATTTTGGAGCAGATCATATTAAGAACAACAAAACAAACACCCAATCAGTCGAAACTCAACTAGATTCGTAATGGGTAATTGAAAAATTAGAGCAATCAACAAAAAAAGACAGAACAACTTACACGAGGATCTTTCTCGATGTGAAGCTCCGTACTCAAGCTGGCGTTTATGTCGAAATTTCAGATAACCGAAAAAAACTGAGTGAACAATTAAAAAATCGAGATTCACCGAGCAATAAAAAAAATCCATTTGATTCTTTAATTCAACAGCAAATTATATAATTTAAGGTTTTAAATTGAACTAATTATTAATGGGGGATGGGGAGGCCCGCACAAGAGAGTTCTGCAAAAGTAAGCAGCGTCAACACTCGTACCAGCCTATTTACCCTTCCATAAATTCTTGCGCCATTTTCAATGTTTTACGATTTAGCGCTGCGAGTCTGCGACCGGCTCTCACCGTTCGCTTTGTTTTCCTTACTCATTAGTTTAAGGCAATTTTTCTCGTCGTTCACCTTCAACGCTTTATACTAGTCTTCACATGACTCTCACGGCTCGGCTTCTCGATGTGGGACAAAAACACACTCCAATAACTCAAGAGTAAACCGAACTCTCAAACCGAAATGGCTTTGGTTAATTACCAAACCGAATCAAAGCCTATAGTATATAAATCGACCAAAAGCATCCATCCGCCGAAATTTGGAACCACTACCTTGAGGACGAAGGATAGACCAAGCACAATAGGGCTGACTGCTGAGGGAGAGAAGCATTTGGCAGAACCTATGCCTACATGCAGTGTAAATTACTAAATTCTTCCATCATTCTTATATACATACTTTTTAACCATGATTGGGTTTTGTTTTGTCATAACTGACTGACTAGTGTTCCTTTAGTGTCGGTCGAATTTGTCACAATCCTCTGCTTCTCTAAGGGTTCCTTCTTTTGGGATTTGTTCGTTATAATGACTAGTGTTCCTTTGATTCGAATTTTCACACTCCTCTGTTTCTAGGGTACCTTATTTTATGTTGATAGGATCTTAATATTTGATTTTTTTCTAACAATGGGTGTTAATTAGCCGTTCGATGCCAAGGGTTCCTTAGTGCGGGAAGTGATCTGTAATGATCGGTCTCCTTGTTGTAGCTTAGTCAAGCTTTATGCTAAGATGGGCCTTCATCGTTACAATTTGCTTAAGGTACTCTCTTCTTCTTTCTTTTTACCACATGATGCTATCTTTATATAAGAGAACCACATTACTTACTTACTTAATCAATGTGTTTCTTGATGTGTACGTCAATTAGGGAAAAAACTATCAGTTCGTTCGCGTAAAGAAATACCATTACAGATTGATTATGGCTGCTACGAGTTACTTCATAACTTTGGTTGCTGTGGATCCATCTACCTCTTTGCTCCAAACTTTTCAGACTAGAATTGATGAAGGTCAACTTGCCGCCTTTGTTTTGAAGTGCAATATTTCTAGGATCCGAGGTAAGAATGCTGACTTGTTGTGCTATTTGTTCATTTGTTGCAATATTTCTTTGTCTTCCACTTGCTGATTATATATTGTATAGGGGAAACCAATAAGTTCGACGGGGGTACATGCTACTTCCCAGGTAACATGCCTGAGTGGCCGACAGAGGATCCTTTCGACGATGGAAAGCGGTTTTACGTGGTAAGATTTTAGACACTCTTGAGTTTTTTGCTTTGCTCATGATCAAGAATTAGTAGTGAGTGATGATATATATGTTTTGCTTTTGCAGTTGAATAATTCAGAGATGCAAGACAATGACTGGATTCGGCTATATTTGGAACTTGCAGTCGCCAAATGTACAAGTGACAAAAAGGATCCTGATCTGTCCAACTTGAAGATTGTGAATGTGGCAATAGATATCCAAGATCTGAATGAGGGACTCAATGCCAAAAATGCAACAGTCTACATAAGTTACAAGGACGAGGCTCGGGTGGGTAAGGATGTTGATCGCATAGCTATAGCTAGAAGAAACTTTGATGAGCGTACAGGGTGTTTCAGTCTCATGGGTAAGCATCAGAGTTTAGAAATTATACCAAAAAAGGGTGAGAATCAGAGTGAGGACGACCCGTGTGACGATGTTGATCACATTAGAAGAAGCTTCTATGAGCATACAAGATGCCTCAGTCCCAAGAATCAGGATTTGAGTGCAGAAAACAAGTGTAAGTATCAGCGTGTTATCCGGCGTTTACGCGTTATCAAACCGTGGCGGTTTTCGAGTCCTAGGCGTTGGCGGCCCGAGCCTTACAGAAAAAGTTGCTGTCGCTGTACTCCTTATCTGCACAAGACAAGATCCATTTGAAAATGTTGATCAGAGAATAAACTATTAATGGTTTTTGTGCAATTTGTGTGGTTTCTATAATGTCTTCTGCTTGAGACTAATTTAACATATGTCTACTTTATTCATTGAGACTGGAAGAGAAGTTATAATCTTGTTGCTAAATGAAACAGGCAAAACAAAAGTAGATAGTTACAAAGGTACTCCTTTATCTCACAATTGTCTACTAAACAACAATACAGTGAAGATTAATTTGTAACGATTTAGAAACGTAGAGAACTTGAAAAGGAGAAACAGCTAACGGTGGGATCTAGCGTGCTCGGGTTTGTGAGTGTACTCATAATCAAGATGCACAAAAGCCCGTTCGATCTCCTCTAGCAGCTCGAGCTTCTCTTGCAGCGATTCTCCAATGTCGTGAGCCGCTTGCAGAGGCATGTCAGCTGGGAGAACAATGTCAACCTCCACAAAATAATGAGAGCCAAATGTGTAAGCCCTCACTGTATCAATGTGCCTAATTGCTTTATGGTGGTTCCAACACAGGTAAGTTAGTTTCTGCAGATACTCTGGTCTAGCTGATTTCCCAACAAGAGAGTTCACGTTCTCCAATACCGTCATTGACCATGTCCGTATCGTGTATAATGCAAGCTTCATGAATTAAGAAACAATTTCAGTAAGGTAACTTAATTTTGTTTTTAAAAATTTGGAAACTTACAATGATAGCTCCAACTGGATCAATCCAATCGTCGATGTAATTGGCCAGGATTACTGCAATGAGTCCGATGATGTTTGTGATGACGTCGAAGAAGTGATCTTGAGCATAAGCTTTAACGATCTCGTTAGTGAAGGATCTGCAGTAAAGAACCAGAAGCAGTTTGACCAATGTAACAGAAAGCATGATCCCAACTACCCAACTTTCTTGCTCTTTTGTTAGGCTGAACTCCTTGTGCTGTATGAAAGAGATTTGGTGAATAATGTATGACTTTCATAGCTCTAGACCAAAGCTAGGTGATCAAGTTTCAGACATACGCTGGATAACATCGTGCGAAGAGATTCCAAGATAATCTGCAATCCAAGTGTTGCCATCACTGATGCAAAGACTAGGATTCCCTGAAAGGATTTGAACCAAGAATCACGTTGAGTAACAGAAAAAACTTTGTATACTTGTCGTAGTTGTTAATAGTTGAACAGAGAAATCAATAGCTCAAAACAAGCTTGCTTAGGCTGATTCAATAACATAACATATAATGAAAGACAGATAAATGTGCATAGTCTTTAAAAGGATGATACAAACCAGTGGTTGCATCCGTTTCTTGCCAATGGGATACTGATACGGGTTGGGTGTCTGCATGGAGAAGGCGGTAAACCAGAGGATGAAGCCAGAAAGAAGATCAAGAAGAGAGTCCAATGTAGAGGCAATGATTGCTAAAGAGCCACTAGTGACAGAAGCATAGACTTTAGCAGAAAAAAGAACCATGTTTGCAATGTTTGATATTCTAATCGCCAATGTCTCGCTTTTAGCCAAATTATCCTGCTCTTCCTATGTACACAAGCCAGAGAACAAATGTATCATAGTTTTCAACAAATGTGGGAGAAGAGACAAGTATCTAAGCTAACCTTTGACATTCCAGGAACAAAGCCACGTTCTGCAAGTTCATCCATTTCAGTGAAGCCCTCAAGCATCTCTACTTGCTGCTGGTAATAATCTGCCACATTGTCTTCCGGACCTGAAATCACCAATACACATAGCTTCACATTACTTCAACATCCAAAAGAAAGATTGGAGACAAAAATCAAGGATCAGGATTAGTAAACTCTAGACTAATCACTACCAAGAGTCAACTTCATAACAAGAGTAAAAATATATCTTTGAAGAATCAGAAAAAATCTAAGAATAGCAAACAAAAGAAGCCAAATTCAAATATAGTAAACTAAAGATTGAAACTGAAGAAGACGATAAGAAAATGGAAATGTGGAGAGGAGGAGCAAATTGTTTACCCAAACAACCAAGACAGTTGTGTAGTTTACTCGGAGTCTTCTTCTCCTTGTGCTCCGGTGAAACCTGGAAATCATCGAAATTTAACTGCCAGGAACGGTCACCGTTACCGTGAAACTCGAGCAGCGAGATCCCTTCGTCGGAATCTGGACTAGCTGGCTCAACCATTTTTCCGGCGAGAGAATTGCGGCGGCGGCGGGGGAAGCTGTGTTTTTTTTTTCGGAGAGAGAGAGAGAGTAGTGGTAAGGAAATGGAAATTTGAAGAGACGGCGAGGGTAAAATTGGTAATTAAGAGAAAGATTGAGGCTAGCTACTACGACTGTTGTGGTAGTAAGACATTCCACAGAGATACTTGGACCAGGCTTAGAAGAGACGTCTCTGTTAATAATCCACGTGGCGTGTTTTCAATGGATCTGGGATCTCGCACGTGATTGGAGGAGTCATCATAGCCACGTGTACAGTTGAGATTCAACTGCAATTAAAGGACCCCGTGACATGGTTATCAAGTATGTATATGTGACCTTTGAAACTTTGTATTTTTTTTTTTCTTATTAATTAGTATAAAAACTGTGTTAGATACAACCGACCCAAGATATAGAAGAACCTTTGGAAATTGGTAGAAGCCAATTGAGCAAAAGCTTTCTTCGTCACAAATCTTGTAAAATATTAGAGATATAGAGCAGGCTTGTTGTTCTCTTAAAAGATTGTTGTTTAGTTTGGTGACCAAATGGTTTTTTTTTCTGCTTTGGTTTGGTCAAAACTTCCATTATTGATTAATTAGCCAGCTCTGGTGAGACAAAATCAAAATTGTATGTTTTTACGCCAATAACATGACAATGAAAGCAAAATAATTTTGTAGTGATCTTCTCATCTTCCTTTGTCCAAAACATAAATTCAATGATTTTTTTTTATCAGATTTTTTTTGTGCAAAGGCCCAATTTCTTTTTACTGGGTTAGATGATGATTGTGGTAAAAAGCCTATTCGAGGCCCAACAAAGTATTTAGGGTTTCTCAGTTTCCACTATAAAACTTGTTGCGGCGTAAGTTAGGGTTTTGAGATTCAGCTGCTTCACCTCTCCAGGTTCGTGTGTCGATTTTGCCAACTATCTCTCGAAATCTTCCTACATTTCTTTCTCCGATTCATAACTAAGTTTAGCTCTTTGTGTTTCTATCAAAATTTTAACAGATTTCGAGTCTGAAGAATCATTTCGAGCCATGTCTCCGGCTAAAGGTACGATCTTTTCATTGATAACCTCATGAATCTTCACTGGAACATGATGGATTTGGAATCTTCTACTAGACTTTAGTTTTGATGGAAACGCTATTTAACTGGTCTCGATTAATGTTTTCTAATCATGTTTCGTTAGGTGCTTAGTTCCCATATCTTCCTGATTAGCTAGATTAATGGAGTAATCATGTATCCAATTGAATTTGGTCTGTAGATGAAATCTACACTAATTCATTTTTCTTCGTTGAGAGTGTTAATTTGTCCCAAGTTTGAATCAAATGCAGTTATGTTATCAAAAGTAGTATAAGTTGCTTAAACTTTCTGTTGGATTATGCAGTTGATACTACCAAGAAGGCTGATCCTAAGGCTAAGGCCTTGAAGGCGGCAAAGGCTGTGAAATCTGGTCAGACCTTTAAGAAGAAGGACAAGAAGATTAGGACCAAGGTCACCTTCCACAGGCCAAAGACTCTTACCAAACCCAGAGATGGTAAGTACCCAAGAATCAGCGCTACTCCAAGGAACAAGTTGGATCATTACCAAATCCTTAAGTACCCACTCACCACTGAATCTGCAATGAAGAAGATTGAAGACAACAACACTCTTGTTTTCATTGTTGACATTCGTGCCGACAAGAAGAAGATTAAGGATGCTGTTAAGAAGATGTATGACATCCAGACCAAGAAAGTGAACACACTCATCAGGTACTGCAAAGAGAGTTTTCTTTCAAGCCTTGTTTTAAGTTTGATTATGTTGATTATATTTTGACACAATGGTGTGTTTTTGTTGTTACAGGCCTGACGGAACCAAGAAGGCTTACGTGAGGCTTACACCAGACTATGATGCTTTGGATGTTGCTAACAAAATTGGCATCATCTAAGTCTCTTATCTATCTTTGCAGTTATAAAGACTCTTGTGGTTTTGTCTCTTGTAGTCTCAGTTTTGCTTTAAGATATTATTACCATCATCTGGTAATTGTAGTATTTGAGGCAAAAACGTTTTACAATACATTCTTGTTGCAGTTTATTGTTGAATTCAAGTTCTATGTTTTTGACTTCTCAGAAAATCTCATTATAAAATGAAAACATACAAATGCAGTATTCAGTAAATGACTCTGTCACCACATATTTGTTTGGATCTTTCATTATCCTTTTATCCACATGTTAATGAATGGAGAAGCAAAGAAATGACGAAAATCAGAAATGTCTTATCCACACAGAAGAACACACTAAGGCAATGTTCATTGATCTCGTCTAAAGTCTTGTGAATTGTAGCCATTATGGCAGCAGTCTCGTCACTCTCAATACGCTATGGTGTCTCACCAACAATCTCCCACAAGGTTAATTACACTCTTCTGTTTCCACTCCATCTCGATTTCTGAAAAATACAAATTATAATTGTTCATTGATTATATAGACATTGATTGATTCAATTTCTTACCAGACAGAGATTCTCTGTCCAAATCCATCACTCAAAGCTTGTTGTTTACTTTCATCCGGTGGCAAGGCTGACTCCTCAGAGAATAGTAAGAAACCAAACTCTTGTTGACATTTGCCTTCTCAGAATACATTGTTGACTTGTGTGGACTGATTTATATATATATATTAACAATTCAATAGCTTACCAAAAAGGCAGCGGAAGCAATTGGAAGAGAAGGCAAGCTCTTGTGGGAGTAGGAACCTTAGTGGCAACTTCAATTCCAGCAGCTTTGCTTCTTGCTGAAGGTAATCCTGCAAATATAGAGTTTTTTCACCTCTCTTTTTCATTCTTCTGGGACCAAAAGCATAAACTGTGTTGATTCATATCATGTTTGCAGAGATACCAAAAAACTACTCGCCTTTTGTGGATCGAGAAGACGGGTATTCTTATTATTACCCATCAGACTGGAGGGTGGGTAAGCTATGGCTTTGTTTCTTTTGTTGTTGTGAGGATGAAACTTAAATTAATAAGCTTTGAGATGATCTTTCTTTCCACGCAAAACCATATAGGAATTTGACTTCAGGGCGCATGATTCAGCCTTCAAAGACAGATATTTGCAACTGCAGAATGTTCGGGTCAGGTTCATACCAACTGAGAAAAACGACATCCGTGAAGTAGGTCCTATGGAAGAGGTATGTATTACACATCTTACTCTCCCGAATCCTTGTAACGTAATTTGAGAATTCACATTGGTTCATCATTATTATATGTTCATCAGGTGGTTTATGATCTAGTGAAGCATAAGTTTGCAGCACCAAACCAAGTAGCTACCATCTACGATATGAAAGAGGTCAGATGATTGTTAACATGGTAAAGGATCATCAAAGTTGTTGAGAGATTGGATCTTTATAAACAAATAAAAGATGAAAATGCAGAGGGTGGAAGATGGAAGGAACTATTACACGTTTGAGTATGGACTAAGAACTCCCATCTACGCAACCACTTCCTTTGCAACAGTGGCAGTTGGAAACAGTAAGCACAGATTATGATATAGACTTACTGATAAATGAGAGAAGAAAGTGAGGAAATAAAAAGTGGTTATGATTGATTTGATGTTTGCAGACAGATACTATACACTCATAGTTGGAGCAAATGAGAGGAGGTGGAGGAAAGTGAAAAAGCAGCTTCAAGTTGTGGCTGACTCTTTGAAGATCCTTGAGATTTGACAAACACAAGAAACATCTTTATGTTATTCACATCTATCTTTCTCTCTCTGTGGTTACATAATTGTATGTAGATAACAATTTGATAGATTCCCATCTTCTCCACAACTCCAACGATGTTTTTGGCATTGTGGCTTGTGAGTTAGATTCTGAGTTGGTTCAGTAATTCAATCAAACTTGCAAATAAAGTGGATATAATGTATTTACAAAACAGACATCTTTCTTCCTAACCATTACACACTTCTCCACCTAAATCACTCACAACAACAAAAAAACAAACCACAGCAAATAAATTGCCTCTAATCTTCAGTTTCAATAAACAAATCGATATACCTTAAGAGGATAAATTACAGTCCTACTTCATTGCTTAGCCTCCTGAAAGAATAAGGGAATCTAACGTCTACAAGCTCCTAAGTTGCTTACAGAAACTAACCGTGGTTGTACAACTTCTGCTCATTTGGTGTCATCCTGGACTCGATAAGCCTCTGATCAGATGCAGGTTATGTCCCGTAATTGCATCCAATAACATTATCCCGTGGCATATCACGTGATGGTTGGTATGTGACTGAACTAATCTCAATTAGGCACAGGACTCCAATCTCTTTAGATCAGTTGATGTCGCCGTAGATTCTTGCCAAAATGTGGTTGCATTAAACGGACATACAATCCGTTTTTACTCGCTAAAGAATCATGCGTACCTTCCTCTACTATTTTGCCTCCATTGAGAACCACGATGTTATCCACATGTCTCATCATCGCTACTCTATGCGCTATCAGAATCGTTGTTTTGTTCCCCATTATCAATGTATCAAGAGCTTCCTGCACAACACGGCTCGACTCGGATTCGATAGATGAACTCGCTTCGTCAATCAACAGTATTGGAGCATTCTTCAGCACTACCCGAGCTATAGCAATTCTCTGTTTTTGTCCTTGGGTAAGTTCAACACCTCTCATCCCGATATGCGTGTCGTATCCGTGAGGTAAGCTGCTGATGAAATGGTGGGCATTTGCAATTCTTGCTGCTTCCTTCATCTCAGCTTCACTTGCATTGTGCCTTGCATATATAATGTTTTCTCTGATCGTCGTGGAAAAGATTATGGGTTCCTGTTGAATCAGACCCATATGGCTTCTTAACCATCTCAAATTATACGACGTCAAGTCTCGCCCATCTAATAAGACCTGACCAGCAACTGGGTCGTAGTATCTCTCGATCAACGATATTATTGTGCTCTTTCCAGAACCAGAAACACCAACCACAGCTACTGTTTGTCCGCCATTGACTTTGAGACTGAAGTTGCTTAGTACTAACACTTCCGGGCGGGTTGGGTAGCAGAAGTCAATGTTTTTCAGTTCAATGCTTCCATACACATTAGGCGGACTAAGAGCCGAGGTATCATCAGGTTCGATTGTAGGAACTCGATCTATTATTTCAAAAACTGAAGCGAGGGATCTACGGCGCTTGAGAATGTAAGGTGCTAATCCGAATGGCTCCACAAGAGCAAATGTAGCAAAGGAGAAGACCATGTACTCGGTCAGAGCTGTAGACAATTTCATATATCTGCGGTCTACTGATAACGCGGTGTACCACAGGAGGAGCGCATTACAGGCGAAGAGAAGAAACTGTGAGAAGCCAAACGCAAAGCCAATAGCCATCCCGTGGAAAAAGCTCTGTCTGAGTATCCGTTGGAGTTGCAGTCTGTAGAGTTCCATCACCTTGTTGCCGGCACAGAACGCGACAACAGTATATATGTTTCTGACAGCATCCTCGAGTACTAGAGACGCCTTTCGATGCATCTCCTGGATGCCTTTTGAAAATCCAGCAAGCCAAAGTTTCTGGAAATTTTATTTCAATGGTTGTTAGAAATGCAGAACAGGCAAATACTTCCAAGCATGAGGATGAGATGACCGAATGACGTATAAAGGAAAATTCACATCTTAAATCGCTACTTGAACTGGAAACCTTTTGCATAAATTAGAAGCACATTTTGACTAAGGGAAGCAAGTGACTACCAAACCGGAATTGGGAACAAAAAAAACATAAGAAAATAATTTCAAGCGGTCTTCTTGACAGTAACATAAGGCTTTGTTGGGGAAGATTGAAGAAACAAAACAAACCTGGGCAATGGCAGAAAGAGTAAGGACTGGCAAAGTCGCCAATGCAACAAGGGCCAAACGCCAACCGAGAAGCAACCCAATAAGAATGGCAACAATAACAGCAAAACTATCCTGAATAAATATCGAAAGCCTGTTGCTGAAGGCGGCTCGGACAAAAGTGGCATCATTTGCTAGGCGCATGGATAATGTATCTGGACTGTTCTCTTCTTCGTCATACCATCCAACTTCATTACGCAGCATTGCTGTCACATCAGATAAAATCAATGAACCGAGGCAAGTGAAAGTAGTAATGAGTTAACAATGAAGAAAAATATTGCAGTACCTGAGAACATCATTCGCCGCACTCTCTCAGTCATTTTCTCCCCCATAATACCAAAGTAGAAGTGCTGCAAGAAATTGGCAACAACTGTCACTATTCCCATGCAGGCAATGATCAAGCACCACTTGTCAACCTCCTCACGCAGGTGGCTTCCCGTGCTCTTATAGTATGTTGTCACTACTAATGCAATAACATAAGCTAGAAGAGGATTGAAAGAACCAAAGATGGCAGCACCAATACTCCCTAATACAGCATATAGCCACTCTGGAAAACTAAGCTGTGCCAACCTCCAAAATGAAGGTGGCTCCTTGTGTTGACCGTCCTTGGCCACCTTAACATTTGCTGAAGTGTCATCTGAGTGACCAAGAGGGCGGCTAAAAGTCTGTGAATGGGAGCGCTCATTTTGGGGATCGGATATCAAAAGGGGTGATATAGGGGACTCCGGATCTGAACCATTTGATTTCTGACGTTGTGGACACTGAATGTCAATTTTTGGTAGCTCTGGTAACCGCATCTCGAAACTATCTTGTCTTTTGATGCTTGGTTCCTTATCACCAACATCCAACGGCGAGCCATTTTCTCCCATTTTCTCTGGTGCAGGGCTATGATCATTGGGCGATTCTTCACTATTAAAGCACACTTCCTGGGAGCGAAAAACATTATGACCTCTCTGAAGAGATGGAGACTTGGCCATTTTGGGCGATGATGGTTCTTGGAAGCCACGGCCAGCTGAAGAATCCCTCTCAACCTGAAACGCAGCAGAATCATTGTAGTTCCTAACTGGCATCCTGCAAGACAACATGAGTTCCATAAACATGTAGAATCATCAAAGTCCACCCTTCCATAGATCATCACAAATCAAAAGCAGTCAGACAAAATTATCTACCGCATGACTTTACTACACAACAGACTTTCTAAGTTGTTAGATATGTATATGGTCTTGGCTGG